GCGTGAAGCGACGGTGGAGGGTGAAGTGGGCAAGGCAGAGAAGGTGATTGGGCGGTTGATGACGGAGTGTATGTCGTGGGCGCATCGGTGCGTGCTTCCGTCTGCTCTGTGAAACGGACATTGACGAATCACTCAGCTTCTGGTGCCGCGGGTGTGGACGTTGCGGTGTTCGGGCTCGCCCCGGATTCGATATTCGCCAGGACGTGAACGGCTTCTCGCGCAAGGCGGTCACCTTCGGCGCGATCAGCGCAACCACCAGATTCCTGGCCGACGTCTGGTTCATCGTGCTCTACGGTAACGCGAACACAGAAAAGTTTCAGGTCCGCCTCTCTTCTCTCCCCTCATGCCGAGCGCTGACTCACTCCCCCACAGCAGCTCGCGAAAGACGTGTACGGGACCTACTTCTTCTTCTGCCTCACCTGCCGCCTCCCGACGCTCTTCCTCTTCCTCTCCACGCTCGCGATCACCGCGTTCCTCTTCGCCCTCACTGAGGCTGCGTGTCCGACCACGGTGTTCATCACGTCCTTCGATGCCGGCGTCCTGCCCTCCTCCCAGTTCCTCGTCTTTGGCGCACATCGGTTCACAAATATCCCGTCGCGGTGCCTGGCACCCGCTCGCCGCACGGACGGCCGTCGCTCCGTCCCCGTCTCGGGATCTTGCGGGCATGCATTCGGCGGCGATGTAGGGCGTCCCAAGGCTGTTGGCGTCGCACACGAGGAACGAGAGCACGGGGGAGCGCATCGCGATACAGGTACCGCGTATCTATACAACGTCACTCACTCAAGACATGTTGCCAATGAACCACCTTCAGTGTATCGATGTCGTACTCCCCACACACCGCCACCACACTCTTGTATCCAACCACCATCTCCGTGCCGCTCCAGATCTCCAGCCGTCGAGGCGCAACGTCCCCCAGTACCGTCACCCTAAGCAGCCCACCGTGGAGGGCCGCGACGAGCCCGTAACCCTCGAGCGTGCTGGCTTCTTCTTGCCCCGGGATCCGCACGGGCGTCGCGGCGAGGGTCAGGTGGCGGACCCTCGACGGGAGTTGCAAGTGATGTAAGGGGAAAGCGGTGTCGAACTGGAGGTGTTCCAGGCCGGGAGCCACCGCGCAAAGCGCCATCGGGAAGCAGAACTCCCTATGCCACTCGTACCCGGGGAAAGGCGGCACCAACTTCCATCGCAGAAGCAGGGAAGGGCGGCAATGCGCAGGCGGATGAATTTGAGGCTGGGGAACACGACGCCGGTGAGGTTTCCCACGCTGTGGTACACTCCGTTGTGGGGAACGGGATGTCCAGGTAGAGGTGGGTGAGTGCGGGGAAGGCGGCCGCGAGCGCGCGGAGAACGCGGGGGATGGGAGGAGGGGGCAGTGTTCTGTGCCGGAGACGGTGACGGAGGGGCATAGGACTACGGTGTTGAGGTTGGTGTGGAGGAAGGCGTCCCACGGCACGAACCATCGGTCGCGGAAGAGGAAGAGCTGGGCGTCGCTGGCCGTGACCTCGAGAAACGATATGTTGATATTGATGTGACGGCTTGATGGTGGGATTGGGGGCGGTCTCCGGGGCCGGACGTTGACCGCACGGTCCAGCAACCCGGCGTCCAACGCGTGGGGTGGGGAGACGGTGGTGCAAAGCCGAGGGTAGCGAACCATCAGGGGGGCCAAGACGTCGGTGAAATTCGGGCCTGTCAACATGAATCCGAAGAATAGAGACGTGCGTTCAACACCCGACGACGAGGAAAGCCAGGCTTCTCTAAAGATTATTGCCATGATTTCGTTGGGGAGCTCGACCACAGTCATTGCGAACGCGTGAATGAGGAGAGCGCGGAAGTCGTGGAGAGGTACTGATGAGAAGAAGTCAACGTGGTGAACGAGGTCGAGCACACTTCGATGGATTGTGGGAACGAAAAACACCTGCAGACCGTCTGATATATGTTCGTGGTATGTACGGTCAGCCTCCAAGCGGCGGGCCGCGGGACCAACAACAGGAGCGCTTGCAGTCGGCGCCACGTGCCAGTAGTCTAATCTAATCTGTCAGGCCCGGCGAGCCTTAGTAAGCAGCCCGCCTCTCTTGAACGGCTGCGGCACAGAGCCCGAGTGTCCCCGGCGTTGAGCGTGTCTACGCCACACAGTCACGGGACACACTCAGCACCCCCGACCACACCTTATCATTATACTAATAATCCATTACAACGACTACCCATTCCGAGATCTAGTATGCTGTACAGCGGGCCGCCTGCCGCCAGGTGCGGGACATACGGCGAGGGGGATGCTCAACTCGACAAGACGGCTGGGCAGGAGCCTGAAAATCTTCCACAGAAAAGTACGTATACATGTATACATCGCCTCACATAACCCTCTCAGAACTCCTCTCGAAGACGATCCATACTCCGCGCATGCGTCCCGCACCCTGTCCATGGCAATTATCTCGTCGTGGTACTCAAACCTCCACCTTCCGCACACACCCCTCCCGCATTCCCAAGGTCACAGAAGAGTCCACGCGCACCGCGGCCACGACGTTGTAGCCGAGGAACGTGCTCTTCAGCTCGCGCCTGAGCCGTGCATCGACGCGCGACGATGTGAGCCGCCGCACCGTCAACGGAAGCTTGGTTCCGGCTAGCGTCCCGAGCGTCGATCTGGATGTGCGCAGAGCAGGACATGCCGAGGCAACCCCAAGAAGGATGCAGTCCTTTCGTGAACGTCTCCTGGGAGCGCCGCGCACTGGCACCCGAGCGGGTGGAGAGGCGGAGGAAGACGAGGGCGGGGAACGCCGTGCCGGAAGGTACCCGACTGGTGCACGGCAAATCCTCGCGAGGGAGCATCGAAGTGGAGGTGTGTGAGCGCCGGAAACGCGGTGAGATGAAGGAAGAAGTCCATGTGCGCGTGACGATCTGCTGCTGGGCTGCAAGGTCAGGGACCTAAATTTCCGGAGGCTGAGGAGAGGAGAAGTAAGATTCTTCAGATTTTCCTGCAGACCTCGAAATGGGAAGGGCCGCTGTGGCATTTTCAGGCCGACGAAGAGGTGCTTGATGGTGGCATCGAGTGTGTGGGTAGTCCCGAGGCGCCCCGGCCGGTCATTTGCTCGACACGGGGCGCGTTTCGTGGTTGTATCGTGGAGTATTCAAGTCTATGTAAAGCTTCGGATACTCCTTTTCAACCAATGCAATGATGGCAGCGAACGTTGGAGAGGCTTCCGGAGTGCGCTAGATTGTTGAGGTGCTCTTCGCGAGAAGTAGGAGACCGCCAGTAATATTCGATGATGATTTGAGTATCTCACCGGGAGGCATGGAAAGGAGCAGGTCAAGCGGTCTGAAAAGGGGTGTAAACCTGCGAGTCGCGGAGCAAATGATGACTTAACCCACTTCGAAGTTGCATGGTAGGCAATAAGAGGTCAAGGCAGGAGTAAGATCACAAGACGCGGGAGCTAAGTACCATTGTAGATAGGAGATGTGGAGCTTAATGTGGACACTTTCATGGGCGTGGGGAGAATGGGTCTACGGAATGTAGAGTAACCCACGAAAAAAGGGGCCCGCCGCACCGCCGCACCTCCGCACCTCCGCCCGCCGCGGGACGTGGTAATAATTCCGTGAAGTGCTCTCCAGCTCGCATCCCGCACCGTGCATGACGGAATGGAGGCTAGCGGCGGCGGCGACGCGCCTGTGATGGGCACGGCCGGGCGTATGAAGTATGGGGACGACTCACCTCCGATGATGCCGGCGCTGGCCCCAAGGATGGGGAGTGCAACCGCCGCGCCGGCGATTGCATGGGGGCGCTGCGACGACTTCGAGGCTAGCAGGCTACCGCCGTAGCGCTTACTAGGTTGAGTTCTTGTTAGGAACGAGCTAGGACAGCGATGGATTTTCAGAGTAGGACGACAGTGGCTGAGCAACTGAGAAACTTTGTGCGGGGCCGTTCCATGATGGGAGTTGTGACGTCGGATGTGTTGGCGATGTTCAGCCAGTCGAGTATGCTTGAATATCTTGAGGGCCCGCCGAGTCTTGGCCGAAAGAAGTCAAGCAAGTGGCAGTTGTCGGGCACAGCGGCAGCCGGTCCGCAAGAGACGCTGTGGTAGATCATGTGATCTTGGACGGCAATCCGGCGCTCGGTACCGGCAATCGCGCTTCCGACCTCGTGCCAAGCGCCCGCCTCCCTCCTGCGTCCGCCGTCCATGCGGTTTGTGCTGCTCTGTCTCTATCCAGGGAGACTCTTATCCTCGATCCAGACGCATTTCATCGACTCGAATAATATCAAACGAAGACGACACTCCACACAGCTCTCATTCATTGCGCACGAGAAGCTGAGAGCTCTCGCGCTTGCTCCCTGAAACCGTCACCGATGTTGTGAGGAGTCGTTCCTAGGGTAATCGGTGCGTGACGCTTTCTATATACGAGTAAGCCGTCTTTGTTTCTGACTTGCCCTAGGCCTCCCGTCTTTGCAGAGTAGGTGACCCTGAAGATGTTCCAGAGGATGCGCAGAAGATGGTCGCGAGGCTCGGCAACCGCATCCTCGCCGGCGCACCGCTGTGTACGTACCCGTTGATGTCATCGAATCTCATTCACTGCGCGTCACGCCCATGTCCCGGGGTGAGTTCCTCGGTCGCCGTTGATCTTGTTCAAGTCTTACTTGAAAATAACCCCGTCGCTCTTGATACAGCAAGCCTTACGCAGAAGTCGAATACTGCGTCGAGTCTTTAACATTTTCGGTTACTTTCCGGACTTCCACTACCCAGCCGCCAGGCCGTCATCATGCCGGCCGTCGCGATGTTTGCCCCGACCATAGAGCAACTCATGACTGATCTCAAGGCTCGTGGCCCCGAATCAGAGCTGGTGCGTCCTTCGTTTAATCTCTTCGTCAAGATCTAATACAAAGAACAACGTGCTGATATGGATCATGGAAGAATCCATCCTGAAAAACACGCCGCTCACGGAGATCGTCCGGCGCGTGTCCATGCTCACCGTCGTCGCGATGAACACAGCCTCGCAGACCATTACGCACCCGCTCTTCCGCCCTGTGGCGAACTTCGCCCTGATCGCACCTCTTTGTGCCAGGTGTATGCAATAAGAAGGGCAGCGTCTACATACAGCATCTAGACTAAGATCGAGCAAGTAAAAGGTACACATGCGGCCACGTTCTTCTTTCTAGTCGCTTATACAGTCTATCCGTTTACAGACTTCCTTCTTCCTTCCCCCCCACCAGACGAATCTTGAGGTCGGTCACGGGTGTCATAGTCGAAACACTTCTCGGCTCTCCCGCTGGCACCTTGACGACCGCGGAGCCATCTGCTGGGACGACGTCGTAGGTGCGAAGGATCGTGATGAAGAACATCTTCATCAAGTAGCTCGCCATCTGCCGGCCGGCGCACTGCAGGTAGAGTTGAGCCGCTTCCTGACTCCACTCCGAGAACGTCGCTCACCATATGCGCCCCCCTCCCCCACATGTACAGGTGCCGGTTGGCCTCGACGCCGCCTTCGCCCACGAAGCGATCGACGCGGAACACGTCCGGGTCTGCGAACCACTGCGCGTCGTGGTGCACGGCGATCGTGTTCGGCACCACCATGTCGCCCTTCCGCACCGTGAAGTGCCCGTCCCGCTCGCGTCCGGCAGCTCCACGTCCTCCCGCACGTCCCGGTACGACGCCGGGAGGACGTGCAGCGCGCGGCCTCCTTGAGCGCGGAGTCGAGCAGCGCGAAGCGCTCCGTCGCGAGCACGGCGGGGTGCGCCGCGTCCCCCGCGTCGTCCGCCTCCGCGCCGAAGAAGCCCTCCGCGACCGCGGCGTCGACCTCGGCGCGGACGCGCGCGAGCGCGGCGGGGTCCGCGAGAAGGTGCGCCACCGCCCAGAAGAGGACCTTGGCGGTGTTGACGAACACGGCGCCCCAGATGTACAGCTGCAGCGTCCCCGCCTGGTCCTTGCGCGTCATGTCGGAGCGGACGAGCGCGCGTCCGATCCCGTTCCCGTGCGCGGAGACGCCGGGGAGGTCCTCAGTGCCCTGCGCGGCGTCCCACTGGGCGATGTACGCGGCGAGGCGGGCGTGGATGCGGCGCTGGGCGGCGTGCGCGGAGAACGCGAACGGGGAGAGGAGCGGGTTGAAGAGGAGGTACGACTGGGCGTCGACGGCCACGAAGTCCTCGAACACCGCGGCGGTGGGGAAGGAGGGGCCGAAGTAGGCGAATGTGAACGAGTGGAAGAGGGCGTGCATGACGAAGCGCCGGAGGACAGCGGCGAGCCGAGAGCGTGCTGGTCCGCGAGGCACTTCTTGAATTGGGCATTCAGCGAGGGACCGTGGCGTGAAGGTCGGCGTGGACGTTTGCGTTGACGACGAGAGGAAAGAAGACGTCGGTGAGCATGCGGCCGAAGTCGAGGTACTGGATGTCGCCGAGCGCGTTACGGCGGAACGCGCGTTGAACCTCTAGCTTCTTCTCTCGGTTGCGGTAGACGGCATCCATGGCTTTTGGAGAGGCAAGTGCAATGAGCGACCTTCCACCTATCAACGCGCGAAAGTGGCGACCAAAGCGAGCGCTGACACGAATAGATAAGAACCTCAGGGTTTAATCATATGGACAGAGTTCCATACCGGTAAGATCTGAAGAAATTTGGTTGGTTCAGAGCAAACTCGAAAGCAGAGCCGATGAATGGTATGTGGTAGGGAACACTCGGAAGCGAGCTTGAGACTTGGAAGCATTGCGATTGGTTCCGAAGGTTGAGAATGAAAGTAGAACGATGCCCAAGAGAATGAGGATCAAGTGCGTGTCGGTGTATCCATGTTCGAGGGGAGTGCGGGGTCAACAGTGAAGGGTCGACCAGAAACTGGCTTATGTACGAAATCACTCATCTTGTCAACGTCAGCATGCAGCGTGCAGTTTGTTGCAGGCTACGATTATTCTGGTATCTGTCACTGCCCGCGAATATACACATTATCATCCACATGTCCCTCTCTATAAGATTCACGTCCCCGGTCACCGCTTCTACCCATAGTGCATTTCCAATGTTCTTCGGAACCGATTCTCGTGCCTTGTTTTCGAACCGAGATGTCCTATGACAGCCTGCTCCACAAGGATCACATCAGAACTCAAATATTCTCGTATGCGCTCAAGACATATCAGGACACACTGCTTGGATCGCCTCATCCGCCCGGGCTGAACGACATGGTGTATTTTTTCCCGATACATAGAAGTACACGTAACCCTGCAGCATCGATCATAGAGCTCGACCATTATACGGGTTTTTCTGCCACGAATATCGCCAGCGGAGTGAACAGCTGAAAGAAAGTTGCGATCAGTCGCCCGCCGAGCCCGAGTGGCAGTGGGACTCGCCTTGTGTCTCCCCGCTTGAACGATCACTGCGGCGGCATCGCGGGACAAGCCCCCAAAAGCAGCCCCCGTGTCAAGTATGCTCTGTCTGCACGGAAGGCTCCAGCCCCTAGCGCCTCCCCAGAGACGCATACCACGGGACGACATCGCCTCGGTCTGACATGTCCTCCATGTGCACCACGCGAAGTCCCGTCTGGCGGAGCGCGTCGCGCGCGGCGCCGACAGTACGCGCTTCGGGCTCCCGCTGGCATAACCCAGAAGTAGTCTCCAGAAGCGACGGAGCCGCGTGTGTTCGTTATCGTGGGCGTTGAAAGCGGCTGTCCAGCACCATTCAACGACCCCGAGCTGTGGATGGGGAGAATACTGAGACTACGGCAGGAATTCGTGCGAAGAGACAACGACACTTACCTTCCCGCCAGGTACAACCAAGGGCGCCACTCTGCATATGCAGAGGCGAATGTGGGCGCGATCTTGCGACTGAATATCAGCGGCGATACACGAGAAGCGCCAGGGGCGCACGTACTCGCAGAGCCTCGATGACGATAATGGCGTCAAAGGACTCCCTGCCAAAAAGGCGTGCGGCCTGAAGAGGGTCGCCTGTGTGTAGTATCACCAACGCGAGAATGATTAGGACATCCAGTGGAAGCTCACAAGCTGCGCGATCGACTTTCCTTGCACAAACGACACAGCTTGAGACAGACCAGCCTGACTTGCGCGATCGACTGCGAGCCGTATCTGCCAGGAGCGTTCATACGAGCCAAAGAGATATTGTGTGCAAAAGATGTCACCTTGTGAGCATTGGCTTCCAAACCGACTACGGTGACTTCGGCAAACCGTGCCAGCTCCACGGCGGTTTCGCCGGTGCCGGACTCTATGTGGAGCACCTTCTGACCGCGATTGAGACGCAGTATCTCGCATAGACGATGTGTTTGGCGCTGAATCGATAGTTCTGGCTTGTCTCCAGGGAATATCCGACAGAAGTGAAAGTCGCAAGCGTTGAAATGTGGTGCCCACAGGCGCGGTACGGTCTCGGTGTGTACGAAGCGAGCGAGAGTGCTAAGCATGGGAGTGAGCAGGGGAAGTTACTAGAGTGCTCGGCCGCGTCGGAGAAGAGGTGGAGAACAGGCGTCTTCAGAGCTCAGAATGGCATACATTGTCAGCAATAAGACGCCAACTACGCACCGTTACGAGTGATCTCGAGTGAACGTCTTGTGCGCGTCACCAGCACTATCACATGTCTTCTCCTGCCCAATTCCACATGATGAGGAAACGAAGAGGTGGCAGGGGGGTCCTAGGCGAGGTGGGAGGTGCGTCCAAACCTAGATGAAGGAACCCACAGTGCTGCCATCGCCAACAACCGCAGCCCGATCGATCCGAATGCCGCCCAATGACAGAAACACACCGTCCCGAACTCACTCGGCGGAGAACGCTGAACGTTAAACCACAGAAAACGCCCCGTATCGATGACTTGCGCGCTGAGGGGGCGGAGTGAGACGCGGGGGGCGAAGTTGCGTGGGAATGCCGGCACCAGCGGGCGGCCTGGTGCAGCGGCAGCGGCAGACTCAGGCGCCCACCGTGCCTCACAGAAGCCTGCCTGTTGATGCACGGCGCACACAGGTTCGTTCGGCTGCTCGTTATCACTGGCGCTCAGACTCCCGACCACTGAGCTGTGGAGGTGCCGCCGCCGTATCGCCTCAGTAGGCGGGGAAGAGCGCATTCTGCTCGCCTGCGCCATCATCCAAATACGGTTCCAAGTCGGTCACCTCGGCTTCTGCTTCGTCGTGGCCTGTCGCGCCCGAGCACCGATCCCGTTCTTCTCGCACGCGCACACTGACCTTGCCCACACGTAGCGCTCTGAGAATGCCGCTTCTCGAAGGTGTTCGTGCCACGTCTTCCACAGCCAGATGAGTCGAAGTTGCTCTTTCCTCGGGCTCCGTAGCCCACTGAACTCTTGCTCTTTCCACCATGACGGACTCCGACACAGCTCCCCGTACCCCTGCCCTCTCCAACACCGACAGCGGATTTCTCAACGAGAAGGACCAGCAGCCTCCTACGGCTCTTGAGAAGGACTGCGGTGGGGGCGAGAAGGCGACGCGGCCCACGCCGGATGTCGAGACTTTGCCCGCTGCACGCTTCGTGCTCGTCTTCATGTATGTCGCTCCATTTTCACACTCGAGACGTCCAAATCGCTGACTGTGCCCAACCATAGCGCGTTCTCCCTATCATTTGGCCTCACCGCCCTCGACCAAACCATCCTTTCCACCGCGCTGCCCATTATTGCCTCCGACTTCAACGCCGTCTCACAGCTCACATGGATCGCCAGCGCGTATTTCCTGCCCCAGGCACGCTCTATTTGCTTGTGTATGTGCCGTGTGCTGACTTCGTATCAATCGTAGGCAGGGCTCATGCTACTCTTCGGCAAGATCTTATCCATATTCTCTCCCAAGTACACTTACTTGATTTGCATCGCTCTCTTCGAAGTCGGCAGCCTCATCTGCGCGTCCGCGCCTTCTGCGGATGTCCTCATCTTCGGACGTGCGTTCGCGGGTGTCGGTGCGGCGGGGCTATGGATCGCGGTCATGTCCTTGTTGCACGGGTGCGCAACTTCAATCTGATTCGGGGTTTCGCCATCACCACGTCCTAACGACGCATCCTCAGATCGCAACGGAGAAGCAACGACCTATGCTGCTAGGTGCCATGGGGGGCGTTTATGCGATCTGCTCGGTCGCAGGTCCTATCATTGGAGGCGCACTCAGTCGTGAGTTTTTTTGTCTGTCCTTTACGCGTATCACGAATTCAACCTCGGAATCCAGAACACGTTACGTGGAGGTTCGTTTGTACACCCATTCGAAGTCTTTTCGTTTTGCTAACGAGGCTTTCTCTTGCAACAAGGTGGTGCTTCTGTAAGTATTTTGCTTCGCATTTCGTCTCACGAGGATGAAGCACCAATTTTGCTTTTGTTAAAGGGATCAACCTACCGGTGAGTATGCAACCACATTTCAGATCCTGCGCGTGACTCAATCGGCACTTAGTGCGGTGGAATTGCGATCGTTTTTGTCTTCCTATGCTTGCCCAATCTCCCGCCCACCGATTCGAGTGGCGGCGCTCGTTGGAGACGACTGGACTATGTGGTGCTGTTCTCAGGTGGCGATGGTCACGTTGCTCCTTCTCCCTCTCCAGTGGGGAGGAAACACCCGTCCGTGGTCCGACCCGGTGGTGATCGCGCTTCTGGTCGTGGTAAGACCCATGTCTCTTGTATCGCGTCGTTGAATATCTGACCGCATTCAGGCAGGGTGTTTGGTCGTGGTCTTTGTTGTATGGGAGCACCGGCAAGGGTCAAGAGCGCTGCTTCCCATCAAAATGATCCTTACTGGGAGCATGCTGGGAATATGCCTTGAAGCGGTACGTAAACGAAGGTGTGGTTGAGTAGATCGGCGCGACTCACTCACGTGTACCTGGTAGGCATTCCTGAACGTGTGTTTTCAGACGATCACTGTATGTATATCACGTTTATACGCACCCTTTTTTATACTGAACGAATCCTGTTAGTACTACTTGGTTCGCGAATCCATCGGTCTATATCTGTATTTTAGTTCGATACTGACGCACCAACAGCCTCTGTTCTATCAAGTCAAGGGAAGTTCTGCGGAACATTCCGGGGTCAATATCCTTCCGTTCATGATGTATGAAGTTGCTTATGTTCGTCCACGAGAAATAACTGATGACCATGAATGACGTAGCTCCGGGGTGCTCGGTGCGCATTCAGTGCTCTAATCATTATGCATGTTGATCGATATTCTGTTCGTGCTCAGCTGCTGCTGTGTCCGGCGCAGTGGTCTCCGTAAGCATGTCGTGTCTTCGAATACTCGCACACTATTCACCTCCGAGTCGACTGCAGCTCACAGGTCATGTTTGGCCTTTCCTCTTGATATCTCCTGCGCTCGCGGCTGTTGGAGGTGGCCTTCTTTTCACCGTCGGCCTCGGCACAGATAACGCAAAGTTGATCGGCTACCAAATCCTCCTCGGGTGTGGTCTCGGCGCCGCCATACAGAACACCGTACACCTCATCTTTCACATTCATCTCCGCTGGGCCCGCTGACATCCCGACAGATCGTGACCGGCCAAGCGCAGTACGTCGACTCTCCAGAGATGATCTCACAGGCGACCGGGCTCGTCACGTTCATGCAGCTCCTCGGGGCGTCGATCGGGCTAGCGTGAGTCTTCCACAACCCATCGCGCACCCCTCACAGATCCGCTCACGCGGCTCGTCCTTTCGATAGCATCTCCAGCGCCATCCTCTCGTCGCAGCTGTCTCAGCAGCTGGACAAGATCCCTGGCGTCCCCGGGCCGTCCTCAGCGCCGTGCGGGAGAACATCGAGTCCGTCGCGCTCCTCCCAGACGCGTTCAAGCGGCCGGTCCAGGTCGCGTACGTGGACGCCGTCAAGACCGTCTTCCTGCTTATCGTCGGCGGTGCCGCGCTGTCCTCCCTCTCGGCGGTGCTCATCTCCGTCGCAAGGTGACGCGAACAGTGATTTGTGGGCTTCTAGGCGAGCCTGCTGATGTTACGCCTGCACTGTCATTACTTCCTACCAGTCGCTCTTTCCAAACGCCCCTTTGATCGCGCAGTGAAAGGTGGTGTCCGGTCGTGTGCATCAACGTGGGATGCGGTCTGCTTCGTTGAGTCGAGAACGCGGTTGATTTTGTTCAAGAACTGTCAATTTCTACCGTGTCCTCTGTGTGGCGTCTGTATCGCGTTCTAGTGAGATGTCTGAACGCGGGGAAGTATGGCGACGAAGTCAAGCGGGCGCGTCGCCGTCCGCCGCCGCCGGCGAAGTCGGGCAGAGAAGACTGGGCGCCTGTGCCTGTGGCTGACGGTCGGCGAACTCGGCGATGAACATGACAGCCGCACTTAGTGGACTCAAGTTCGATTGAACGTAGCATACACGTGCACGAAGAAGCGGAGAGACCACAACCGCGGGTCGGCCTGAGTGCGGGAAAAAATGGGCTGAAGACGGCACGCACTCGTGATCCGTGGCTGCTGCGAAAGTAGGTTTGCATACCTGAGGTTCTGCTGCAAAGTGTTTCCCACATGTCCTGAGTGGACAGCCAGGAAGGTTTGGGCGTTTGCGGCTGAGCGCGGTCACCCCTCTTGAACGTTATGTAACTTCCTAACGCCCGTCTTTCTCCCACCGTTTATCATGATCACACCGTCGGGATTCCGATACAGCGGACATCCTCAGATTGTACGCGGTGAGTGCCGTCATTATTCCGAAATCGATGAATGTCGTGCAGGCTTCGCCACTATCGCCGGGATAAGGACGAGTACTAGCTCTGTTTGGCATTACCATACGCGCGCGACGTAGGTTCAGTTTGACAAGCTTCTGATACAGAGCCGAGGGTGTTGTTCAAAGTTTGCTCTGAAGCCGGGTGAGTGCTTCCTCCGGAATCCGGATCACCAGGGCCATAACTGAGCGGTTCGTGAACCGAGTTGAACGCTCACAAGGCATTTGGACACTGCACATGGCAGCCTGCGCTCTTTGAACGGCAGATGGGATCACTAGTACGAGCAAGAACTTAGAACGTGCTTCCCAAGAAGGCGTCAATCTTGGCCCTCATGGAGATGTCTGTGTCCGCGGCGCGGGCGAGGTACAGCACCATAGCCCTCATTACATCGGTCGGGATCGTGTCTGTGTTTTACCGAACTCTATCACCCATCGGCAGACTCTTCAATGGCTCAGCAATTGCAACTCTTCTGCGCATCGTTTCACTCCTCCGCGACCTTCAACTGGACCACGCCTCGCCCTCCCTGTCGAGGATCCTAGTTCCCGTGCGCATCACATGGAGTCTCCCGCGTCTATCGCCGAGCAGCTGCAAGAGCTGGAAGCCTTCTACAATGCGGCTTATCTCGCTCGGCTCAATACGTACTCACAGAGTGAGTGTTTCAGCTAGCATAGGGCTATGAATATTCACCGAGAAATCCAGCGGCGGCCATCGCGCTGCTCGGATACGACGTCTTCATCAACATTGGAAACGAGGTGAGCATTTTGTTTCAATTTAGGGTGCGAAGAATCCGTGTCCTGATCGCGACGGAGGCCAGGTGAACCACGTTTGGGCGTGCGTACCTCCCCATGTGTCGATTTGCACTCAGATTATGATTGAGACGGCTTGTAAACAGCACTAGATGGTCTCTTCCAAAGGCGTTGTACCTCTTCGCGCGGTACTATGGACTTGTTTTGATGTGGTAAGCGAAAAAGCCTTTCCACGAGATATTGAACTCACGATGTTTGACAAGCGTCTTGCAAGCGTGTGAGGCCTGCTGTGGATCTTCACTATGCTTTCTCTAATATCCCATGGTAGTTACCGTTTCCACAGGGCTCACACAAGCCGTACGCACTTTTTATACTCATTTATGCTCTCATGAACGTAAAACTCTGTTGCTACAGGAGTACGTTTAAGCGTTCAAAGCTTTCCGGCTGAACAAGATACTAATCTGCCGGACCAGATGTAGCGCGTGGGCGTGGCTTGATAATATGTGCGTATTTCATCTTTCTTGTGTCGTTATTGCTCCTAACACGGCCGGTCCCGCTTCAACTACAGCGGGAACTATGTGATCTTCACTACTATATGCAACATCATCCTCGTCCTCCGTATACATGCAATATATGACCAGAGCAAGAAAGGTGGATACCGAACATCATACTGTCTGTTTTCTATCCACTGAACTTAGTTTTAGTGCTCGTTTTTATGACGGCAATGATGATCTGTAATGATTTCGTCTTCATCTCTTCTGTGCATATGAAGTCGCTTACTTCTGCGGTCCCGACATAGGCCAGTTCATCGTGAGTATATCCGGGCCTAGGATCGTCGTTTCTGTAGCTCACACTGCTTCAACAGCTCGAGTTTTCCACGACTATTTGGAATGCGACTGAGCTGAAGGCCAGACCGGCTCCGCCGCTTTACCCTGGTTGCTTGGCAAACTCTCCCCTCCGTGCGGCAACGCTCTTGTCTTGGTGCGGCCATTTCGGAGATGCACACGCGGAATATTTACTCATGTATCGAGCCCAGGATTCCGAACATCGTAGTGGCGGGTAGGTTGTTCACCGTCAGACTACAAAAGTAGACGCTAATTGCTCAAACTAGGTGTCTGCGTCGGCCTCTCACTCTATCGAGTTTTTACAGGCCCCGATGGGGAGTGGCGCCGACACCGAACCCTTTCGCCTCTGCTGAAAACGTTTATGCGAGATGGGACGCTCTTCTTCGCTACGTACGTCATCTTTCTACCACAATTACAGTTTTTGCTGACGTCTATCCTCTGGCAGCGTACTAGGTATGCTGATATAAGCGTCGCATTATAAAGTTCGACCTGAAGGAATATATCACCAGTTATTGAGATTATATCCGCCGCTACGACTACCGGAACCTCAACAGCCCGTTGGCACCGTTTGCGCTCCCGTACGTGCGATCCACACGCTCCCACCGACTATGAACTAATGGCAGTTGCGAGAGCAGATGGGTGACAGTCGTCTATTCCATCGGAGTGAGTGGAATTGTTGCGCCGTGTACTCAGGTAGACCGCAACGCGCCACGATCTGACGCATTTCTCTAGTCCACGCGCATGATTCTCAACCTAAGGATGACGGCCAAGTCGAGCACCTCTCAGGAGACCGCAACCCTTGGTCGGATCACCGATCTCACAAGCAATGCGTCCAGCCTTGCGACGGCCGTCTTCCGGACCAACCCTCGCGCCGGCTTTTCCGAAGATGTCGAGATGGACTCTGTGAAGCCTGGCAGGTGGCGCGAGTGGGACGCCACTCAGAACGACGCGTAGCGTCCTTCAAGCGCTTCGAGTCCGAAACTGTACCGTTTCATAATGCGTCAGTGTTGGAAACGGTGCGCGCGCTCATCGGCACTTGTCTAGTTGTCTCCCGCGTCCTTAGGCTATCCGCTCGCCTTCGAATTATGAAATACTTCATCATACACCCATGAATTCGCCCATTCTATATCTGTCGCGCGTGCAAAAGAAGTCGCGGTGCACGCGTGGGACGTTGCGTGGAGGAGCTCGCGGCAGTCGCGCGGCAGTGCTCGGGGTGCGGTCCGGTAGGGCGCAGGCAAGTGTTCGGCGAATCTACGCGCCCTGGCCCGGAAACGGCCTTTCGTCCGTTATTTTTAATGTGACATAGAAGCAGAGGCACCGAGGCCGCGCGAGGCTGCGCTGGGCGTTTCGGGGAAGACAGAGAAGCTGCTCCCCGACTAATGGCGCCCAGGGTGTATCCATCCGCCGCTAGCACGACCGCAGACGACCCGCAGCGCCCTCAAGTCGAGCGACTTCGGATCCGAATGGACGCTGCCAACCGCGCCCGCGGCCCTTCTGTGGTTGCGCATGGTGCCAGCGGAGACACAGGGGTGCTGTGCCCTGCACCCAGGCTGTCTGGGCACTGCTAGGCCGTAATTCCCACGTGTCGAGTCGCGGACGTGTGCCTCGCCATTCACTCGCATGCTTGACGCAAGCCCTCACCCGTCTCGCCAGCCCTCTCTGTTGCTCTCTCCCAGCTCGTGAGGAGATGTTCCAGGTGTCTCTCAGTCTCGCGAACGTCTTTGTCGCCGTCGTCGTCGTCTTCGCGGGGACGCGCATCCTCAATTACGTGCAGTACGCCCAGGTGTGTGGCCGCGACCGCATCCCTCGCCATGCAGTTGGATGACATGCACGGGGAAAGCAAACGGGCTATCTGCCAGGTATACGCTCTTTCGTCACACCGATCTCGCTCTTCGGCGTCCTGTTCCCTACCAGTCGTTGGAACCCGGGACGAGAGTGGCAATGGCAATGGAGGAAGGACGGTGGGCTACATCCACCTCTTGTCGACTGTCGCCGTATTGATGCACCCATTCCTGCACAGTATATAAGCGACATGGGACGGAGACCATTTCGTCGTTGCCGTACCTCTTTGGTGGACCAGCCATCTATACCTCGTCTCTCGACGTCGCACGGCAGATCGTTGCCATGAAGGGAGAATTCTACAAGACCAAGGAGATGACTGCCATCACCCTGTGAGGAACCATTTTGATGGTTTTACCTCAATATTATTGACATCGTCATCTCTTCAGTGTATGGGGTCCGAACGTGTTCGCCGCAAACGGAGACGAGTGGAAGCGATTCAGGCGTATCATGAACCCCGCATTCGCCACGTCGACGTCAGTATATGTAACTTTGACTCGCTTGTGTGGTCACTGAAGTGAGCGCAGTTTTGCGTCTGTGTGGAACGAAACATGCCGCGGCTTCCGCGAGATGATCGTTGGCCAGGGATGGAACGGCCTCGAGTCGATCGACATTCTCGACATCAGCCCGCTGACCAACAAGGTGCGTCTTCAGCTGCGGTTATCCGTGCACACTGCTCACCATGAGTTAGTTTGCGCTCATCTTGATATCGTCTGCGGGGTTCGGCCACCCCCTGTCCTGGGATCTGAGCAGGACGCCCGGATCCAAAACGATGTCATTCGGGGAAGCACTTCACCTCATTACCCACAACTTGATCCTCCGTCTGGTGGTCCCCCGCATCGCATACTGGCTTCCGATAAAACGGTGTGTTCGAAGCGTGCCAACTTTCTCCTCCCAAACAAAACGTGTCGCTAACGCATCCTTAGTCTGCAGGATCTCGAGGAAGCCTACAATATCGTTCGGGCGTTCTTGTTGACACTCATCGACACGCGGCGGAAGGAGTTCGCTGCCGGCGCACCCGCACAGAACGACGTGCTGAGTTTGATGATTCAGTCAGCGGAGAATGAAGGGCATCTCAGCATGACGGACGACGAGCTAGTGGGTCGTACCCTATCGTGGCGTAAACAGTTTCTGACTACGTGCAGATTGGAAACACCTCCATCCTGCTCTTTGCGGGACACGGTATTTATTATCGCCTGGATGCAATGTGAATCCTCGTTGACGTGATTGCAGATACACTTGCTATGACGCTTAACGCCACTCTCGGCTTCATGGGGCTCTACCCGAGTATCAAGAGGAGATGTATCAAGAGATTCTGGCTGTGATGCCCACCGGCGCAGAATGCGTTCGTGTCTTCACCCCGTGGATGATCCCGACTCATACGTTTTCCCACAGACCTTCGGAACTCGCACAAGCTTCGCAAAGTCCAGGCATGCTTACTCGAGACTGCACGATACTTTCGTAAGCCTCCGTGAAATACTCTCGCGTGCGCACCAAGCTCACATCCCGTATCTCAGCGGCCGGCTTCATGTGGATCCGCGACACGGCGGAAGACATCGTGCTCGAGCACGTCGGGCCGAACCGCGACCAGCGCATCCCAGTTCCGCGCGGGACCCGCGTCGTGGTGGACGGCATCGGTCTGCGTGAGTACCGGGCCGCGGCACCGTGCGGGGGCGCGCGCGCAAAACGCTGACTCGCGCGACCGGCAGATCACAACCCGCGGCTGTTCCCCGAGCCGGACAAGTTCAAGCCAGAGCGGTGGTACGACGCGCCGGAGAGCGCGCTGACCATGTTCTCGCTCGGCACCCGAGTCTGTGAGTAACTCCGACAGGACGTGTGTGGGGTCCGCGGGGCTGACTGGGACTGGACGCCGGACGGTGCCCCACAGGCATCGGACGGCGGTTCGCGATCACGGAGGGGGTCTGCTTCCTCGCAAACCTCTTGCGGGACTGGCGCGTCGAGCTGCTCGCCCCGCACGGCGAGTCGCGCGCGGAGTGGGAGGGCGGTACATGCAGGGCCAGGCGCGGACCAACTTTGGGGTGCTCGAGATGCCAGTGCGGCTCGTGCGGCGGCGCGCGTGAGCGGGCGTCGAGCTGGCTGTTGTCTTGTGCGGGTTACTGGCCCGATGCGCTAGTTTGAGCCATCAAAGGGCTTACGATGTGCGGCAGGGCCGGTGCCGAGACCGTCGAGTTGGTGAAGGAGAGGACGAGCATGACGAGTGAATCGCTGTGCTCCACCGCCTCGTTTCTCGAGTTAGTTAATGCATATGTGCACTCGCGTGAATACATATGACCTAACAACGCAGTGAGGATCTAGGTACAGAATGTGAGTATCTGAACATAATTTAAGCAGTGTATAGAGATACATACCTCAGTCGGGTGCCAGATAGAACAACTGAGGTACGAGGGACTGCGGCCGAGCGCTAGACCCCGGACGCAGCGGCGGAGAATGCCGAGGTACTGTACAGTACCTATATGCGGAAAGCGTCGTATGAGACGCCTGTGCCGCGAGCTGCACTATATTATGTACTTATCGTATCGTAGATGATCAACATCCACTGTCCAGGCTCCAGCGCACGCAGGTTCGGTGCATCGTGTGTTCCCTGGCTCATCGATGAGATAACAAAGATCTCTTCAATCACTCACTCAGCTGCTCTCGCCGCGGCCACAGTACCATGTCCAAGAACACTGCCAACTTCCCACTTCCCGACGACGTTCTCAATGAGATCTGCTTCAGCGATGGCTTGTCTCAGGCAGATCTGCTAGCGCTCGCGCTGTCTGGTCGATGCTTCGAGCATCCCGCCCTCGCTGCCCTCTGGCGGTCGCTCAAAACCGACTATCCTCTGGTCACCCTTTTGCACACTCTCGGAATTACGAAGCCGCGGGACATGCCACCCCAAGAATTGGCCAACGTTGTGGACCAGTCACACCGGACGATGCGCTCAGGGTGGATCCATGCGAGTATCCCGCAGTCGGCTTTACCGCCGCAACACGAACACTGATCGTTTTGCTAGACTGTCGCGCACATCCGATCCGTGCACGACCTCCTGTCTCATCCGAAATGGGGCCGCTTCGAGATGTACGCGCGTTTTGTGCGGGAGATTGGCATCTCCCCTGGCCCCGACAAGCATGCACCATCCGTATGGACAGACCTTATCGCTCTCCTGCCAGAAGATGTTTCGATACTCCCTGCTCTTCGTCAAGTGACTATATATGAATCAGAGGCGAGTCAGTGCCGAATATGGGAGCCAGCTCGTGTTGCTTACTCTGGACGGTTTCTCGGTGAATCTCGCACCTTCATTCAACACAAACGGAAAAAAGACCATCGCTGAGACCCTGCTCACCCGTTGCCCATACTTGCACGATGTCGCGCTCCAGTACTCCACGTGGATACCCCTCCTCTCCCAGTTCCCCTACATCAGGAGACTTACGGTCGGCCGATGGGATGCACGCATCGGATTCACAGAAATGCCCGTGATGGGTACCTGGCTTGCACTTGAGTCCCTCGAACTTTCCACCAAAGAATTCAATATCAGAGAGAAGGTAGTACCGCCCCCGCTTCCATCTCCCTTCTCGCTCCCGGTTCTCAAGACGCTCACCATCTACGATCTACTCCACAACGAGGCTCTCCTTCCCCTCCTTTCCCGGATGGACCTTCCTGTTCTCCACACGCTCGTCTACGACTTCGACCCCTTCACCGCCGAGGAAAACATTCCCCAACCCATCATCCTCGCATACCCACACATATCCGAGCTCGAGTTGGCCTTCTCCTTGGAAGAGGGGTGCACGATATCCACAATGGAGCACCACGTACGGCTTTCGGACGTGGTCGCTCCCCTCGCCCCCCTCAAAAACCTCCGCGCGCTCAAAATCACAGTACGAATCGACACGTTCGCTTACGGCTCCGCCGACATCCTCGCGATCGCGGCCGCCTGTCCAGCGCTCGTGGAGCTCCGCGTCGAGGTCGAATGGGACCACTACTTCTTCTACGAAGACCAGGAAGTGCCCGGGTCCGGGCCCGAACAGCCATCGCTACCGCCAACAGTCCTCGAAGTGGTCACGGGGACAACCCCCAAGCGCGTGTGGGACGGCGTCTCGCCCACGTCCGACGACCACGCGCGGTACAAGGAGACGGCGACGTTCGACGTGCTCGCGGACCTCGCGCGCGCGTGCCCGGCGCTGCGCGTTCTGCACCTCCCGCGGACCGCCCTCGACCTCGGCGCGCTGGACGCGGCGGCGGCGGCGGCGGTTGCGCGACCGCACGGCGCCCTGCGCGAGCTCCGGCTCGGCATAGTCAAGTGTCGTGGGGAGCGGGGGGCACCGGCGGGCGCGGCGGATGCGGATCCCGCGCGGGAGGTGTGTGCGTTCCTCCGGACGGTGTTCCCGCACGCGGGGCGTGGGGTCGAGGTCCGTACGGTCTCGAAGCCCCCGGCGCGCGCTTCCGTTCCCGCCCCGACCGCACAGTGCAGCACCAGCAAGGAGTGAACAGCAACCTGAAGGGCGAATGCCGTCCAGATTGGCGTTGGTGAAGGAGCTTCTTGAGCGGCGACGTAGAGGTCGAGGATGAGTCCTGGACTAGCCTAGTCACACGCCTCCGGATCCGTGCTACCGCCATCCCATCCTGGGAACATTAGAGCGGACGAGCTCGCGACGTGTGTTTCGATTCTCAGAGACACCAGAGGATCTATGTCAAGTATTTCCGCCCCGTGCGCGGGATCAGAATCAGAATGCGCGAAGTATCTGGCGATCTTCGAGCGCCTTGAGAGCGCATCGGGCAGATGACGTCATCTGCCCGAGTCCCGTTGATAGTTCAGGCGCCTAACGAGGCTGATGCAAAGTTGATGTTTCTTGATCTTGAACGACAAATGTCCCCAGCGATCCGCTGCGACCTCATAAGCATGTGCAGTCGTTAATACTGGCCACTTGTGCCTCTTCCCTGCTAGGTACTTCAAGTGGCCGCCTCTACACTGACATTGCACGTTTACGCCCACACCTACACCGCCAAAGCGAAATAAACCCAAGTTCATTTCAAAGCCGCGTGCGTACCCCGCTCAACCCCGGCCCCGCAACCACAACTTGACCACAACCGCCGCGCTTCCCCTGCTTCTAGTGAGTCTATATAAGCGAAGTTCTGGGTCGCTGGCTGTGAGGCGTCACCGGTGCGCCCACGTGGCACGGCAGATAGGAACGGGCCCTTCTACGTCCGCCCATGCGTATAAAGGGCTGTGGGACTCGCAGCACACTGATCAATGACATGGACTACATCGCCGAAAACCCGCAAACGATCGCCTACGGGGCTGGGGCCGCGGTGGTCGCGACTGTCGCCCTCAGGTGGCTCTTCGACCCGGTGAGTGATCTTCGCGAGATTTGCCACAGTATACTAACGAGTGACATACGAGGTAGCTCAGGCGTATTCCCACCGTCGGAGGGCCTTCTGCGCCGCTCCTATCTTACGTCGGCGCGTCCAACTTCATCCGCGATGGCACTAGCATCATCACAGAAGGGTACCAGAAGGTTTGTTGTGACTGTGTGCGTTCGCATGCCATCTGACTCAGCTCTCCGCAGTACTACGGAAGCGCATTCAAAGTTGCTACACTGGATCGGTGGATAGTGATCGTCAGCGGTCCGAAGATGGTAGAAGACCTCCGCAAGCGACCCGACGACGAAGTATCGTTCGTGGAAGGAGCAGAAGAGGTATCTTTTGTTTGACCTGCAAGGAGCTGGCCTAGATGATGATGACGCTCGCAGGGTTTGCAAACCAAACACACCATCGGGACGTCGTGGCTGAACGACCCGTACCACGTCGACATCATCAGGGAGAAGCTTACACGCACACTGCCCGCGGTGCTGCCTGCGATTGTCGACGAGCTCATGCTGGCGGTCCCAGAACACATCCCGGCTGCCTCCGATGGTGAGAAACAGCTCTGACGATCGATCTTGAAATCACTGACGAGTCTCAGAGTGGGTGCCAGTGCATACCTTCAAGGCCATGCAGAAGATCGTCTCCCGGGCCAGCAACCGAGTTTTCGTCGGGCTCCCTGTTTGTGAGCTTCTTTTGCTCACGCAGTACAGCAGCCGTTCCGCTGACTAGAGTGGCTTCGGAGGTCGAAACGAGGAGTTTCTAGACCTCGCGATCAAGTACACTCTCGATATTACGTCTGACCGTGCGCGCATGAAGAAGTACCCAGGATTCTTGAAGGGGTAAGCACTCCCGCGAAGTCACTTTGTCGCATGCTGAAGGGAAGCTCGTACTAGCGTTGTAGGCGCTTTTACCAGTGACGCGCGCAAAACACATAGACGGGCTGCAGACATCCTTGAGCCTCTGATCACGGAGCGCCTCGCAAAGATGCAAGAGCTTGGTGACGAGTGGACGGAGAAGCCCGTACGTCCGCTTTCTCTATGCCCACCCTTCACTAATTGCCTCCCACACACAGAACGACATGCTGACCTGGATACTCGAGCAAGCGATCCCGCGCGGCTCGTCGACAGATCAGATCGTCCAGCGTGTGCTGTTCGTCAACTTCGCCGCGATCCACACGTCCTCGAACAGCGTCACGCACGTGCTCTACAGCCTCGCCGCAGATCCTTCGCTCGTCGCCGTGCTCCGCGCGGAGGTCGAGCCGATCGTCGCGTGCTCCGCGCGGAGGTCGAGCCGATCGTCGCCGCGGAGGGCTGGAGCAAGGCCGCGCTCGGGAAGATGTGGAAGGTGGACAGCCTCCTGCGCGAGTCGCAGCGCGTGAACGGAATCGGACTCCGTGCGTCTTCCCCCTCCCGTCCCTTTCTCCGTGTGTTCACGACGCCGACCTCGTCCCCGTCTCTGCCGCAGTTTCCATCACGCGCAAGGTCCTGAAAGACGTCACGCTCCCGGACGGGACCTTCCTCCCCGCGGGAACGCTCGTGCACGCGGCATTGTACCCGACGCACCGCGAGTCCTCCGTGTACGGCGCGACCGCGGACGAGTTCGACCCCTGGCGGTTCGCGCGCATGCGCGAGGCCGCGGGCGAGGGCACGAAGCACCAGTACGTGAACACCTCGACCGACTACCTCCCCTTCGGGCACGGGCGGCACGCTTGGTGCGTCTCCTTCCTTCCCGCGACCGACGCTTGCTGAGACGGTGGTGGCTGAAGCCCTGGGCGGTTCTTCGCGGCGAACGAGCTCAAGGCGCTCGTCGCGTTTTTGGTGCTCCACTACGACATGAAGATCCCCGGAGATGGCCCGCGACCGAGCGACGTGTACTTCGCGGAGCACGTCCTACCGGATCCTACGGCGCGCGTTTTGTTCCGGAAGAGGCAGCCGGTGCGGGTTTAACATGGATGATGCCCATCAGGAAATAAGCCACAGCGGGGTTGTACGTTATGTGGGACGCGCGGTGCTCTCCTGTTTGAACTTATTCTCCATTGAGAACCATCCGCTACGTCTTGGTGTCGCCGACGCCAGAGTCTGGATTCGCCCAGAAACATGACGACATCGCACGGAGTTGAGGCTGATGAGAGCCTCGGGTTGGATCAGAATACAGCAAGCTTCGCGTAAGTATATATTACGGCGGCGATACTGGTCATAAGTACCTTCACTTCGATATCGATATCAGTGCTTCCACGTTCCGCCGTGACGATGGTCATTCCTGAGATCATAGTACATACTGCAGATTGTGAGCATAACAGACTCTTGGAGTACTCACATGCCGGTCCTTCTTGTACAAGAACAAGGGGTTGCGACTGCGAGGCCGTCCTTCTACCGTAGTAAGCGACTTCGGTCCAGGCACGACGGAAAAACATGCAGCGCCCGCAGTCTCGTTGCCATAACTTATCCTTGACTTATCCACAGGTATCGCAGCGCTACATTGCGGGAAGTAGGGGTTTAATTCTTGGCAGAGCGAGCATAGAGCATTGAGCAAGAGGAAGCGGAAGTAGGAGGGGCCAGCCCGGGAACGTTCGGAGATCTGAGGGTGACAGGTACAGTATTAAGCGCTTTTATGGAGTTACTTAACGGAGCGCTTCACGTTGTATGCACATCACATATGTCGGAAAAACCAAATCGGGCTCGCGAGGCCTCGCGAGGCCTTCCGGGGCGATCGGTGTTGCGAGCCTCGCAAGCTAGGCTAATTAGCTCGCAATCCAACCGCGCGTCTTTCATCGTCTTGCAATATTGCTACCCGACATCAATGCATCACGATCTGTCGACCAGCCTGTCAACGGCGTCCCGGCTCGCATCCCTTGCCGATTACCAGCTTGTGCACTCGTTATAATTCAGATAATCAATGATAATCATTATATTTTCTAGAATACAGTACAGCGCAGAGAACTAGTACAGACGGCGCAAGAACAACGAAAACGGGGGGCGGGGGTGATAACATGGTATATGGGGGCTCGCTGAGGCTCGGCAATAGACGACTTACTTCAGCATGTATACAAATGGCCAAGCAGCTAGCGCAGCGGCGAGCGCACTCTACACGGTGGCTAAATGGTATTCAGACGAGAGGGAAGACGAGATCTGTCTTGAGACAAAAAATATCAGTGAAGCACGCGTGAATAGGCAGCGTGTGGCATATACATTATCCTGGTGCCAGCACAACCGTCCGACGTTCAACCTGGACATGGAGATGAAAGGATAAGTGATGAAGAGCAGGAAAGGATTGAAAGGACACAAACCTGAATGCGACACCATACATGTTGAGTAGTAATAGACAGGAGAGGACTCAGGAAGAGGAGGACGAAGGGGTGACGTGGTGGAAGCAGAGAAAGGAGCGCGGGAGGCGCGCACTCAGAGCGAAATCTTCTAAGTCCCTCGTTGTCGGTTGGAGCGTTCACGATGCCGCAATGCCTTACAATATGGTTTCCTGTGCGGTAAGTCCTTGCAATAACTTCAGGCGCCTTGCAATCCCTCTCGAGGCGCTACAGAGCTCGCAATGTCATTGCAAGCCAACCAGCGCGCTTGCAATCCAATTAAAATCCGGTTACGAGATCTTTGGCTTGCAAGGCCGATTTGGATTTTCCGACATAATTGTCACGACGGGTCACGAGGCGGAGCGACGGCCAACGTCGTCTTCTCACCACCACCATCCGCATCCCCCTTCCCCCTCCTCTCCACCTCCCGAGGATGTATGCGGAGCCCCAAGCCCGGAGACCTTCCACGACATATGCTCCGGACTTTGACCAGAGTCGAGGCTCTCCTGCCATACCCAACACTCGTCCTGCCTCCCAATACTCGGCCGCATATCCCCAACAAGCCCGACAATCGACGTACAATCAATATGAAGACTACGAGGGCGATGGGGATGCGGACGACTTTTACCGCCCGCAGTCGCAATACGAGCAGCCATACGCGGCCAGGTCAGTCGCCACCCAGTCCATCCGCGCCCCATCTCCCCCTCCGGCCGTGCTCGACCACTCCCACCTACGGCCCGGGAACCAGGCCGCGCTGCTCTCGCACGAGCGCACGCTCGAGCTCTACCGCGCGAACGCGAAGAAGACGCAGGACCCGGACCTCCAGTTCGAGTTCGCGGTGTTCATGGTCGACGCCTCGAAGACGATGCCGATCCCCGCGCCCACGCCGGGGAACGTGATGGACGTCGAGAAGGCGATCGCGAAGCGCGACGGGCTCGTGCACGAGGCCACCGGGCTCCTCAAGCGCCTCGCCGACCGCGGGCACATGCCGTCCCAGTACTTCCTCGCCGACTGCTACGCGAACGGGATCGGGACGAACAAGGGCCGGCAGGACTTTGACCGCGCCTTCCCCCTCTTCGTCCTCGCCGCCAAGCACGGCCACCCCGACGCCGCCTACCGCGCCGGGACGTGCTGCGAGAACGGCTGGGGGTGCCGCCGCGAGTCCGCCAAGGCCGTCCAGTTCTACAAGAAGGCGGCTGCCGCGAGGCATCCTGGTGCGCTCTACCGGCTCGGGATCGCGGAACTCAATGGGGAGCTGGGGCTTGCGAAGAGCCCGAGGGAGGGTGTCAAGTACCTGAAGCGGTCGGCCGAGGCAGCGACGGCCGAGTTCCCACATGCGCTGCACGAGCTGGCGTTGCTGCACGCGCGTGGGATCGACAACGTCCTGTTCGTCGACAACGAGTACGCGGCGGAGCTCCTGGCGCAGGCGGCGGAACTCGGGTACGCTCCGAGTGCATACCGGCTGGGGGAATGCTACGAGTACGGGAAGATGGGGTGCCCACAGGATCCCGCGCTGTCTATCCACTACTACGTGAGTGTCCTGCCCCTGCCACACTGGCGTCAAGTCCCCGACTCGGTATGATCTCGGTCGATGTGGTCGTTGATGCTGACTCGGCACGGTATAGAACATCGCCGCGCAGCAGAATCACCGCGACGCGTGCTTTGCGCTCACCGCGTACTACCTCGTCGGCTCGGCAGGGGTGCTCCCGCAATCGGACACGGAGGCGTATCTCTGGGCACGCAAGGCCGCGGAGGAAGGGCTCACGAAGGCGATGTATGCGGTCGGGTACTTCCTCGAGGTTGGGATCGGCACCGAGCCAAATATGCAAGAGTGCGTATCTCGTCTTCCGTCCGCTCCCTCCCGCTGCGCTATTCTGGGCTGCGATCAAGAATAGCGCAAGCTTGCTCGATCGCTCGCGCCCCCTTAGCCTCCCCCCTATCTCCGACCGCCATCGTGGCCATGTGCTCACGATCACCCTTGGCCCGCAGAGCGATCTCGTGGTACAAGCGCGCGGCAGACCTGGGCGACAAGCGTGCAGCCCAGCGGCTGAAGGGCCCGCAGAACACCGCGATGGTCGCACCAGGAGGACCGGGCTCGGTGTTGCACCGCGAGGGCGACGCGTCCGAACTGTCCTCCGGGAAGGGCGGCAAGGACAAGGACTGCGTCATCATGTGAGTGCTGCTGATGGGCGCCGAGCAGGAGGGGTGTGCGGAGGGAGGCAGAGACGGGGGCCTATACCCGCAGACGGCGCGCCGGGGTCCTCTAGGCGCACAGCACACGGACTGCTGTAGACAGGTACGGTAGACGGATGGGACGGACACGACTCTATCTACCGCGGACTCTCTTTCATACTGTACATGAACTAATTGATCGAGGCCGCGAGGGCTGGCAATTTCTCCTCTGTTGACTACAAGCTCGGTTTCTATTTGTTGGAGGTTTGAAGCGCTGGGAGTGGCGGCGTGCTGTCTGCGGTCGGTTTGGGGGATGTGACGTGGCTGTCACGGCGTTCGGTAGAGGCCGCCGCCGAGCTACTCAGCGAGGCTTACTACTCCCCAATGTTAAAACATTAAAGTTCGCTGAATCTCTCATTCAACAGTACAGCAAGAATACTTTTCACGACGTGGGTGAATTGAAGGCCTGCAAGACACGGTACCATCCATTGCACCAGAGCGAAGCTGCACGTTTGGCAGACCCTCTCGATACTCACCAATGCGTTCGCGGCCGCTCATCGCCATCCCGATGGCCGCAATTCTGCAGATATTCAAGACAGGCTTTCGAAGGTGTGTGCAAATCAGAATTTCTCGCGCTGATGCTGATACAAGCGCGGCCTAGGTCGAACAAGCTCCTGAATCGGTTGGTGAGGTGGTTTCGTCGGCGGATGCCCCGGGCGAAATTGAAGCCTGGGGCCTCACAGACTGTGTTCGCGGTGTGAAGAGCATTTTCGGCGTAATATCTCTGATCACGGTCGTCGCTCTGGGTGACACCCTTGTCTATTTCTGCCTTTTCTTCATCATCGGACGGCGTGGATGGTGGGTCATCCGACTTCTTTCGATCGCGCATATATACTTAACGCGTTTTACGACAGCCTATGCGAACACTTTCCTAGCGACTCTGAACTGAGCAGCTCTAACGCACGGGATTCGCCGTGAGACCAGTCGAACGCGTAGATCCTTTGCAGACAATCATTACCGCCAGATTCGGTGCCATCAGTGCGCAGGCGTCGACTCCACAGGAGCGCCTGTCCAAACATTGCGGCGACGAGACAGCAAAGGGATCGCGATAAATGCGGACGAAGGGCGGGACAAAGAGTACGCAATTCGTTCAATCCTTCCGGAAGAGTCTGCGCTGATGGGCAACACTAGCAGTTTGACGGCGCTTTAGACGGGTGTTAGTAAGGGCTGCCTAGATGTGGCGAGCTTGACCAGCCATTCGTGAGGCCAGTACATGTGCTCGGGTTGGGCACGGCACGAAAACGCGCTAGAGCGCGAGCGCATGCACAAGACGACACCAGCATTTCTTCCAACACCCTGCCCTTGCTCTTGCGCCGTTCTCCGTCCCCGCGCTCCTGCTCGTATTTACCTGGGAGTGGACCTATATGAAGTTCTAGACCGCCTAATATGACGTCATCCTTTCCAGACCGAGAATGGATTCACGCCGGTCCTGCTGGTTCCGAGTGATGCCCCAGGTCGTCTGGAGTTGTCTCGCCGGCGAGCTCGCTCGCTCGCCCCCGGACTAGGCGATACGAGATTGTTTCGCTGATCCCTATTGTCGGTACTCACCCACTAGACGTTGAATTTGACCTCATCCATCTCAGAACCTCGATACGAGCTCGCTTTCAGGGAATGGCTACTAGAAGCAGTGAATGGGTGTTAAACTTGTCACTGCACTAAGAGCGAGCGGGATTCGAACCCTGGGAGTGTTGTGCAAGCACAGCCACGGGCCACTCCGGTCGTGTCGGACCGTTGCCGAAGGCCATACCAAATCCGATGCGGCTGAGAAAGACGAGCTCGTGGCTTGTTCGTAGCCGGGATTCGTGGTTCGGCAGGAAAGGCATACGTACGACATACCAGATATGGTGAGCAGGTGAGATATCCTGGGGAATGTCGAGGCAGGCACCAGGCACCTTCGATCACATTACCTTTGGCGAGCAAGTATTTCTTCGAACTGCTCTGAGACTTTGAGGGCGATGGAAAGCGGACTCGGGCGACAGAGTAGTCGTGACCCGTGCACGACTGAGAGAGACAGGATGAACGTCCAAGGCAGGGAACGGGAACGGACGCGTGGGCGGCAAGCAATTGAGCGTTTCCAAATCGGGCGTGCGTGCCTGGCCGGGAGGAACGGCGCGTCGGGCGCGCTGGCCCCCGCCCAGTCCTCATCACGCTCTCTCATCCCCTCGCCTCCCCCTCCCCTCCGAGCCCCGCCTCCCCGCCCCCGCCGCCCGTCGCGTTCAGGCCCCGCGCTCGCCGCGCCCCGACGCCCGCGCGCCCTCCGCCACCATGAACTTCGGGAGGAAATGGATCTTTGGGACCAGCCAGCCCCCAGCAACCCCCCTCCCCGTCGTCGTCCCCCAGGAGCCGATCATTTCAGCCGCAGACGCTAAGCTGTTCGGCCTTGAGAACGTGAGTCTGGTCATTTCATTTCCTTGCGCATTTAGTCGCTAACCTCTTGCAGTTTGGCAGCACCTGGTGAGTCTCTGCTCTGCATATGTGCTGGTTCATCCTTCCCCTGCGGTTGCTGCCAAGACTCCAGCCTGCTTCGTTCGCGCTGTGCTGGTATTTTTGGCCACCAAGGACGATGTGACCTGGATGTATGCGCTGGCTTTGGGCTCGGCGCGCGAAGAGCCGACCCATTGCACCTCTCATACTGACGGGGAACCAGTTGCGTCAGGCAGCCGCGGGCTACCGACCAACACCTCTCTTTCTGTTCACATCTGTGCACTCTTCTCTTTCGCTTGCATCCGTCCTGTCGCTTCGTTTCAGGCGGAACAACACTGGGAGCAGGGGCGGTCTGGTAACGACGCTGAGGGCGCAGTCATATGGTAACCTCTTGCTCCCGTCCCTGCGTCCATCTGGAGCGAAGCCGTGACCAACCGCATGTTTCTCTTTATCCCGCCGTTACGGCACTTCATTCTCGTACGCAGCACCTGCTGACCTACTCTCCCCACAGCTACGCCAACTCGGTCCTCCAAGCCCTCTACTTCTGCGGCCCCTTCCGCGACCTCCTCCTTCAGTTCCCGGACCCATCTGTACCGGACGTACCACATCTTCCCGTTCTTTCTCCACCACCTGTCCAGCCCCCACCACCACCACCTACCATCTCCGGCCGTAAGAGGCCGACACGCACCGCCTCGGTATCCGACGCTCCTTCATTACACCCAAATGCCCCACCGCCCATCCCAATACCGCAACATCCCCCATCACTCCTTTCCGCCCTTCGCTCCATCTTCCTGCACATCAGCCGAAATCCGACCGACAAGGGCACGGTTGCGCCACGCGCGTTCATCGACAAGGTCCAGGAGCTTAACGAGACCTTCCGTCCCGGGCAGCATCAAGACGCCCATGAGTTCCTCAACTTCCTGCTCAACCAGATCGTGGAGGAGATGGAGGCGGCGGTGAAGAAGGCCGGGCTGGGCGAGAAGTCTAAGGAAGACTGTGAGTGCTCCTGTTTGTGTTCTCGCGCGCTTCCCGGCGACTCAAGACGCGTCTATCGCCAAGTGTCCACCTCTATCGCGACCCTGTCCACGCAGCCGCCGTCCTCCACCACGACCGCGCAGATGCATGACGCGACGCTCGTACATCGCCTGTTCGAGGGCGTGTTGACAAGCGAAACGCGGTGTCTGACGTGCGAGACCGTGTCGGCGCGGGACGAGTCATTCCTGGACCTCTCCATCGACATCGAGCAGAACTCGTCCGTGACGGCGTGTCTGCGACAGTTCAGCGCCAGCGAAATGCTCTGTCAGAAGAACAAGTTCTTCTGCGACTCGTGCTGTGACCTGCAGGAAGCGGAAAAGAGGTGCGTCATCCGCATAGATGCTTGCGCACCGATCCTCATGTACGCGCAGGATGAAGATCAAGAAGCTGCCAAATATCCTCGCACTCCATCTAAAACGGTTCAAATACCAAGAAGACGCGGGCAGATACGTCAAGCTCGCGTATCGTGTCGCGTTCCCTCTAGAACTCCGGCTATTCAACACCGTAGACGACGCAGAAGACCCAGATAGACTGTACGAGCTGTTTGCGATCGTAATCCACATCGGAACGTAGGTCTCCCATGTTCTGCGCCACCACGCCCGGTGACCGCCTCAGCTGACTGTACTACTCCCAGTGGGCCGCACCACGGCCACTACGTTGCGATAATCAAATCTAGAGGCACATGGATGCTCTTCGACGATGACACCGTGTCAACGATTAAAGAGTCCGAGATCTCGAAGTACTTCGGCGATTCTAATAGCGGTTCCGCGTACGTACTTTACTACCAGGCCGCCGACCTCAACCTCTCTGCGCTCGGATTGAAGGTCCCCACTCCCGCCCCCGCCTCCGCCACGATCACGGAACCCGGTTCCACCCCTGGTCGGCCACTGGCCACGGGTGAGCCGAGTGACCAAGGTCATGTTCCCAACTCGCCCTCTCCCGCAGCTCCTCCAGGGCTCGTTGAGGAGACCGCGCAATCTGATACGAGCGACTCGCCTCGCCTGCGATCTCCTACCCTCAAAGCACAGGTTCCACTGTCCGTGGACATTCCTCCACCATCTACAAACGGACCATCATCACCGTCGCAGTCGCAGCCGCAGCCGCAGTCGAAAGGGCTAATGAAAACTCTTCGCAGCAAAGGATCCTTGCGGGCAAGCAACTGGACTTCCGACAGCAGACGCAGCGGTGCAGACCTCGTTCCACCGCTGCCCTCCTCTCCTGTCGCGAAACGCCCGCGTACCGCGCAGTCCGAACTCTCCCAGACAGACGCCACGTCAAGCGCCACGCCCTCCATCCCTTCTTCCCCCGTCCCGTCGAAAGGGTACGTGTTCCCCCACCACGGTAATGGGAGTGTCCCATCAACCCCTCTCAGTGACCGCGCTCCTGAAAAGAAACCGTCGTCCTGGTTCAAGCGCAAGAGCTCATCGCGACAGGACGCGCTCGCCGCTCTGCCGCAATCGCCCTCGACACCCAGGCTGGGCAGACGCGGCTCGGAAGCAGCGATCCAGATGGCGCCGCCCATGGCGTCGACCTCAAGTTCCGAGCCGCCCCTCTCACCCATGGGGTCTGGGTCCCATACGAAGTCCGCTACGAGCTCGCGCGACAAGGAGAAGCGCAATTCCCACACGCGACGACCGTCGACAGCCGGTCCAACGATGTCGTCATCGCGGCCGTTGTCTGGAATCTCGTCTCCGCCACCGCTCCCAACGCTCCCAGGCTCCCCTGCGTCGCCGATGCCGAATGGGACAGCAGCGGAACACGCACGCTTCGTAAAGGGCACGTCGCGCGACTCGGAACGAGAACACGACCACTTGAAGGCGACTCGGAACCACGACCGCTCGACGGCGGAGACCAACTCGCATACGACGCTTAGCCTGAGCAGACCGAGCTCCGGAGCGCGCACGCGCACACCGAGCTCGCGCGACGCATCGCCCTTCCCTGCTTCGAACCCCCTGCCTGAGCACGACTCCACCGCGTCCTTGCATGCGTCGCGGGGGCTGTCGTCACAGCCACCTTCCCAGGCCCCGTCCGAATCACACTACTCTACCTCATCGACACCATCGCGCAGCCCCCAGCCGCAGACGCGCCAACTACCGCCACTACCCCCTCACGCGCACCATACACTCTCGTACGGCGGCGGGAGCGGAGGCGGGATCGGAGACACGCCCGTCGTCCCACACAACCACTCCGGTGGTAACGGGCTCGCGCACGGGAGCGGGAGCTCAACATCGAACCAGTGGAAACGCGCGACGCGCAAGCTCAGCTTCACGGCACCGATGCTCGTGTTTGGACGCAAGGACCGGGAGAAGGACCGGGAGAGGCGCGAGATACCGTCGTCGTTCACGCGCTAAAGCTGCAGGGGTGGGGCTGTACGCTGCTTTCACGTTTCTCTATCGCTTTGCGCTTTCAGACTTGGTTTGACGATCTTACTCTGCCCCGCCCCACCCTTCCACCCTCGCACATGTCCTGTCGGCACGTCGCTCTTTCGCACCCCCACAGTGTACTACGTTATGTCCTCTTCTACTTCGCCAGACTCTCCATGCTGTGCACGTGTTGTCGCTGCCCCGATATCCAGTCCCACCCGTCCGTCCATTCGCCCGCCTTCCCGCGCATACCTCCCCGCATGTGCATCACTATACTTATGCTCCTCTTCTGTCCTCTCGTCCGAACCCCATCGCGGAACCATGCATGCAGGATATATCTCCACCTATCGTACCACGCCACTTGCCCCTACCTGCCCCTCGCCTCTCGTTCGCCCGGCCCATCGCTGTGTCGACGCCGGCGGTCCGGCTCTTTGTATACGTACCCTACGATACGAGCCGTGCTAATGTACTTTTATCGCGTCGATCTGCCGTCCGTAAGTGCGCGACTGCAAGCGAGATACAATCTCAGTATCAAGTCCAGAATCGGGGACCTTGCCTTTCCCTGGAAGCTCATACAAAATGTGCGTCCCTCAATCCCCTTTGAGGCTGCTGCATCACTGACCTGTCCACATGTAGTGTCTACTCCGACACGAGCGTGACGAGGCGCTCGGCGTCTCGGCGTCTGGGAGTGGATCTCGCGCTTGACTGGGGATCTTGCCCACTTAGCGTTCTTCATTCCCCGGCCTACGCCTCTGCGAACGCAATGCTGTCCCCCTCAAGGTGGAAATGAAGGCTTACTGAAGCCACACTCGCTTCAGCGTTCTCGGAAGAGTCCGTGGGTCGCTAAACACAGATTGGCTTCGAGTCAGATCTCGAGGCAGGTGGGTCGCGCAGTATGTATAGGTGATATGCAGGTGGCAACCGTGGACGCCACGGCGTGGAAACAATCCTCCGGCAAACGTTTGGCGAGGTGGTGAATGCATTGACCACGGGCGTTATGGAAGTGACATCGCACTGCATGCCACCTCAGTGGTGTGTACTTCGACTCCTCTGGGCGTCTTCACGAAGACTTACGACCGACTCTACAGCACCCCGTTCCGTCCCGCCTCCCCCCGTGCTCGCCGGGACTAACGTTGAATGCTTGGACATACGCATCGTGCTCGAGCGGTCGACCTCGACCCTCTGCTGATGCTGTAATCAGGTGAGCCCCAAACCAATCCTTCCGGTGCGCGCATCTCTCACGCTCTCATGGGACGACAGAGGACGACGCGACGTTTCCCAGTAGCGTGAGTGCGCGTCAGACATGGTCAGACCCGCCTCACTCACGAACTTGGCAGGCGCACGCGAAACAAGAATGTGCGGGTGTTCACAAAATCGAACTCGGGCCCTGAGTCCAGCTCCCGGAGTCTAGTCAAAAGAGGTATACAACATGCACGCAGTCCCAAGATACGCACAGCCCGTCAATCGCTACATGACCGCGGCTCCTCCACGGTACAGTCTAAGTACAGCCGAAGTCCCCCAACGTGTCTCAAGCCCGCGCCGGCTGCCTCTTCCGGAACAAAACGTGCGCCGTAAGGTCCGGCAGGACGTGCTCCGCGAAGTGCACGTTGCTCGGCCGCGGGCCGTCCCCAGGAATCTTCATGTCGTAGTTGAGCACCAGAACCGCGATCAGCGCCTTCAGCTCGCCCCCAGCGAAGAACCGTCCCGGGCTGCAGGCGCGCGCGACCGAGCCGGCGAGTCAGAAACCACTGAGGCGAGCGCGAACGGGAAGGGGACGCACCACGCATGCCGCCCGTGCCCGAAGGCGAGGTACTCGGGCGAGGTGTTCACGTACTGGTGCTTCAAGTCCTCGCCGGCGCCCTCGCGCATGCGCGAGAACCGCCAGGGGTCGAACTCGTCCGCCGTCGCGCCGTACACGGAGGACTCGCGGTGGGCCGGGTACGCGGCCGCGTTGACGAGCGTGCCCGCGGGGATGAAGGTCCCGTCGGCGAGCGTGATGTCCTTGAGCGCCTTGCGCGTCGCGGCCACTGCAGCACAGACGGAAACGCGGTCAGCAGTGGAGATGCTGAGAGACGGGGACCGGAGGAGGGGACGCACGGAGCGAGATCCCGTTCATGCGCTGCGACTCGCGCAGGAGGCTGTCCACCTTCCACATCTTCCCGAGCGCGGCCTTGCTCCAGCCCTCCGCGGCGACGATCGGCTCGACCTCGGCGCGGAGCACGTCCGCGAGCGCGGGCGCGGCGGCGAGGTGGTAGATCGCGTGCGTCGCGCTCTTCGAGGTCGTCTGAATCGCGGCGAAGTTCGCGAGGAGCACGCGCTGGGTGATCTGCTCCGCCGTCGAATCGCGCAAGAGTGCCTTCTCGAGGATCCAGGTGAGCAGGTTGTTCTGTGTGGGGGCGCGCCGGGGTCAGGGATAGACTGGGGCGGAGGTGGAAGGGGGCGTACGGGCTTTTCGGTCCAGCCGTCGCCGAGCTCCTTCAACTTGTCGAGGCGCTCTTTGATGATCGGGTCGAGGATGGCTGTAGCCCGCCTTTGCGTCTTGCGCGTGTTGCTCATAAGACCTCCCACAACGCTGCATGGTGTTTGCTTCAGTCTAACGTATGAAAACGGGAGCTCACTTCAGTGCTCACCCCTTCAGGAAGCCGGGGAATGGTTTCATGCGGTCGTTGTCAGATGTGATATCGAATGTGTACCTGATCATGAGATCCAAAAACTCCTCGTTGCGACCTTCGGAGGACTTGCGGTTAGCGAAGGAGTAGCTCACGGTGTTTTACAACAGGACTCACAGGCAGGGAATCCGACGAAAACACGGTTGCTCACCCGGGCGACGATCTTTCGCATGGAGTTGATGACATGTACTGATACCCACTCTGCATACGTGACTTTGAATGAGCGGCGGAGAAATACCACAAGGACTATATCGTACCTTCTGAGGTGCGGGGACATTCTCTGGGACCGCGAGCATAAGCTCCTCGACGATATCTGGCATAACTGCGGGCAGCGTGCGGGTGAGCTTCTCCCTGGTGATGTCAACGAGATAAGGATCGTCCAGCCACGCCCTCCCGATAGTATGTTTGGTTTGTAGAATCTGCGGATCATCATCTCGGTCGACTCGCTCCGCTTAAAGCAAGAATAAACAGTACCTCTTCGACTCCTTCGATGAATGACACCTCGTCCTTGGGTCTTTTGCAGAGGTCTTCGACCATCTTCGGCCGCTGATGACGACCATCCACTGGTCGAACAGGGCGACTTTGAAAACGCTGCCATGGTGCTTTGCGGTGACGGAGGGGTAAGAGGGGTCCGGTTAGACGGGAGCATGACGAACCTTCTGATACCCTTCCGTGATGATACGCATAGCATCGCGGATGAAGTTAAACGCGCCGATGTAAGACAGAAGCGGGATAGAAGGTCCTCCGACAGTGGGGATACGCCTGAGCTGCATAAAGAGCGCAAGCGATGTTAGAGTCCGGTAAAAAACCTCGCGATGCGTACCACTCACTGGGTCGAACAACCACCTGAGCACGACGGTCGCGACGATCGCCGCTCCTGTTCCGCACACCACCATCCGTGTGTTCTCGTGGATGTAGTCCATGTCGTTCGGGTGAAGCGGGGGGGAGTGCAGCGAGAGATTGATTTCCCTTCGCGAGCTCTACACCTCTTTATACGTGTGGGCGGTATAGAAGCCCCCGAGGCCGACTCGATCCTATATCTGATGCACGTGTTGAGGGCCCTGTTTCCTGCAAAGATTCGGGCTGCCGAACACTTCGATCGTGACTCCAAAAGCATCGGCTATCCGGTCGAAGAAGCGAACATGGGCACGACCGGACATCACTAGTCAGATTTATTTGGAACGGAAGGCCATTCGCACCAGCAGCCTTTACTTGACTAGGTAGTCTGCAAATCGCTGCCGGGATACGGTCATGGGATAGTTTGTATCCGTACAGAGCAATTGTGGCCGCGTTCCGCTCAAGGAATATCCACTAACGAACAAGCTTTTGGATTTGTCAGCACGCTGCAGCCCAAATATTTCACGGTGCGAGTGCACGGCTCACCCTACGGCACTCCTACGGATCACTTCCGCTGCTGAATTCAGGAGTCGATTCGAAGGATGCTCAGAGGCACGGTTTATCGGCCTCGTACTGGGACGTCGCAAGGATATCAGGATCCGTTGCCCGACGAAAGTGGGACGAGAATTTTCCTCGTAACCGGGTAAGAGGGTGACCATAAATGCGATTGCGGCGAACGGCGCACGGAGATGAAAGGTGTGGAGCTGAAGAAGCGCGAATTTGGTGATTGCTCGGTCTTCGCACTAGTGAGTGTGAAGATACATACATCGCATCTTCTAGGGGCAGATAGAGTTACCATGTTCGTCATCGTGAGCCCTTGCTCGTACGACATCGTCCAGCTGACGACGAGGTGCGGTTACCAGAGCCGAGGATCGGAGTATCCACCATGAAACCTGCTGCTAACGTATACTTCCCTCCCGTTAGATGAAAGCATCGAAGCACGCACGGATAAAACGTGGCCAGCCATGCAGAGAGCTTGGTCTGTATCATTTCGGCTGCCGCAGCGCTGATTGCGCTATTGTTATATCCTGGCGCCGCGCGTATGACAAGAACACAACTTTCTGAAGACACGTCAGAGCACTGGTGGTGAGTCGTTTGCGGCCAAAGCGCGCTGCCGAGCGCCTCCAATATCGGTCCCGGCTTCGGCCCGGATCCGAGAGCCACGTGATGGTACTAAGGTCAGTTCAGTGCGTTCAGCTTCCACTTCGTTCCAACAATTAACCAATTACGGTCGTTTCCCTGCGTTAAGAAGTACTGTCGAGCGCGGAGTCCGCGAGCTCGGCGGACGCGTCGTCGAGATGATCTCCTGGTCTCGCACATGGCATTGATGCAAACGGCCGTCGACATCTGCGCTCCAGGCATCGCATACGCTCCTCCCACGGATCAGAATCAAAGCGTGTACCGGAAGTCCGGTGCGCGGTCGCCCATCCTCCGCAGTTCCTCGGGCGTGTGCTTGACCCCGCGCTCGCTCGCCTCCCTCATCGCCGCCTCGCGGCGCGCGTTGATGCGCTTGTACGAAAGCACCGCGATCGGGAGCGCGACGAACCCGATGCCCACGAACATGAGCTCGATCCCGTCTGCGGTGGCCCAGACGGTGCGTCAGCTACTCCAGGTAACCATGCCGAGAGTGTTAGAAGAGAGGACGCACGGCCGATGATGTACCGCGGCGCGTCCTGCGTGCGGTAGATGTTGCTCGCGATCGCGCCACTAAAGTTGCCGATCCCGATGTGGAGCGCCATCCCGACACCGCGCTTGTAGTGGCCCGCGAGGTTGTTCCCCAGCCTGCCGTGGTCCTCCGAGCGTTAGCGCGTCGAACCGCGGCACGGAACCGGAGGATACGCACCAGGCGACGACCCCGGGGAAGCCCGCGTACGAGCCGGTGACGACGAGGAAGGTGCCAAAGTACTTGGCGCCGGCGCTCGCGTCGGCGATGTTGATCGCCAAGCCGACGAAGCAGAGGACGAGCCCGGCGAGGATGAAGGGGTACCTCATCTTGATCCTGTCGGACCAGGACGCCCAGACGAGAACGGTGATGGCTGCGCTAGGTGTGAGCAGTGGAGCAAAGAAGTAAGTCCGCACTCACTGGCAACGACGTAAGGCGGGACGGTGAGGAGCTGAGAGATTGTTGTGCTGAAGCCAAAGCTGAAAAAAGGAGGTCAGCACATGATGAGTTCGGCTGACGGAGGCGCAAGTGGACTAACTTGTGGATGATTGACCTTGGACGCGATAAAGTCAGAGCCTAGGGAATCTGTCGCACAAATGAAGCTTACGGGAGGAATAAGGAGATTCCGTAGACTAGAAGCAGCGTCAGAGTCAGATACGTTCATTGGGGCCTGCATCATAAACTTACGCGGCGCGACGATAGACATGTAGATCAAGAGATGGATCCACACCTGCCAGTCGAGAAGTGTTTCCCATATGTGACGGACCTCGAAATGCTCCTCCTCCCCAACCGAGGAGTTGTCGTACTCTGTTGTGAGGGCGTGTTAGTCAGTAACATATGCAGCGAATGTCTAACGCACTCTTCCGGTGGACAACCCAAGCACGCTCTTCCGGCGTCAAGAACTTGGCAGTCTGCGGGAAGTCAACGACAACTATGCCGAGTGAGCGTCTGTGAGATACGGGAGTTGTTACGCGTACCGAAGAAGGCGACGAGCCCAACAACGATTGTAAGGAGCCCCTCGATGATCTATGACAACAGGCTGCTCAGAAAGAAGGAGTTGAGAGATATTGAGGACGCAGACGCACAAAGATCCACGACCATCCGAGCAGTCCGGCCGTTCCAGACATGAACGAGATGCCAAACGCCAAGAGCCCGGAGAATGCGCCCGCAGCCGTCGCGCCCCCGAAGAACATGCCGACGCGGTACTGCAGCATGTGACGCGGGTACCATAGTGAAAGGCTAAAAGGCATCGTAGGTGGTCTCCGTAGACAGAAGATGCTGCCGTTGTACGCACTAGTATACGACGCCGGGAAAGAGGCCGGCCTCGGCCACTCCCAGACAGACTCGAGCGCCGACGAGTTGAGGATAGCTTTCGAGATGAGTGTCAGAGAAGCTGACGCTCACAAATACTAATATACTTGCTTTTTGACAAGACCCATGAGCGTCATGATAAGACCCCAAACGACCTGCGAGATCTGTGAGCGCTAAAGGAGATCGTGATGACATTGCGCACACACCGTGATTCCAGGAAGCCATCTCGAAGGACGGAACTTCTTGAGTACCAAATTCGCCGGGCACTCAAATAGACAGTATGGCTACAGGAGATGGCAATGTGAGTTGCCGGAGCTTAGGCGGCGTTAAAGACACGTACAATGAAGTACATCGTCTACGAGATCTTACGATCAGTCGAGACCGAAAACATAAAGTCAACACAAAACCTCACCAATGCGATGTTGTACCTGTTTCCCGTGAGGTCGAGCTGTGTCGTCAGACCTTGCAGCTTCGCGTTGCCTGTTCATCCCGCTCAGTAAGTGCTGACAGCATATCGGGATTAGAGCGCACCGATGTTTCCCCGATCCAAGAACGAGCACAAGTACATGAGCGTTAGGATGGGCACGAGGTGTAAGTCAATCTTGCGCCACAACCTCTTCTCCTGCTCTGCGGTGAGCGTCGGCGGGGGCGGGAGCTCGTCCGGGTCGCCTCCATACGCGCGCGCCGCCTTTGCAGTCTGGACCGTATCTTCGACCGACTCCTTCTCCGTCCCGCTGACTTCAACACACCTCTCGCTCCCTTTCTCGGACATGCTCCTCGTCGTGGGCGTGAACTTCCGGTCCTGGATGTCGAGTCGTCGAGGACCGTAGTTGAGGAATGGGCGTGAGGCAGAAAGGCGGCCGCTCGTGGTGCGGCGTGGGCCCTCTTTTATATGCCGTCAGACCTGTCAAAGCGCACTCACGCTAGCCGCAGAAGGCGGGCGCCTGGGCTGATAGATGGACGGGAGCCACGCCGGAGGTTAGGCGTGGAGGTGACTCGTGAGCCTGGGGCCTGGCACGGGATGTGGAAGTGCGACAGACAATGCGTACCCACATCACTCCGGAGAGCGCGGGGTCGCGGAAGAGTTGATTGGCGGGGCTTCGGATGAAAGCCGTGCTGGCAGGTGGAACGGAACGCTTCGCGAGGGGTCGGTCGTACTTAGAGTGAGCAGTTGAAGCGGAAGTGTCGGTCGTAACGCAATCTGGAGGGAGGTGATGCTGTTCAAGAAGGCTTAGAGCATAGGACAGCGTGGACTCGGCCAGGTTAGCTTGGTGAATCTTGACTGGGAGCGGTCGTACATACGTGACTGATGCATGACGGTGGCTGGGCGTGGCGTCTTTGTCGCATTCAAGACGGTGATTGCGACCAGTTGACGACGCCCGTCCGGCGCTAAAAGTATTCGGCAAAAGTGCCAGCCGGTCCGGGCCGTCCAGCCCAAGCGCTGGCCGCCAACTGGAGAAATGCTGTGGCATCTTATGTAATGTAGTCGGCCGCTTCTATCTCTCCCTCTCCCTCTCATCATTTCGAGCTACTCTCGCCACTTCCGTCGTACGTAGTAGTGAAGCTGAACACGTTCTTATCGGCTAACTTACTACCCAGCCCTCTTTGCGCCTCACATTCATTGGAGATGTCCTTCTTCCCGTTGGTCGACGACGTCCTCCCGGACATATTCGCGAATTTGGATAGCAGAGATCGTGTATCACGCAGAACTCTCTTTGCCCTCGCCTTGTCTTGCAGACGCTTTTCCCGTCCCGCTCTCGATGTTCTCTGGCGATAGCTTCCCGACGACTTCCCCCTAGTCGCACTTCTGCACACCCTCGACATCGCAAAGGACCGCGACAACCCGCCTCGCGATGATAAAACTGTTCGCCACGAATGTCCATCATGGTTCTACGCAAGTATCTGTACCTCTTCATATCGCATGGTACTGACCTCCTGGTTCTGGTTTCAGACGGTTGGACACTCGACTCTACGGCCGACCTCCACTGCCATCCAATGTGGGCCCATTTTCAGTCGTATGCGCGCTGCGTGGAGGAGATCACCATCTTCCTGCCAGAAAACGCGGCCGTGACGTCCGTCTGGAATGAAGTGGAAGCACTGTTAGGGAGCGACGATGCGCTCCTTCCTTGCCTTCGTCAAGTCATTGTCAACAAACGTGATCGTCTGGGATACTTTCGACCCACTGGACTATGGCCAGTTCGCACTACTCTCACCAGTGTCCGCCACGTAACGTTTGAAGACCCTATGGAATAGAAGGGGACACCTGCATTAGCGACGCTCTCCTCACTCGCTGCCCCAACTGGAAGACATTGTGTCGAGCATAACGCATGGCCCATCTCGTTCCTCAATTCTCCAAGCCCACACGACTTCGGAATCTCGAGTGCTGCGAGTGGGTAGAACTGGGCGTCAGCAATTTGACACATCTGCAACATGGTCCGCACTCGAATCGCTTTCCTTCACCCTGTCCTCTTCGACCCTAACAGTATCTACGCCCCACCGCCCTTCTCCTCCCGAATCTCACGTCGCTCACGATGAACGATCCGTGCAAGTACGCGACCCTCTTCGTCAACCTCATGCAGCTTCCTTCTCTCAGGACCCTTTCCTACGTCTTCTGCACCACGGGCAGCGAGCCCGACACTCCACTCGACGCCATCACCGCAGCTACCCCGACCTCACCACGCTCGCGCTCACGCTCCTGCGCTCTGGCCGAAGTAACAAACGCACTCCCCGTCCACGGCCGTGCGTGCGCCTCTCGCACCTCCTCGGCCCCTCGCGCCGCTCAGCACCTCCGCGCGCTGCATATCGCAGTCCCGGACACCCCTTCGGCTACAGCGCGCGGACCTCCGGGCGATCGCGAACGCGTGGCCCGCGCTCGTCGAACTGCGCGTCGAGATCGAAGACGATGACGAAGAGGTGGAGAGCGAGGACGAAGCCAAGCCGGGGCTTGAGGTGCTTGCGGAGCTCGCGCGCGGGTGCCCCGATCTCCGTGTGTTGCACCTCCCGCGGACGGTGCTGGCCCTGGGGGCGTTAGACGCCGCGGGGGTGGGATTGGCCGCGCACCGCGCCCTTTATGACCTCTGTCTGGGGGTGGTTGAGGTGCGCGGAGCACGTGGCGACGGGGAGCGGGAGGAGCAGGAATCCGCACGTTCATTAGGGTGCTGTTCCCAAATGCTGAGCGTCGGGTCGAGGTAAGGACAGTCTGCTGTTTCGCGGCTGTATGATGTATATGGGCGGATGTTTTCTTCGGCCCTTATTTTTCCCCATAAGCACTCATTTCGCGCTTCAATCGCAACAACAAGTGTTCTGGGAGGATGGCTGACTCGCTTCGACGCCCACTTCCGACCGTGAACGCGCCGCTGTGAGCGCTTTGTGCTCTCGGCGACCGTCTCGCTGACGGGAGGGGTGTGTGGAGACGAGAAAAAGAATGGGCGCGCGGATGGTGCCCTCGTGTCTCATAGTGGCTTCTGGTTTCCTTTTCTGACTTCTTGCACTGACCTTGGTCTCCGAGATAGGAGGCTGTCTTCTGCGTGTGCTAACGGCCTTTGACTCACTCGGATCCGACTCCGACGGCTCAAGGGCGTTGATCTACCTCGTACTGGGACTTTAATGCCAGCTTGGACCAGAAGAGTACTCGCATTTCACCTCAGCGTCCACCGATGACTCACCGATCTTACGGATGTGGAAGACCCCGAAGCGCGCCTGTCCACTACATATACCAGCACTAAGGCCCACCCACCTCCCCGCAAACCCACCCTACAGCGACCATGGCCGCCCCGCTCACCAAGCCGCTCGGCGCCTGCTGCTTCCGCACGATCCCGCACTCGGGCACCGCGCGCGGCACCTGGGAGACCATCGCCGGCGTCGAGACCTACGTCGCGCGCCCGTCTTCTGCGCCCGACGCCAAGGTGATCCTGCACTTCTCGGACGCGTTCGGGGCCTCGGCCGTGAACTCGCAGCTCGCGATGGACTACTGGGCCGACGCTGGCTTCACCGTGCTCGGGATCGAGTACTTCGAGGGCGACACCGCGGGGAAGCACGTCGGCACGCCTGGGTGGGATGGGATGGCGTGGGCGACGGAGAAGCTGAGGCGCGCGAGGGAGGTCACCCCGCCGTGGATTGACGCGGTGCGGGCGCGGTACGGTGAGCGACGGCTGGTATCGATTGCGGCGCGGTTGAGCGCTGAACGTTCGGAAGGTGCGGACGTCAAGTACTTTGCAGTGGGTGCGTCTCCTTCTCTTGATGGCGGATCTCTCATTGATCGCGCGCGCAGGATACTGCTTCGGGGGGTCGTTCATCATGGACATGGTCGCCCAGGACTGGATCACCGCCGGCGCGTTCGCGCACCCCGGCTTCCTCGACGAGGACCACTTCCGCAACGCGAAGAGTGCGTCCCCGTCCCCATTTCCGAACGGCGCTCACCCCGCTCCACAGAACCGCTCCTGATGTCCTGCCCCGGTACGCCCGCACCTCTCTCCACATTCAGACACACCCGACGCTGACGCGGGCGCAGAGGACGACTTCACGTTCCCGCTCGACCTCCGCCGGCGCGCCGAGGACACCCTCCTCGCGCGCCCCGCCGCGTCCGCGGCGCCATACACGATCCAGGTCTTCAGCGGCGCGTCGCACGGTTTCGCGACGCGCGCGGACCCCGCGAAGCGCACCGAACGTGCGTCTCTCTCTCTCTCTCTCTCTCTTGCCCCGTGCGCGCGTTTTACGCTGCGGAGGCTGAACATGCGCCCGCGCCCCTCGATCCGATCGGCCCCGGGCGCTGGTCCCGCTTAATTCGCCGCCGGAGAGGAGCGTCGTCCTGCGCCCGTCGCGCGCACCGTGTCCCCGATCTCGCGCTCACGTTCGCGACAGAGTGGGCGAAGGAGGAGGCCGCGCGGACCGTCGTTTCCTTCTTCGATTTCTACGCGCAGCAGCCGTGGACGCCGCCCGCGCCGAGCGCATGAAAGAAGAGGGAAAGGGAAAGGGATTTTGGGAGGTCGTTTTGTGCTCGTGAAACGACCAGACCCAGAGCCGGAGACGTACGGCGCGTCAACAACCACAACCTCCTTGCATACAGCTGGTTTCTACAATGATACACAGATCGACAGGAATCTTACACAGCGACCAAGTCGCACCGCCGGGGATATCAAGAACGTATGAGTACAGTACAGGTGAGTATATGCAGTATGCATAGCGGGATGACTACTAGTACGGATGAGACGGGACACGAACGCTCTACACAATAGCAACTGTGGGGAAGAATGCACACCATAATACAAAGCCACGACGACGACGACACCCAGGAAGAGAACCCACCCACGTCACGCCGCCGTGAACACCCGGCTGCGCTCGCTCGGGCCGCGAGCGAGAACGTCTCGCAGTCGTCGTCGGCGCGCACCCAGAGCGCGACGAGCTCGCGCCGCGCGCGGTCCCGGCTCTCGTGCGCGTCGCGCGCGACCGACTCGCAGTGGCGCGTGCAGTTCTGCACCCAGACCGCGAACGTCGTCAGCCGCTGGTAGACGGCCTCCTGCTTGAGCGTCATGATCTGCTGCTGTTCTGCGTGGGGGTCAGCGCGTGTGTGCGTGTGGGGGGAGCACGACGCGAAGGGGGCGACGGGAGAGAGACGCACGCTGTATGCCCATCGCGAGTGTCGGGCCGCCGTACATGAGCTTGTAGAACTGCAGGGCCTGCAGCAGCCCCGTCTCGCGCAGCTCCTCCACGTTTTTCTCGTCCTCGCGCGAGAGCAGGAACGCGTACGGGGTTAGCGATGCGACGCACTCGTCGAAGCACCGCTGTGCCTTGCTCGCCCAGTCTGCGGCCTCTGCGTATGATACCTGACGTCAGCGATGGGGACGGGGACTCGGACCCGTGCGGTGGAGACGGAAGGACGCACCGCGGTAGGTCTCCTGCCGGCTCTGCTCGTCGCCGACCATAGCCTCCCACCTGCTCTTCTTCGGGCTGCAAACGGCGTCGATGAGGTCCAACGCCTTCGTGTAGTGGTGGTGCGCGGACTGGACCGCGTTCTGCGCGTGCTGCAGCGCCGCCGCCGTTTCCTTGCCCTGAGCCTCGTGAGCACTGTGGCCAAGAAAAGGAAATGAGGTGCGTAGTGACGTACGTCGATGTAGGCCTGGTCGCGCGCCGCGACGGTCTTCCGCGCGCGCGCGTGGTCGTCGAGGTACGGGTGTCCCGTCGCGCCGCTCCTGACCGCACGCGGTCAACATCGCCCCACGACGCAGGTAATCGAAGGGAGGCACTCACGTCGTACTCCGCCACGACACCGGCCGCCCGTCGTCGAGCACCTTCTTCAGCTCCTCAAAGTACCCGTCGAGCCTGCCCGCCGCCGCTTTCGCGGGCTCCATCTGCCGTCCGAGTCCGCGTCAGTCGGGGGTGCGGGCAGGAACAGGGGCAGGGGGATGCGATCGCGATCGCGATCTGGGCCGCGGGACCGCGCGAGGGACGTACGCGTTCAAGCAGCTGGGCGAGCTGCGCCTCGAGATCCGCCACGCTCGGCAGCTCCTCCGCGCCCTCCTCGGGCAGCGGCGCGGCGGCGGAGGGTGGCGAGGCGGCCTTGCCTCTGAAGATGCGGAGCCCGAGTGCGGACGGCTTGCGCTTCGGCTGCGGGCTGCTTGCGGGACACGTGGGCGCGAGTAATGCGAGGGAGAACGGGAGTCAGCGTCCACGCGCGCGGAAAGAAGCGGACGAAAAAAGCGGGGGTATGACGCATCCGGGGTAGGGTGGTTCGCGTGCAGGGTCGCGGAGAACCCGCGCGCGGGAGGAGGGGGTGTATGTCCGTGTGTTTTTTGTGTATCCTACTTATCGCCCGCAACGGCGGGCCCTATAGTAGGCGGTACGCGCGACGCATACGGGGGGATGCCGTGACGAACCTTCGGGGGGTGTACGTACGCGCAAAAGAAGACGGGAAGACGCACCTCCTCGCAGCCGCCTCCCGCTTCTTGGCCGCGCGCAGGCGGGCCCTCAAGTCCTCGAGCTGGCGGACGTCGACGAAGAGGCGCTGGCTGGCGGCGTCCGCGATCTTCCAGTTCTCGTACGTGCGCGAGAGGGCCCAGTCCGGGTGCGGGGTGAGGAAGGGGGACATGGAGGCGTAGCCCGAGTCCATGCTCGTCCGCGAGCCGGACGAGTGCGGGCTGGTTGGAGATGTGGGCGACTGAGGAGGGCGCGGCGAGTGTGCGGAGAGATACTGCGAGGAGGATGAGGAAGAGGCAGCGTAGGTGGATGCGGATGCTGAGGATGAGGATGCAAGGGGTTGTGTAAGGGCGTCGGCCGGTGTAGAAGGTAAAGAGGAGGAAGGTGGAGGGCCGAGGGCGGGTGCAGAGGCGAGGACTTTGCGGAATGGAGGCATGGCGGCAGACGTGGAGATGCAACGTTCTTGGGATAGCGCCGGACTAGAAGAGCAGAAATGCGACCGGTTGATGGGCTTGAATGTGAGGGGGCGGTGGAAGGGAGAAAGAGGCGGACTGGTGCTTATAAGCCCGGCGCCCGTGTGTGCGCAGACCTCGGGGAGCGAGATAGGCTCTCGAGCTCGCGACCGCTTTCCCGTTCGAGTGGCGAAAGCGGGGAGGAAACGGGGACACGCAGGCACACCTGCCGGCCCCGCAGTTCTTGCAGAAGACTGTCCGTCGCCCAGCCCGGCTCTGCTCAGAAGGCGCTCTTTCGTCCCTCGCACGTTCGTCCCTCGATTGGAGCAGTGGGCGCCGACCCCAGCACTCGGGAAGGGCTCCGGGATCCAACGCGCCATTCCCATCCCTTCTTCCACGCTCTAAGAAACTTGGGTCACAACTTCAGTCGTCCGCCTCGCTCGTCGTCCGCCTTCACTCGCCACCACCAGCAAACCACCACCGCAATGGGGCGTGGGAGCAGAGACTGGCAAGCACAGCGCACTCAAGCTTTTGGCGCGGTCCAAGGACAGCATCCGAGGATCTAAACTCAAGATAGCAAGCGTGCATCCCGTCGTCACTTTCGAGACACACTCACGCTCAGAGTTTCCGCTACCAATACACCTTCCGATGCCGCACAAGAGAGTTACAATTCTGTTCTGTGCAATCACGGCCTCGTGGCCCTGTTACGCGAGCCTAGGCTTGCCGTGCATCGTCCAACCCTTGAAGGTGGAGACTAGACAGGTTCCTGCCGTGTATGAATGCTAGCAGGCTGCCGCCTGAAGTTAACGCAATCAATCAAAGCACTCGAGCGCACACGTCAGGCCGCGGCACTGGAACGTACAGGATTATAGACGCACCTCCGACACCCTACAGCCCTCAAGGCCACAACCATGGCCAACGCTCCCCGGCGGCCGCCGGTCCACCCCGTGGCACTCCACACCCCCGCGGCCCTTCAACCCGCGCAATCTGCCGCGCTCCAGATGGGCTCACGCGACCTCGACGCCGCCGACCTTGACCGCCATCTTGATGGGGAACGGCGAGATGCTCGACGCGTCCGTTATGAGCGGCACCGCCGCCCGCCCACGCTCCGACGACGCGTGCGCGAGCATCGTATGCAGGCTCTTCGTCAGCGTCCCTGCTAGGTCCGCGTTGAACCTCTGCCGATCTGTGCGCAAGCCGTCAGTGCTGCGATGTATGGGAACGAACGCCAGCCCAGCCCCGTATCGCCTCGTACGGCCCCCTTGCGAAAGGCTGTGAAAGGCAACCTTTGCACAAGTCCTCGCATCGCTATCGTCTGGAATAGAAGAAAACCTGCCAATCCACCATGCTTCGACTTTTGAGGGCGGGCCATAGGCCTCGGACCGTCGTGTACACGCGTTAGGGTGCGGCACTTCTCATCTGTGGGGGCCGCTGCCCGACGCTGCGAACGGGCGCGGCGAGGAAAAGGGGTAGGATGGGACACAGGTGCGCCCCGAACAGCCCGCGAAGAATGGGACACAACCGGCCTGGCGGAGAGTTTTGAACTAAAGGGGGAGGCGTACCTTTCTCTGACGGCTGGCGGATCTCGGCATTTATGATCCTGCGGGCCGCTCAGCCACGAGGCGGTACCATGACGGGAGGAGCATACCATTGTTCCCAGGGAACCTCTTCCTGTCGCACACCGTCAGTAATGATCGCAGAAAGAGCGATGATGTGTGGCCACACACTACTGCGCGACGGACGACAGCTTCATCTCCGCGTCGCAGTGGGGACCATGGTCTGACAGACCGGATCGCGCGGCGTGATGAGAAGGCGACGCACCTCGCCCATGATAAACCACGTCTTCCGTTGCCGCTTCTCCGAGAAGGTCACCATAATCTTCCAAGGCAACGTCCCGCGTTTAGACCGGGCGTTGACATCCAGGGCAATCGTGCGAGGCCGCCGCAGCGGACACAATGGCCACGTTCGAGTGTCGAGGGGTGAGACGGTATATACAGTCAAAGCACCGGTAAGAGGATAAGAGACCGCGTCAGCCGGACTCTGACATTCATGGTAGCGGAGGGGACACGCACCTGGCCACGTTTATTCGCATCGCCCTCCACGCCTTTCCAAAACGCCCCAACGGTGTCCTCGATCCGCTGTCGCATTCCATCGTCGTCGACCCCGGGCTGTGCGCGCGCAGAGTCAGCGTCAGCCTCCGCCTACGACCGGATCGTCCGAGCCTATTCAACCCGCTTCGATTCCGCTGTTCTGACCCGCAGCGCAAAAGCGCCACCGCTGGGCATCAGATCCATGTCCACCGCGCTCCGGCGGCAGCTGCTGTGAGACGGCGTCGACACCCACGTTTGCCCACTCCTCGCCTGCGCCTCAGAAGCTCTCCACCGCCTCGCCAGGGTCATTGGCCATGACCCTGGCGAGGCGAGATCTTGCTCAAGACTTTGACGCCGCGCCGCCCGCGGAGTATTCCTTACTGGCGTCTCCCCCTCTGCGACTCCTCAGGAAAGGTTCGTCGCCTCCGCAGAGCGATCCCCCGAGGACCCGGACCTCGCCTGGGCGGTCCACACTGCGGTTCTGACATACGTGGTGACGCGCCCATGATGTCCCCCACTTCCATCCAGCCTAGCCCTCCAACCCTGGATCCTGGCCCGACACAAATCCCTCGCCCTCACCCTCGGTTCCAACCCGCACGGAAGCCTCGCATACAGCGGGAGAAAACACTCACCATCGTCACGTCCAGCACCTCGAACGTCCGCGGGCGCACGGTCCCGAACAGCCGGTGGAAGAGGACGGCGTGGAGGACGGCGCGCAGGACCTCCCGCGTCTGCAGCCGGTCGAGGACCTGCCCTTCGAGCGCGTTAGCGGGCGGCCCACGGCGCGAGCGAGGGCGCACGCACGAGGTCGATGGTGATCGTGGGGTACGCGGCGTTCATCTCGCTGTTGTTTTGAAGCGTGAGGGTCGTTCGAGGCGAGAGTCTAAGCAGGGAGGTGGGGAGTGCGGACACGCTGCGCGGATGAAAAAGAGGAGGCCGGCGGGGACGAAGAGGGGTGCGCAGTTGCCCTCTCTTATGCGAGGCGAGAAGGGGAGGGCGTAAGGGGCTGCCACAGGGAGGCGGGTGTCGCAAGGCGAGGACGCGAGGTGTGGTCGCAAGAGGAGGAGAGCAGCCTCGATGTATGCGCGTGCCAATGTCGACACACGCCCGATGGCGCGGCGGGCTGGCCGAGGAGGGAAATCGCTGCCCGGCGGGCCGGAGGCAGCGCCGGGCACCATTGTCGGAAAAACCAAATCGGGCTCGCGAGGCCTCGCGAGGCCTTCCGGGGCGATCGGTGTTGCGAGGCCTCGCAAGCTAGGCTAATTAGCTCGCAATCCAACCGCGCGTCTTTCATCGTCTTGCAATATTGCTACCCGACATCAATGCATCACGATCTGTCGACCAGCCTGTCAACGGCGTCCCGGCTCGCATCCCTTGCCGATTACCAGCTTGTGCACTCGTTATAATTCAGATAATCAATGATAATCATTATATTTTCTAGAATACAGTACAGCGCAGAGAACTAGTACAGACGGCGCAAGAACAACGAAAACGGGGGGCGGGGGTGATAACATGGTATATGGGGGCTCGCTGAGGCTCGGCAATAGACGACTTACTTCAGCATGTATACAAATGGCCAAGCAGCTAGCGCAGCGGCGAGCGCACTCTACACGGTGGCTAAATGGTATTCAGACGAGAGGGAAGACGAGATCTGTCTTGAGACAAAAAATATCAGTGAAGCACGCGTGAATAGGCAGCGTGTGGCATATACATTATCCTGGTGCCAGCACAACCGTCCGACGTTCAACCTGGACATGGAGATGAAAGGATAAGTGATGAAGAGCAGGAAAGGATTGAAAGGACACAAACCTGAATGCGACACCATACATGTTGAGTAGTAATAGACAGGAGAGGACTCAGGAAGAGGAGGACGAAGGGGTGACGTGGTGGAAGCAGAGAAAGGAGCGCGGGAGAGGCGCGCACTCAGAGCGAAATCTTCTAAGTCCCTCGTTGTCGGTTGGAGCGTTCACGATGCCGCAATGCCTTACAATATGGTTTCCTGTGCGGTAAGTCCTTGCAATAACTTCAGGCGCCTTGCAATCCCTCTCGAGGCGCTACAGAGCTCGCAATGTCATTGCAAGCCAACCAGCGCGCTTGCAATCCAATTAAAATCCGGTTACGAGATCTTTGGCTTGCAAGGCCGATTTGGATTTTCCGACAATCTAAGCGCGCGCTCATTCCCTTCGATGCGGTCGCCCAGGACGAGTTCAAGCGGTCATAGGTATACTTCGCGTTTAACGTTGCGGGGAGTGGGGATCGAGTCAGCCGTAATTACTATTGCGAACTAAGCGAGCCATGAGTGTCTTTAAATCGTACGTTGTCTCACAACATGCCTTCAGTTTGCTATTCCAAGTTTCCCGTCTTGCACGTAAAATAACTGTGTAGGCAAACTCCGCCAGGTAGTAGTTGTCTAATTTCTAATACTCAGAGTTACGAACTCAAAAACCACAGATGAGCAGCATGCACATTCCACTTCAGATGGAAAACATACATCATACAACAGCAAAACAGCAGACCTCCTTCACCTCGACCCGACGCTCAGCATTTGGGAACAGCGTCTTAACGAACGCGCGGACCTCCCGCTCCGCCTGCTCTCCGTCGCCCCGATATCTGCGCACCTCAATCACCCCCAGAAAGAGGTCATGAAGGGCGCAGTGCGCGGCCAATCCCACCCCCGCGGCGTCCAACGCCCCCGGAACCAGCACCGTCCGCGGGAGGTGCAGCACACGGAGATCGGGGCACCCGCGCGCGAGCTCCGCAAGCACCTCCAGCCCCGGCTTGGCTTCGTCCTCGCTCTCCACCTCTTCGTCATCGTCTTCGATCTCGACGCGCAGCTCGACGAGCGCGGGCCACGCGTTCGCGATCGTCCGGAGGTCGGCGGCGCTGTAGCCGAAGGGGTGATCCGGGACTGCGATATGCAGCGCGCGTAGGTGCCGGAGCGGCGCGAGGGGCGCGAGGAGGTGCGAGAGGTGCACGCACGGCCGTGGACGGGGAGTGCGTTTGTAACTTCGTCCAGAGCGCAGGAGCGTGAGCGTGAGCGTGGTGAGGTCGGGGTAGGCTGCGATGACGGCGTCGAGGGGGGTGTTGGGGTCGCTTCCCGTGGTGTACAAGACGTAGGAAAGGGTCCTGAGAGAAGGGAGCTGCATGAGGTTGACGAAGAGGGTCGCGTACTTGTACGGATCGTTCATCGTGAGCGACGTGAGATTCGGGAGGGAGAAGGACGGTGGGGCGTAGATACTGTTAGGGTCGAAGTGGAACAGGGTGAAGGAAAGCGATTCGAGTGCGGACCATGTTGCCAAATGTGTCAAATTGCTGACGCCCAGTTCCACCCACTCGCAGCACTCGAGATTCCGAAGTCGTGTGGGCTTGGAGACATCGAGGCAACGAAATAGGGTCCATGCCCTATGCTTGACAGTGATGCCTTCCCAGTCGGGGCAGCGAGTGAGGAGAGCGTCGCTAATGCAGGTGTCCCCTTCTATTCCATAGGTGGCTTCAAACGTTACGTGGCGGACACTTGGTGAGAGTAGTGCGAACTGGCCATAGTCCAGCGGGTCGAAAGTACTCCTCAGATTATCACGGTTGTCGAGGATGACTTGACGAAGGCAGGGAAGGAGCGCTTCGTCGCTACCTAACAGTGCTTCCACTTCATTCCAGACGGACACCGCAGCTGCTTTAATTTCGGGCAGGAAGATGGTGATCTCCTCCACGCAGCGCGCATACGACTGAAAATGAGCCCACATCGGATGGCAGTGGAGGTCGGCCGTAGAGTCGAGGTGTCCAACCGTCTGAACCCAGGAGGTCAGTACCCATGCGATATGAAAGAGGTACAGATACTTGCGTAGAACCATGATGGACATTCTTTGCGAAAAAATTTATCATCGTGAGGCGGGTTGTCGCGGTCCTTTGCGATGTCGAGGGTGTGCAGAAGTGCGACCAGGGGGAAGTCGTCGGGAAGCGATCGCCAGAGAACATCGAGAGCGGGACGGGAAAAGCGTCGGCAAGACAAGGCGAGGGCAAAGAGAGTTCTACGTGATCCACGATCTCTGCTATCATCCAAATTCGCGAATATGTCCGGGAGGACGTCGTCGACCAACGGGAAGAAGGACATCTCCAATGAATGTGAGGCGCAAAGAGGGCTGGGTAGTAAGTTAGCCGATAAGAACGTGTTCAGCTTCACTACTACGTACGACGGAAGTGGCGGGAGTAGCTCGAGATGATGAGAGGATGAAGAAGAGAGATATTGGCATCGCATTTTTGGGCCAGTGTTTGGCGCCTGATGAGGAGATGGCGCACGTGCGCATCTCGACGTACTTCTTGGCCCAAGTACTCGCGGACCTCGCGTGCGCGTGCCCGAGCTGCGCGTGCCCCGGACTCCCGCGTTCACCCACTGCAGTCCACTGAGACAGATCATACAGCCGTGATAGATAAGCTCCCCACTCGACGCCAACTTGAGGCCGTGCTCCGTCGCGCGCTTTCGCGCATCTCACAACACTCTCGCTCACTGCCGTCTGCATCAGCATTGGAATCCGCTGCCTGCACCCGCTTCATGGACGACCTCGCGCCCCTCGCGCCACTCCGGGACCTCCGCGCGCCACACATATGCAAGGGCTGCGGGGTCAGTGGCTACTGTGGAGGGCGTCGAGTGGCGAGTTCCCGGACCCGCCATTCTCTGTGGGGTGCTGCACGTTCACGACACGGTCTCGTAGCTCGACAAGGGCGCGCGTCGTGACAGATTAACACCAATGTGCTACACGAGCAGAGGTCCAAAAATGCAAGGGATCCTGCGCTCCTCCCACGAATCAAAGTTAAAGCGTGTACCGGAAGTCCGGCGCGCGGTCGCCCATCCTCCGCAGCTCCTCCGGCGTGTACTTGACCCCGCGCTCGTCCGCCTCCCTCATCGCCGCCTCGCGGCGCGCGTTGATGCGCTTGTACGAAACTACCGCGATCGGGAGCGCGATGAACCCGATGCCGACGAACATGAGCGCGATCCCGTCTGTGATGATGGGTCGTAAACGGGGCATCAGTTGCCGAGGAGAACAGAGAAGAGGAGAAGACGCACGACCGAGGATGTAGCGCGGCGCGTCCTGCGTGCGGTAGATGTTGCTCGCGACCGCGCCGCTGAGGGTGCCGATCCCGAAGTGGAGCGCCATCCCGACCCCGCGCTTGTAGTGGCCCGCGAGGTTGTTCCCCAGCCTACCGTGTTTCCGAGCGTCAGCGCATCGAGTCGCGGCACGGACCAAGGGGATACGCACCAGGCGACGACCCCGGGGAAGCCCGCGTACGAGCCGGCAACGACGAGGAAGGTGCCGAAGTACTTCGCGCCGACGCTCACGTCGGCGATGTTGATCACCAAGCCGACGAGGGAGAGGACGAGCCCGGCGAGGATGAAGGGGTATCGCTTCTTGATCCGGTCGGACCAGACTGACCAGACGAGTAGGGTGACGGCTGCGCTGCACATGAGTAGTGAGCGAAGCGCAGGGAAGGGGGCGGACGTACTGGCGACGACGTAAGGCGGGACGGTGAGGAGCTGAGAGATTGTTGTGCTGAATCCGAAGCTGAGAGAGGGAGGTCAGCACATGATGAGTTCAGGTGACGAAGGCGCGAGTGGACTAACTTGTGGATGATTGACCTTGGACGCGATAAAGTCAGAACCTAGCGGATTGTTTGCATGGATGAAGCTTACGGCAGGAATAAAGAGATCCCGTAGACTAGGGGCCATCGTCAAGGTCAGATACGTTCACTAGGGCAGGCATCATAAACGTACGCGGCGCGACGATAGACCAGTAAATCGGGATATGGATCCACACCTGCCAGTCGAGAAGCGTCTCCCAGATGTGGCGGACCTCGAAGTGCTCCTCCTCCCCAACTGAGGAGTTGTCGTATTCTGTTGTGAAAGGATGTTAGAGCCTGGTGGTTGTAACGTGGACATTGCGCACTCTTCCGATGGATAACCCATGCACGCTCTTCCGGCGTCAAGAACTCGGCGGTCTGTGGGAAGTCAACAACGACTATGAATGCCGAGTAAGCGTCTGTGAGATACGGGACCGATTGTTACGCGTACCGAAGAAGGCGACGAGCCCGACGACGACAGTCAGAAGCCCCTCAATAATCTATTGCGAAAGTCAGAAACGAGGGACAACAGGCACCTTTACGGTGGAAACTCACAAAAATCCACGACCATCCGAGCAGCCCCCCGGTCCCGGACATGAACGAGATGCCAAACGCCAAGAGCCCGGAGAATGCACCCGCAACCGTCGCGCCTCCGAAGAACATGCCAACACGAAACTGCAGCATATGACGAGGGTACCACAGGGAAAGACTAGAAGGCATAGTGAGCGGTCCCCGAAATAGTGAATTTGCCGTTGGACTCACTAGTATACGACGCCGGGAAAGAGGCCAGACTCAGCCACTCCCAAACATACCCGAGTGCCGACGAGTTGAGGATAGCTTTCAAGACACGAATCAGAAAAGCCGACGCTCGCAGACCAACTTGCTTACTTTTTAACGAGACCCATGAGCGTCATGATAATACCCCAAACGACCTGCGAGAACCGGTGAGCGATCCCGGAAGTCGTGTTGAAATTGCACACACACCGTGATTCCGGGAAGCCATCTCGAAGGACGGAACTTCTTGAGCACCAAGTTGGATGGGGATTCAAGTAGACAGTACGGCTACAGGAGATGACAACGTGAGTAGCCGGAGCTCAACCGGCCATAAAGACACTTACAATAAAGTACATCGTCTACGAGATCTTGCGATCAGTCAAAATCAAACGAATGTGATCAGCACAGAACCTCACCAATGCGATGTTGTACTCGTTCCCCGTGAGGTCGAGTTGCGTCGTCAGACCCTGCAGCTTCGCGTTTCCTGTTCGTTCTGCTCAGAAAGAGTTGACAGCATATCGAGGCGAGGACGCACCGATGTTTCCCCGATCCAAGAACGAGCACAAGTACATGAGCGTGAGGATGGGCAGGAGTTGGAGGTCAATCTTGCGCCACAACTTCTTCTCCTGCTCTGCGGTGAGCGTCGGTGGGGGAGGGAGCTCACGATCGCCCCCATACGGTGCATGCTGGACCGTGTCCTCGACCGACTCTTTCTCCGTCCTGTCGACCTGGATGCGCCCCCCGCTCCCTTTCTCTGACATGGTCGTGATACGCGCGTCGTAGGGTGGTGGATGTCGAGTCGTCGGGGACCGTGGTCGAGGGATCGTTAGGGCGTTGACCGGAAGCGGGAACGTGGCAGCTCGTAGCGCGGCGCGGGTCCACTTTTATATACCATCACGCCGCCAGCGGGGGACTGGGCCGACGGGCCGACGGGAGCCAGAGTAGAGGCGAGTGTGTGCGGGATGTTGACGCGATGCTGGGGCCTAGCACGGGATGCGGAAGTGCTACAGACGATACGTACCCGCATCTGCGGAGGGCCGTCACGGAAGAGTAGATAGGCCGAGGGTTTCGGAAGATCCGCGTGCGTTCCATGGACAGCACGCTAAATTCGCGCGGGTGTTCTCCCTCGAAGAGGCAGGAGACTGTTGTGAGCTGGTGAAGGGCAGGTAGCGCTGTGGTGGTACATAACGCAATCTGGAGAAAGATGATGATTGAGCAGGTGAGCATCAGGTTGGCAAAGTTGAAAAGGCTTAGCGCATGTAAACTTGGCCCGGGGCCCTGTGAGTCGTGACCGCCTCAGGACATGGTGTGCTCGTCGCTAAGTATCTAGCAGCTAGAGTATACGACCCTGAGCAGCTTATGAGCGTCGGTGCCTGCAGGGGGATGGCGTCGTCGTCGTCGTCTGCCAACAGATGACGTGCCGAGCTTCCCATTCCAGACGATGATGGCGAGCGCGCAGACCCGGCCCGGAGTAGGCGCCAAACGCCGACTCATCGGGAAAAATACCCAGCCCAGCTGGCAGCCGTGGCACACCCTCTCATGAGTCCTTGAGTACGTCTATCGACCTCCGTCGCACGCAGTCTCATGAGAGAAAACCCGGTTTTTAGACTTCGGTAATTCGCAATGTAAAAGCGGTACGGTACGGAAACCATTTCAGCTTTGTCCTTACTACCTTTTCGGCAGACCGGTCACGCGTCAGGGCGTGTCTACGGAGGAAGAGATCTGCAAAACTGACGAGGTGATCTCGCAATATCCTTCAGATGAAGACCGGGGGAACATGAGAAGGGAGACGCAGCCCTCACCACCCCTCCAACGACCCAGATGCGTGCCTGAACGAGATGCCTTGGCCGCCGCTAATACTTCCGCGAGTTTCGGAAAACACCACAGGTAACAAGAGTGACCTCATATCATGCTCGCATAGATCGCGCGCACGCTCCTCCCACGATCAAAGCGTGTACCGGAAGTCCGGCGCGCGGTCGCCCATTCTCCGCAGCTCCTCGGGCGAATACTTGAACCCGCGCTCGTTCGCCTCCCTCATCTCGGACTCACGCCGCGCGTTGATGCGCTTGTACGACAGCACCGCGATGGGCACCGCGACAAGACCGATCCCCACGAACATCAGCTCAATCCCGTCTAGGTCCCTCGAGCAATTAGCACCCTTCGCGAGCCAGAGACGAGAGAAGACGTACGGCCGAGCGCGTATCGCGGCGCGTCCTGCGTGCGGTAGATGTTGCTCGCGACCGCGCCGCTGAAGTTGCCGATGCCGATCTGGAGCGCCATCCCCATCCCGCGCTTGTAGTGCCCCACGAGGTTGTTCCCCAGCCTGTGCGCGTGTCCCAGAACAGCGGACGTTAGATGGATCCGGGCGACGGGAGAGGACGGACACGCACCAGGCGATGATCCCGGGGAAGCCGGCGTATGCGCCGGTGACGACGAGGAAGGTGCCAAAGTCCTTGGCGCCGATGCCCACGTCGGCGATGTTGATCGCGAAGCCGGCGAGGCAAAAAAACGAGCCCGGCGAGTATGAAGGGGTATCGCTTCTTGATCCGGTCGGACCAGAACGCCCAGAGGAGGAGGGTGATGGCTGCCATGGGCGTGAGCAGCGGGGCGAAGAGCGAGGGAGGCAGACGTACTGGCGACGACGTAGGGCGGGACGGTGAGCAGCTGGGAAATTGTGGTGTTGAATCCAAAGCTTAGAAATAAAGGTAAGCGCGACGCGGACACGGATTAAAATGACTGTGCCGGTAGACGAACCCATTGATGATCGACCTTGAGCGCGATACTGTCAGCAAGCAGAGGGTATATGCTAGCAAGTGGAACGTACGGAAGGAATAAAGAGATCCCGTAGACTATAAACCCGTGTCAAGTTGAGATACGTTCATTGGGGTCAGCATCATAAACTTACGCGGCGCGACAATGGACATGTTTATCAGACTGTGTATCCAGACCTTTGGATTTCGAGTCTTCGGGGAACGTGGTCGAGAGGCGTCGTGGTCCCAGGAGGCGGGAACGCAACCGCTCGTGGCGCGGCGCGAGCCCATTCTCAGGTGCCGTCACACCTGTCCAAATCCACTCGCGAGGCAGGGTATTTTGGAGAAGTGTGTGCGTCCCAGATTGCAAGTGGAGTAAGATGCCTGGCAAAGATGTTCTCAGTCGAAGCTTCGAAGCATCGGAAAAGGAGAAGGTCCACTGCCTAGTGGAGAGGTGGGAACCAGTTTCGAGTAATGGCACATTGCACTGCGAAAAAAATCGACAGTAACGAAACGCGAAGCTGTGATATATTTAAGTAGAGTTCAGAAGGCTCAGCGTGCAGACGGACTTAATTGGACGGGGTGGACTTGGCTGGGGAACCCGTGACCTTAGATGCACGGTAAACTTCTTGCGAGTGAGAGACATGCGATTATAACACTTCAGAGTTCGTAGACGCGGTCGAACAATATGGTGAATAGTCTTCGCGGTGAGGGCATAATCATGACACGAGACGAGAGCAGCTCGAACGGTGTGCGTGCTGTCAGCGCTTAATCGGCCGGCCCGGATCCCGCGCCCAAAGCGGGACGACTCACCGGGAAAAAGCGCCAATAAACGACGAAGCGTTCGCTGGACGAGGCCAGAGCCTGGAGGAGGAGGAGGGGCCTGAGTCGGAGCATCTAGTACTTACACTGTTGGGGCCCACCCATTACAAGCACGCAGAGAACCAACACACTACCCGCGCCTCATCCCCCTCTCCCTTAGCATGACATTCACCGACTCCGGCAGAGACTCACAGTGCGTGCGCCTGGATACCCTACGTAGCTTACTACTAGCTCTGTTAGAATCTGCTCCTGGCTCCCCTGCTTGTGCGCGCTGCACATATACATCGCACTAGGTGGCTCGCCAGCAGCAAGTATGACGTCTTCCCGCGGGCCTCCGCGTGCTTGCGCTCATCGAGTTCCTGATCGGGGTTGGTTGAATCGCTCGCGCGACTCGAGGTCTGTCCGAGGGACTTGACGAAAGCGAGGCAGAGGAGGTGTGCCGCGTGTGTCGAGGCTGACATTGGCAGTTGTTGGCAGTCGGATGGCTCCGGCCCGGGGTGCGGGCAGTGCCGAAACAAGCGGCGTCGGCGTGGTCTTCCCGATCTTCCGTGCACCCTCTCTTGACCCTGTCCGCACCAGCAGTATGTCAAACGATCACTCTCTCGCACAAGTGGACGATGTCCTCGCAGAAATATGCTCCACCTTCGATCCCTTCATATATGAGGAAGCGTCTCGCAAAACTCTCCTCTCATTCGCCTTGTCCTGCCAACGCTTCGCTCGTCCTGCCCTCAAAATTCTCTGGGGGTCCCTACCCGATGACGCCCCTCTGGTTTCACTTCTCCATACGCTAGGAATTGCTCAGGATCGACGCGTTGAGTGGCAAGAACACGGAGACGATCCAGAGACTGGTGATGAATCTACGGTGAGACCCACTCCGAAGACTCATCCAGGGTGGTTCTTTGTGAGTGTTATGCTTGGCTTTGAAACGAGCGTAGGTATTGACATTTTGGGTCCAGACCGTGGCTCACTTCGAGTCGTCCCACGCACTCCGCAGTCATCCCAAGTGGGCAACCTTTCAGATGTACGCATGCTTCGTGCAGGAAATCACCATCTTTCCTCCGGTCAGCGTGCCAATGCCATCCGTTTGGACGGAGCTTGAAACGCTACTTCCTGAAAATGAGTGGATCCTTCCTTGCCTCCGTGTCGTGGACGTCTCTTCGAGGCACCCATATCTGGAAATGAACGCAGGCGACCGGGGGCAGCTTGCGCTGCTCTCACCAAGTGTCCGCGAGGTGACGTTGATTATTTCAAATCCCGACGAGAACAAAGACGAGTTCTGCGACGCATTCCGCACACGCTGCCCCAACCTGCAAACCGTTTTCACCGAAGTTTCCTGGTGGACAGGCCTACTCTCTCAGCACACGCAACTCAGGACGCTTTGGTTCAGTCAGATCATGGGACAATGCGTCGCAAAGGCAGCCCAGCTGGTCGCCTGGCCTGCCCTCGAGTCGCTTTCCTTCGAAGTGTCGCGGTTCTGCAAGGACCCGCCCCACTTTCCGTTCCGCTTGTCGGCGCTCCGGACGCTCTCTATCGGCGACATGTACGGGAACACGTTACCCTTCTTCACCCACATGCAGCTCCCTGCCCTCCGCACGCTCTCCTACGAGTTCGACCCGTCCAAATTCCTCATCGGGGCGCATGCTCCTCTCGGCGCCCTCGCTGCTGCATACCCACACCTCTCCACGCTCAATCTGTTCGTGGTCCACAGCAGGCACATATTCGCCAACACCCCACTCAGCACGCCGGAGTGCCTGCTCCTCCGCGACCTCCTGCGCCCGCTCACACCCATCCGAGACCTTCGCGCTCTGCTTATATACGTGGGAGGCCACCTATTGCTCTACGGCCCCAAGGACCTCCGAGCGATTGCCGCCGCGTGGCCCGCGCTCTTAGAGCTCAAGATCGGGGCCACATCGCAACCAGAGCTTGCTAGTACACGATATGAGGGAGATTTAGAGGAGGAGGAGGTGACGCGGGACGCGCTCGCAGAGCTGGCGCGCGCGATGCCCGACCTGTGTTCGCTGCGCGTCGCGGGGATCGCGCTGGACTGGAGGGAGCTAGAGTTCGCACGTTACGGGGCGTAATGAGGTGTATGCCGGTGTCTGGTGTCTTCCGACGTGTTTGAATAAGTAGAATACGCATACGCGAAGGACGTTTTCGGTTGCAGCCGCGTGCGCACCTATGACGACGACAGCGGTACACGATAACCCTTCTCGCACCATATAGTTTAATAACCGCAGCACAAACAGTCCTAACCTCGACTCGACGCCCCGCATTCGGCAACACCGCCCTGGGGAAAGCGCGAGCACCGCCCTCCCCGCCTTTCCGTCGTCTCCCCGCCCTCCGCGCACATCTGCCGTCCAATCGGAGTTCGCGTAACGTGTTCTGCGACGCAACGCCCACCTACGCCGCGTCCAGCGCTCCCGCGATGAACGTCGTTTACGTGATAGTTTGAGAGCGACATACAGAGAGAGCATGACCAGCGAACCGTCGACCAGTCGCGCGCGCGCTGGTCACATGCGACACCTGTTTTGGAATGGTCTCAGCAATCTCGGAAAACCAAATCGGACGAGACTCTCTCTCACGCCTTCTGTGCAAGCAAAAGAAGGAATGAGTATCAGCAACGTAGATCCTCTAAACAGCCGTCCATATAACGATAAGCTATCACCCAATCCAATCCCTCACGACGGCAAATACACCCTCTCCGCCGACTTGACCGCGAGCTCCATGAGCGGCCTGGCGCTCCCCGGCGTCCTCGACCCCTCGCGAGCTAGTTCGAGCTCGATCTCGACGTCGTCATGCCGCTGGATGGTCTTCTCCACCGTCACCTGCAGCCGCGTCTCCGTGTGCGAGCGCTGGGACCACCTCTCGAGGCGCGAGGCCGCGCGCCGGCGTTCGAACGGGCTCGGGAACATCAGTGGGAGCGGATGCTGTTCCGCGCCGTCGCCCGAGCCTTGCGACTTGGCGACGAGCGACTTGCGGGCGTTGAGCGTCGCGAGGAACGAGTTAGCGTAGACTGTTCGCGGATGGGATCAGATCGGAGTGGACAGGGCGAAGAGAGCAGGGACGTGGACGCACGCTTGCTGATGGCAAAATGGAGGCCGAGGAAGACGAGATTCGTCGGCATCGCAAGCCAGCAGATGAGGGAGACGGTGGTGGTGACGCAGGTGAGCATCCCGGTTTCGATCGTGTACGCGGTGATGGAGTCGATGATCTTGTCCATGCTGAAAGATAGCGTGTGAGGGAGAGGAACAGGGGGGTTGGACGGGAATTTCACCTGCCGAAGCCTGAGCGGCCGCGACGAAGGTAGAAGCACATCGCGGCGGTGATGAGGACGTCGAGTGACGCGGCCGAGGAGAGGCCGATGGTGAAAACGTACTGGGATGCCGTTCAACAGGACTGAAGAGCATAGATATCTAGGTCTACTTACAGAGTAGTCGGTGACGAACTCGGAATAACTCTTGAGGCGAATCCTAGATAGTTCAATAAGTCTCAGCTGAGTCGGGATGATCAAATTTGGCTCACATCTCTGATGTAGAGACTTTAGTACAAGATAGTCAGCTGGTGTTCGACGTTTTGTCGATTGAGAACGCTCACTGTTGGCAGATACTACAGTGAAAACGATAAGTGACCTTCCAGGCTATTACGAAGGAGGGCTACACATACCGATACGAAGGAGAGCAATCAAGGCCAATGGTACGGTCAACCAAAGATTTCCCCGACTAACTGCAGGGTGTTATGTCAGCCACAGTTGAAGGACGGATGAGGATGACATACGTCGATAAATGCGGTGGATGAAGAAGCTGATTCATAGGTGTGAAACGTGACAGCTTGTTAGCCAAAGAAAGACGCACCAGTGTACAAAGAATGTGATCCATGCCTGAGCAAGCGTTAGTTGCGAGGTACCGCATTGGGTATTCTGGCGAGGGCTTACCGTCAACACTACTGACACTGCGATAGACCTGCACAGATCGAATATGAGTATGAGAAGTGGTGATTAACCGAATGCACTCACCACACGATTGTATCCATCACATCCCACGCCCCGAAGTTGACGATAAGATACTCCCAGTTTGCGACCATGGTCATCGCCGAATGGAAGAGATCGATCAACCTGGGGCCCGCCATACCCATGAGTACCCATCACCCAAGCAAGAATCTCACGAAAACTCACCAAATCACACCAACCTGACGACGTCACCGCAACGAACGCGTCAGCCAATGTACACGAAAGAGAGCTGATCCAAGCACGTACCGTCGTCTTCAGCCCGAACGAATCCCTCGTGTACATCTGGAAGTATAGCACCGCCTGTATCGATACGGCGCCGGACAAGCTGTTCGACTACCATGAGCGCAAGCGCGGGAGAGAGCCAAGCATGCAAGCGGAGGCACTCACAAGAGCGCGATAAGGCTGCCAATCAGGATCGAGCCCATCGATTCCTCAAGCTGGCGCAGCCGCGGGTCCGCTGCGTCCGAGTCGCGCACCGAGAGCGCCAACAAGAGTTCTGGGAAGCCGGGCATGGTACGCGAGGCGGACGAAGAGGGAAGATGTGCAGGTCGACGCTCGCCCCAACACCGCAAAGTTTTGTACGGATCCTCAGGCGAGCCTGTACGGCCTGCGCGCTCCACAGACGCATGAACCATGTGTCGAGCGAGCTTTTAGGTCGCAAGCGATCGACGCGCGACGATCGCGATCGACGTTTGACGTCCCAGGTGACCGACGATGTGGCAGTTAGAATGCAAGCTAGACCGCTATAGTAGGCCGGCGAGGGCCGGGCGCGCCAGTAACTTTGACTTGAACCATGCCCCGCCTCAATCATATAGGGGCGTCGCGGAGAATGGAGTCCACCGGTACCGAGCCACGCCGGTTGCTAACGTCCCAGAGCGACGGGAACCGTCCGTTGGTCGCTATGGGACTGGGGTCAGCCCTACAGAGGAAACAAAGGCCGCCCGCCACAGAATCGCTCGTTGTCGATCGCTGACGAAGTGGCCCGGTTTGAAGCCTTACTTCTGGCATCGCACCTACGGAGTTTGCTTAACGCTGCAACGTCCACACAATTTCTCAGATGCTCGGGAAGGACACATACCGCCTTGGCCAAACCGGTAGGCAGTTGATGCAGCCACTTCGACGTCCTCTACTCGATGCCTGTCTGTGCTCTGATTGCGATCGAGTCGGGATACAGACGCCGCTCCGTTCCGATCGAAAGAAGCGCGCGTTGAATCCGGGTAAACCAACACTCACTGCATAACGGCGGTAAATTGTGATGCATTAAACATTGATGGTGTGGGACGTTGAGCTATGTACGACGTGCAACTTTACGTCTCACTGGCGTGGTGATTAAACCAGTCGACAATCGAGCGCGCGCTCTCCTCCTTCGCCCATCCTGTCATTCATAGTCGTGTGCGTCAGTGCTGGAAAGGCGGATGAAGCGATAGGAGTGCGTCGATTAGATCAGAAAGTGTTCACTCACGTTCGGTCCGGCGGTCCGGATCGGGGCGCGTAGCAAAACTGTGACGTGCGCCGCTGAACACTTGGATAAAGAACGCTGCACGATGCTCCTCAGGTCGGGCGAGAAGAATGTCTTCGGCGCGCCGACGCGCCTCCAGTGAGAATGTGAAGTCCTCTTCTAAGCCTATAGTTAGCTCCGTGCGAACTGCATCGAAAGTTCGATTATTCAGCGTACCAGGGCAGGATAGGAGCAGGGGTTCTAAATGGCGGAGGAAATTAGGCACAGGCGGGTAAGGGGCATTCTGCAACTCACTCTTCGCGTTGCGGAAGTGGTCCTCATCCAAGAACGCGGGGTGGGCAAAGGCACCTAGCGGGCGTCAATCAAAGTCGGGATAATCGAGGAAGGCTCCTCACCTGCGGTTACCCAATCGCTTGCCAACAAGTCCATGACATAGGGGGCTCCAAAGCAGTAACCTGTGCCCGCGTTCAGCACTCGACTCCCAAAACGTTCGAAGCGCGAACACTCACCAACAGTGAAGAACTTCGCACCCTCTGTCTCGGTTCGCAAGCGCAAACGTCAGCACGTTAACGTCGATGTGCCCGGCGCACGCACGCACCATACCGCACGCGCACCTCCGCCAGCCACGGCGGGACGAGCGGCGCCGCGCTCAGGCGCTTTGCCGTCACCCACACTTCCTTCTCCTTGTCCGGGGCGTCGCGCGGCCATCCGTAGCGCGCGACCGAGTCCCCGAGGAAGTAGTCGATCCCGAGGACGAGGAAGCCGTGCGCGGCCCAGAAGTCCATCGCGAGCTGCGCGGCCAGGTATGTCGCCCCAAAGACGTCCGAGAAGAAGAGGATGACCTTCGCGTGGGGCCCGTCGCCTGGAGGGGCGGAGACGTAGGTCGGGACACCGGCGATGGGCTCGAAGGCGCCCTGCGCGGTGCCGGAGTGGGGGAAGGTGCGGAAGCAGCAGTCGCTGCAGGGTTTCGCGAGGGGCGTCGACATTGTTGGCGGGCGCGTGAGTTCGGCGTGAGCTGTTTATATGGCTTTCCAGCAACCCGTGGGCATGTCTGCACGTCACGCGCACCACAGAGTGCGAAGCATGAGAAGTCGATAAACTGGGATTCGGGGCACACGCCCAGGGACGTCGTCGCCAGATCCAGAGTCTACTATATGCACGTTGACGAGGGCCGACTTCTACCTCCGTGATGGTCGTACCAGTTGAGAGCCATGAGGGCCGCGTTCTCCTTTGCCCATCCTGGCAACGATTAAGCCCCGGTCTCAGCTTCAATAAACGACAGTAGAATCACTTTCTTTCGGCACGTTGGGATCTCCACGCGTCGCAAACCCATGCTCCACACCGCCGTACATCACAAGACTGTACTCCTTCCTGTCTTCGTCCAGGACATCGACCGCACGTCGACGGGATTCCTTGTCAAACGTGAAGTCGCCCTCTGCGCAGATCTGGCGTTGAGTACAACCGCATATAGCCAGCGACGAATGACGTACCCGCACAGAGCATCAACAACGGTTCTACGAGTACGTCGTGGTGAGCGCCAAGATCGCATAAGCTGCTACAACGACGGTGCTCACTCTGCACTCTTCTGAAGTGGTTCTCGTCGAGGTAAGTCGGATGCGCAAACGCGCCCACCGTGGCCCAGTCTTGCGCGAGGACGTTCATCGCGAACGGCGCACCCAAACATACGCCTGACCGTACAGAATGAGCGTTTTCCTCGCTCGGAGAAGTTCAACGAGGACTCACCCATGCAGAAGAACTTCGCGCCAGCTACATATACGCGCGAGTCAGAGACGCAAAAAAGAACCAAGTTATCACGCACCGTGCCTCGCGCGAACTTCAGGGAGCCACCTATCCACCACCTCTGGCGCGTTCTCCGTGTACGGCGCGACCCCGGTGTGTGCATGTGGTCCAGCATGCTCTCGCCCTGGAGAAAGTCGACGCCCAGCACCGTGTACCCTGCATCCGCGCACTCGTCCGCTCTCACTTTCCGCTCCAAGTACAAATGAAAAAGCGACGCACCATTTGAAGCCCAGTAGTCCATCTTCAGCTGCGCGTTCACGTAGAAGGGCCCGAAGATGTTCGCAAAGTAGAGCAGGACGCCTTTGTCCTCCGAGGAATGCGTGGAGCCTGCGCCGTGGAAGCCGGAGGGAGTGACGACGTACGTACGCGTCCCCGCGAGACTTTCCGCCCTTCCTCGTGGTTGGCCGGAATGGTGGACGGTCTTGACGCAGCAGGGTCCTAAAGCTCCTGCGAGATTCGAGGGCGGGGTGTTGGCTGTGGACATTGTCCGTTGGTTGACGCGAGGACAACGTGAAGATCGAAAGAAAGGGTAATATGAGAGATGCGTCCACGGGAGGATATTGGAGGAAAGACGAGTTGCAGTTGTCGACAAGCCATCAGTAAGTACTTGGTCTCACCAACGCGTGAGATAAGCATATTAAGCGCCAGCATATCCCGATCTGCGTTTTCGCAGACAATTGACGGACATTGAGGTAATACAGAGAAGAATACAGATGCATTTATGTAGTGCACGAAGATACAACGACTACTCAGATGTCGATCGAATTCTTCTCCCTCGGCGGCGACGACGAAGAGCCCCGGAACGGGTTCATGTCCGACGTTCCCGTATTCTGACCCGCGATGACCCCAGCATGGGCACCATACCTGCATCAACACCGCTCATAAGCCTCCGTCGCAGATACAAGCCAAGCAAATCGCTCACCTCAAATCCCCCGCGTTTCCGAACGTATCCACGCCGTCCTCCGCGCGATCCGCGAACAGGTCCGCCAGCGTGGGAGCCTCGCGCCGCGCACGAGGAGGCTCCGAGACGGCCGTGCTCGTCCGCGGCGGGCTCCGCATCTCGCGCTCTCGCTGCTTTTCCCTCTCCCGGCCTCGCTCCATCGACGTCGCGTGCTCGCGCCCCGGGCGATCGTACGTGCCCGGCAGGTTGAAAGATATTGGCCTGTCCGAACGTGGGCGGGAGGAAGATAGGCCTCGAGTTGATGTGGGGGAAACAGGTGATGCGACGAACGGATTGTTCGAGCCCAACGCTGTTGGCTGTGGACGCAAGGGCTGTGGGGTCGGTGGTGGCGGCACGGGGAAAGGCGCTGCGGTTCGCTGTGGTTGCAGGAGCTGCTGTTGGCGCATATACTCAGTCTAGTGCAGTATGAGCACCTAGACCACTATGACATGTGGGTGAGTGGGACAAGAAGACGCACCCGCACGGTGATGTGCAGTCAACTCCGCGAAGAGTCAACAGTGATGAGGGCGAGTGAGCGAGCTCGAGCAAGCGTGAGACGCGGGAAGTCGAGGAGGAAATGAAGGGAACAGCTACGACGCGCCGCGTGAGGAGCGAACGCGAAGGGAGGACGGATCAGAGGATCGCGCGAGCGCGAGGAGGACGAGGAGGGAATAGACGCGGAGTGGATAGACGAGATCGCGCGCACGCGCGGCGCTGGCGAAGGCGAATGGAATCGAGGTCGTGGGCGAAAGCGTGGGCGTGAGCGTGGGCGTGAGCGTGGGCGTGAGCGTGGGCGAAGTCGAAGTCGAAGTCGAAGACGAAGGCGAAGACGAGGTGAGACGAGGTGAGCACACAGCACGCGCAGAAGGAGCGGGAGAGTGAACTGAGCATCAATAAGCAAAAACGTGAGCCTAAGTACATGCGACGCACGGGACGAGTATGTAGACAGATCAATGTACAGTCCGAGACCCGAAAATGTACGAAATCGAGACCGAGAATGAAGGGGAAGTGGATACGAGAATACGAAATGTACGAGATGTAGAACAGGAGGACATACTAATCGTGCAAGAAGAGGAGGGGAATGAAGATGAGGAAATGGACGAGGTCGGCGTACTGTAGAGGAGGTGGATCGGGTGCGTGCCGTGCCGGCCTCGGTCGTGCGTGAACTGCGGCGTGGTGTGTCCGTAGGCGTCGCGCCTGGCCTGGAATGCTGGAGCGTCGATATGGAATGCTCGCGGACTGATCGCGATGGGTGCGCGCGGCGGAGAGGTCGAGGTACGGGAGGACGAGCGAGGTCGAGGTGGACGGCGACGCGCGGGCGCTAGTGTAGTCGCGGTGCACCGTACAGCGGCAGTGCGTGCGTATCAACGGCTTCCTGCTGAGCCTGCTGCGCGTATGGGTTATAGGCGGGAAACTGGGGCTGGATGGCCGTGAGCTGTTGCACGAGGGGCACGGCTGTGTACTGCGGCCGCACCCCGGTCACTGCATACTGCACTGGGAGCGACGCGCCGACCAGTTGAGGGACGGGAGGGGGCCTACGCGTCCGCAATGGTTCGCGTGAGCGCAGGGCGAACGACTTCGACATGGAGGAGCACTCACTGCTGCTGGGCATCACCGAACAGCGCGGCCGCGTTCTGGTCGACGACCTTATGCCGCCGCGCCTCGTCCTGCTCGCTGAGCTTGATCGCACGCGCCAAGTCCGCGTCCTCCGCCGTTGCATGTCGTTCCGCCGCGCTCCTCCTACTTTCCTCAATCGCCCGCCGCATATCCTCGTCCTCGTCCCCCCGTACCACGTTCTCTTCCAGCCCGTTCGGCAGCCGCCTTCTGGGCTTGGAAAACCCCGGGTTCGAGTCCGGGTCTGATTCGGTATCCGTGGACTGGCGGTCGGCCATACGGTTGTACATGCGCGCGCGGGCGACGCGCTCCTGGAAGAGATGGCGCTTGTCGGCGAGGAGGTTGGTGATGTCCTTCGCCTTCTGGCGAACGCTGGCGCCCTCGTCCTTGTCATCTTCAGAGACGTGCTGGAACTCGCGGAGGGTCTTGATCACGTAGAGGTTCTCTTCGCAGTAGACGATAACGTTTTCAGAGCCGGCGTGAAGGAGGTAGTCGAGCACGATAAGGGACTGTGGGAGTAGCAAGATGTGAGTATATGCAGATTCAGAGGAGTTGCACTCAATGGGGACCAAGTATAACATGTGTGACCGTGAACGAAACATCACAGGGGAGTGGGGATGTGGTGGGCGGGTAGATGTATGCGTAAGATATGCAGAGCTCATAGCGCACAGAGGGCTGAACTCGGGCTTGAAGTGGTGGAAATGGAGGCGCGGAAGGGGCTCCAAGGCACGGACAGAGTGCTCACTTTAAAGATGTGCCTCCAATTCTTGCCCTTATCATTCAACGTCTTGTCGAGCACCTCCATGATTTCGACGAAGTCGCTTCTGCAAGCCAGGTCTCAATATACCGTCGGGCACCCAACATGCCCTCCGCCGTGTTTGGGGCACGATGGCGACGCTCCTACTGGATTGTCAACAGCCAAAGAACACGTACTGGTTGTATGAGAGCTGGGCGAGGTCATGCATTTCCTTTCCCGAAGGCGGCCACGGATCGTTGCACGTTGCATTCCGAGCCTTGATCTGGGTATGTGTATACCCCTTACTGTAGTTCTTCGTAACGCGAAGCGCGCTCTTGCCAAAGCTTTGGAGAGCCATGGGTGGATAGGGTGTTGGCAAACCCGGTTGGTTGGGCAATGAGTGTCAGATGAGAGAGGGTACGGGAACATGACGCCATCGTTTCGTCTGCAAAGCCCGCGCGCAACTTGCTGGTGTGGACTGTGGAGACGGTTGGAGTTTAAGGGTAGCAGCTCGAGCTCGAACCCCTGGAGCGTGTCACGTGTTAATTCCCACGGATACCCACCTGATGAGTCCTTTTCCTTGGCGTAGACTGCACGTCTCTTTCACACTATTACTTACTCGACAACATACGCGTAATATCCTCAACCAAGAAGTGTCTCAACCTGACCTCTGCCAGATCCGACATCTGGTCGGATATATGCATCCTTCCAAATATTCCGAAGTTCGTGATCAGCACCCTGGTCTACTAAGCGTGCGCCGCGATGCCCTGGATGGTTCGGTTCGAGCGAAACTAAATGTCGTGAGCTGGTTTGCCTCTATATGCACCTCTTCCTGTGTTTGATAGCCCATAATTTGGGCCCCATGGGTCGGCTCTCAGATCCCTTTGCCGCAGGACCCCAACCCTCAACACCCCACATTGTGTCGAATGCGAGAAGATCACATTTGTAAGGGTCGCCAGACATCTACTTCGGTCTCTAGTCGGCCGATGAGAGTGCGGCTTTATACATCTCGATATATTGCTTAAATCGTAAGCAACGCGCGAGAACGAATTGCTCGTGACGCTCACAAATACATACGAAGTACTTCTCGTCGATCGGCTTGCAGTTTCCCCGCGATGCTGACCGTCTTTCTCTGGTTCTTTCCCCGCGCTTTCGCCTGCACTTCTCCTGCGGCTGTCAGATGCTATGTGAGAAGACAGCGCAGATGCAGCATGGCAGCCAGCAGCGGTTCGTGCTCCATTCACTCATATTCAATACGTCTTATTGACAGCGTTTTCGCAGATTCCTCGTATGCCTCGGAGCTTCTCCTTACGCTATCCTCCGGTTTCTGCGGAGATTAACGCTTCTACAAACTCATTCTCACACTGGAAAAGACGAGAACGTACCCTCCGCGCAAGATAACCGAGACCGTCCTCGCAGCAACTGAACATGTTCACATCACGAAGGCTGTCGCGGACACAGCTGGAAGCACATCGTGGGATCGTGCGGAGAATCGTTCCCTGGAAGTTCAGGGTCCCAGTCGGATACGGACGCGACATCATGGAATAGGAATGCTCCGCAGGTACACTAGACATATTTCCTATCGCTTGCGTACGGGTAAGCCTGCGCTTCCGTAACGGGTCGATTTGCCTATTTTCTCTCGACCACTGTCTTCGGTGATCCCTGGTCTCGTCTCCAGCGGCGGCGGAGGGGTGCGGTACAAAGCGGCTGGGGACGAGACCAGTGGTCCCAAGATCTCTGATTGGCAACGCAGGAATTGAATCTTGTTTACTTCACAGTCACACACGATCAACGCGCGTCCATATGGCAGTGAGTCCTTCTAGATTCCGCTACGGAGTAATAGATCATTCAGATAATTATCACAGTAGCCTCATTTTGATTGAACACAAGGTATATGATTATTATACTTAGCAACAGTTTCGTCCGCCGGCGCAGGCCGCCGAACCCGCAGCAAATCTCCCTCCCGCGAATCACTTTTTGATTATCCCGCCCGATCTTGGCCCGATGCGGAGCCTAGGCCCCCGAGTCAACGGGAACATCGTAGATCGCCCACAAGTACCGCTCACGGCCGGCCATTTTGAAGCCAGACGCCTAACAAACCACTCGGCAGCGCAGGCGCGTACACGACATCGAAATCGAGTACGGACTCTTCCTGCCCTCTGCAGGAGGCCGGAGACGACAGCACGCGGGGCGGAACCCATCGCGGCGGTCCGCCCTGGGCTGGAATCTGATTTGTACCGCTCCAGTCCCAACCTCCGTCCACCATCGGAGGTTGACATCAGCGTGCAGACCACGGGCCCCCTGCCCGCTCAAGACCCGGGAACCGCAGACAGAATACGCGACCAAAACTCAGGTTCATCTGGTGTGCTCCTTGTCCATCCCCACACATCTCTGCCCGCGCGGCTTACCCGTCGACTGTATGCCCTCCGCCTCCCTACTTGACGACCACCCGCGTGTCTGGCCAACACTGCATTTTCTGTCTGGGGCAGACCACGTTGAGCGGCAGCGCGCGGCACCGTACGCGTGTGCGGCCTTGCCTCCCCCTCACTGCGACCATTCCCGGTGCATCGGACATTTTGCACACTCGCAGTTCGCCTTCGCAATCCCACCCTTGGGAACACGGCTCTCGACACCTCTTAACCATCCGTTTTCTCTTTTTCTCCCGCCACACACACCAGCCCGTCACTCCACCCAGCCGCCCCGTCGCTCCGCCACACCACCTTTGAGCTCTGACATCGATCGATGTACAGCACGATGCGGCGCTGTCTCGACTGTGTCGACATCCTTCGCAACATTTGTGAACAGGCCTACGATGGCGGATACAACCCCGAGAACAGAGCGGCTGTCGCAGCGCTCAACGCGACTTGCCGCGCCTTCAGCGCCCTCGCGAGCAAGGTCCTGTGGTCGCGCCTCTTCAGTCTCCGGCCGCTCGTGAAGTGTCTCCCGACGGACGTGTGGCATACAGACGTCCAGAACGTCATGGATAGCGGCGCCCTCGTGAGACAAGATTCTTGCTCTTTGTCATGCATCTCTCTCTGACCCGTCGCCACTGCAGATACTCTCCCGTCCTCCAGACCCGCACGACTGGACGCGTTTCCTCGAGCAAGCCGCCCGCGTAACCTCCTTCAAGCGCTTCGGACCCACGGCCGACCTCGACGACGATACTTATCGCACCCTCTGCCTATACCACCCCGGTCCACGCCCGCTGCTTCCCCACTTGGAGGAGCTAGTGTGGGAGGAGTCCGATGCGGACGTGTTTGAGTACGGCATCCAATTCCTCGGGCCCAAGCTCACCTCCATCCACATCGGACAGCCCCCGAGCGACACGCTCCTCCTCCCCATCCTGCGCGCGCTCGACCCGCGCTGCCCCGTCCTCCGACACCTCTCCGTGCAGTGCCGCGCGAGCGTCGGACCCGTCGACCCCGTGGTTTCGCGGGCGATCGTGCACTTGCACCACCTCGAGACCATCGACCTCTCCCTCCCGCTGTTCGACGACGCATTGCTCCATTTGGCGAGCCTCAAGACGTTGGCTGTGGCGAAGATCTTCTTGTACCGAGAAACGAAGATACACGAGCGCCTGCGGGAAGTGCGTTCCCCCTCCTTCCCTGCGCTGTCCGTCCTGCACCTCGGGGTCGTACTCCTCGAGCCGTCGCTGTCCGTGGTGATCGACGCCATCACGTCTACCCAACTATCGGAGGTGGAGCTTTGCGCGGCCCACGACCCCGTTGCTGCACATCTCCGAATGTTCCTCGCCGCCCTCGCGCGAAGCCCAAGCCGCGACGCGATCGCCGCTGTGCGGCTCGTGTTCCCGCTCCCGTCGAGCATCTCGCTGATGTGCTCGCTGAGCGCCATTCCGCCCCTCGACGATCCCACGCGCATCCTCACGCTGGACACGTTCACGCCTCTCACCGGGCTTTCCGAGCTCATCGAACTGGACATCACGTCGTTTTTCCTCAAACCAGATGACGCCTTCCTGTCCGCGCTTCCGAGCGTCTGTCCGGACCTGCAAGTCCTGCACTTGGCGCACCCGTACAACGCAGGCCTCCTTCCCACCGCGACGCTCGACGGCGTCTTACGTCTACTGCAACAATACCCCGAGCTCACCGAGCTCACCCTGGCGTTCGACGCCGCCAGGTCATATGCCGCGCTCGCGCTCTCATCCGTCTCCTTCAGTCCCTCGCCCAACTCGACCCCCACACAACCTCACGTCCCGCTCCCCCCGCTCGACGACCGCTCCCTCCTTCTCTCCCCAGCCGTCTCCCTCGCCTCCCGCCTCTCGCCTCCTCCCGCACCATCCACACAGCACTGGACCTGCCCCTCGCTCCACACGCTCGACGTGCGCGACTCGCCCCTGCTCAACCCCGACGAGCTCGCGGCCGCGCTCTCCGCGCACTGCACCTCCCCGCACCTCGCGCTGCACTCCGCGCGCGCGCACGAGGGCTCCGCCGCGCCCGAGCTCGTCGCGGCCCGCACGCGGCACGCGGCGCTGTGGGACCAGGCGGCGCGCCTGGTGCGTTTGTTCGGGCGGGTGCGCGCGCAGGAGCGCGCGTGGGTGCAGCACGCGGGGCGCTAGCGAGGTCCGAGCCCGACTCCGCCTCCGAAGTCCAGGCTGCGGCCCTGCGCTCGCTTGGGACGCACGGCGGACGTGTGGTCTCCGTTTCCCGAGGGGGAAGCGGAGGTGGTTCTCGAGACGCTAGGTGGACGCTCGGAAGATGGTGGATAATGTGTCGTGTGCCGTGCATCGCCAGTGCGCGGGGCGCGGAGAACGGTTTTGTGCCCGGCTGATGGGCGCAGGCCGCAGGGGATGGCAGGTTCGGGGCTGGGTTCGCAATCGGAAGCTGTTTTGTCATGCATGTCTCATTCTCGGGGGTGCGGCTCCGGCGGCCTGGGGCTTGGCGGTCCGTCAGCCGGATCGAGAGGCCCGAGGCTGCGCTCACCTCATCATATTTACTTTCGCCCGCTTGGATTGTATACACTGCGACTGTGATTCGCACTCGCAGTCGCGAGATGATACCTCCGAACTCGCGTGTCTATCGGGAGTGCGAATTCCAGACCATGTTCCCGCTCTCGTAAAACGACGAGTATTCTTGGAGTCCTGGGCATCACCTCCGGAGGTATCACGAGCTGTTTCGCAGCCCACATTTCTCCGAGTGCCTCTCGGACTCGGTCAGTGAGTATTTGGACAAGAGGGGGAATGATCGCGCTGAACCTTGTTTCGGCACAGCCACTTCGGGCAGGATTTTGACTCGACGACGATTTTGCCTGATTTTGCTCCCGCCCCTTACCGACTGACCCGACCGCCCGTACCTCCGGCGCCCTCTCCTGCCCACGATATGCCACGCAAGACCCCGCTCGCACAAGTCGACGATGTCCTCGCCGAGATAAGTATTCGCCAATTTTGACAGCAGTGACGAAGTGTCTCGCAAGACTCTCTACGCGCTCGCGCTCTCGTGTCGTCGGTTCGCCCGTCCCGCCCTCGACGTTCTCTGGCAAGTGCTTACCAGCGATCTTCCTCTCGTTAAGCTCCTGCATGAACTTGGAATATCAGAGCGGCGGCGCTTCCAGAGGAAAGAGGACCTGTGCAACTCCGCATTGACTGCCGAAGAATATTGTGAGATTATGGTTTATGGACCTACCTGTCGATGACGAAAATACCCGAAAAGAAACCCAGGATGGTACTACTCGAGTGCTATATCATATCTTCTAACGTCTGTCTGGATGCTGATATGTTTGAATACAGTCCATCGGGTCCTCCCATGACCTGCGTAGGGGCGTGCTTCCTGACGTACACCCGCTGCGTGGCAGAGATTGTCCTCGACACGAGCTCCAAGAAACTCATTCCCTCCATCTGGAACGAGCTTGAGGTATTGCTTTCGAACCACGAGCCACTCCTTCCTTGTTTCCGCCGAGTCACTCTAAAGCGCCCGTACTCTACCGAACACAGTGGGCAGTTGGCGCTGCTTTCACAGCACGTCCGTTGTGCCGAGATTAAAGGTGAAAGGGACGAATAATAGAACACCCAGGCCTACGATTTCCTCCTCGCCCGTTGTTCCGATCTGGAACGCGCCACGATCGACCAGAAAGACTGGTTGTCCTTACTCTCTAAGCATCCGCGGCTCAAGACACTCCACTGCAGCATCATGGTCGTACCGGATGTGGCGGACGTTGCTACGCGGAAATGACTTTCTGGACTGCGCTTGAGTAGCTCTCCTTCCACATGTATCACCACCAGCTGGAGCACCTTGAGGTACCGCTGCCCCCACCTTTCTTCTGCCTTCCAGCGCCCCAGATGCTCGAGATCCTCACAGATTCATTTGGACGCGCGCTCTGCGTCTTCGCCTCCACACGCTCTCCTACAACTTTGAGCCCCTTGTTTTCAACAACTGCCTCAAGAAGCCGCTCGGCGCCATCGCAAAAGCCTACCCCCCCTCACCACCGTGCTCGCCCTCACCCTCACCCTTATCCCTACCTGGGACTGCCATTGCTTCCCGTTCCGCGCACCTGAACACGCCCGCCTTTCCGAAGTCGTCGAGCACCTCAAGCCGATCCGCGCCCTCCGCGCGCTGCGTCTCACCGTGCGAGGCGAGAAGCTCGCGTACAGCGCAGACGACCTCCGCGCCATCGCGGCCGCGTGGCCCGAGCTCACCGAGCTCGGAATCGCTGTCGTCGCGGTCGAGTGGCCCGGGTTCGCCGAGCTCATAATCGCAACCGCACTCGAGTGTAGCTACACGGAAGCCTCGCGCCATCAAGTGGCGGCGCTCGAGGGGGTTGCGGATCTCGCGCGCGGGTGCGTGGGGCTGCGCGTGCTGCATCTTCCGCGGACGAAGTTCGCGCGCGGGGCACTGGACGCCACGCGCGCGGCTGTCGCGCCGCATCGCGCCCTCTACGATCTGAAATTGGGCATCATTGAGGTTCTCGAGAAGCGGCACGGACGCGGCGGGACGGCTGAGGAGGGGGTGCGTGCGTTCCTGCGGGCGCTGTTCCTGAATGCGGGGCATCGGGCTGGTCGGAACCGTCTGCGGTCGTAGTAGGGAGTGAGTGTCGCGCACTCAATATCTCTGTTCTGTTCTGATATGCCTTTGTGTAGTTGAGGTCCTATTGTATTTGAACCTCATACACGCTCCTGCGAACTGCGCCGACGTACAAAAACCTGTAACCAAGCATGGCGCCGGCGCGGTCGAGGTCCCGCCCGGGCTATGGCCCCGTTACAGTGCGCCACTCACGGACGGCCTTCGTTCAGAGCTCGCTTGGTACAGTGCGCGAATGCTTTGGCCATCAGTGGCTAGTAGCGGGACCAAGCATGATCGTTCTCAAGCGACGGGTCGCGAAGTGATGCAAGTGCACGGAGGGCCGAGGGCCGAGTGGCCACTCGGGGCACCGACCCTGGCGACGCGCCACTCCAATGCCCAAGAGTCAAGACGGCGATCACGGCTATTTAAGGCCAACGGGCGTTCCAAATTTTTCTGAACATCCCTCTCAGGTCTCCTACTCGCGCTAGGCTTTCATCATTTTTCAGCAACGTCGCTCCCAGCCCCACCATTGCCGCCATTCCACCCAAGAATGTCCAGCATGTCAAGCACGGCAGCACTTCCACTTGCCGAAGACATTCTCTATGAAATATCCTCGCATCTCGGCGGCGACGACGAGCACTCTCGCAAGACTCTCCTCGCCATCGCGCTGTCCAGCCAACGGCTTTCTCGTCCCGCCTTGAGCATTCTATGGCGTACTCTTCCGAGCGACCTTCCTTTAACATCTCTTCTACACACACTGGATATTGCAAAGCCGCGCGATCCCTGGATTGCATTTGCAGAAGTGGGAAGTGATTGGGAAGCGGAAAGGCGCTCCGAGTGTTGGCGCACTGATCCAGGGTGGTTCTTTGTGCGTATTCCATAAGATCGTTTTTGCGTGTGTATTGATGATTTCGATATGAAGACTGTCGCGCACATCCAGTCTTCACACGAACTACACTGTCATCCCAAATGGGCACGATTTCAAATGTATGCACAGTGGGTGCAGTGGATCAAGCTTTGTCCACTCGCCTACTATGAGCGGCCGTCCATCTGGGAAGAGTTTCGAACGCTGCTTGTGGACAATGAGCCGCTCCTCCCTCAACTTCGTTTGGTCAGACTGAAAACATCCCCCATGAACACCTGGTGGTGCTCTCCCGGCACTGGCAGTGGTCAACTGGCGCTTCTCAACCCAAATGTACGCGAGACAGCCATCGAAATCGGACCTATTCCTTCATGGGATGCGCAGGTCGCGGAAACCTTGCTCGAATATTTCCCTCAATTGGAAGAGGCTTACGTTGGGGGAAGTAACTGGATGCCCTTGTTATCCAAATACCCCCATCTGAAGACACTCAGGCTCTGCTATCTGACCCACGTATACGCGGGTTCCCGCCGTTCTAGTGGGCACCCCTTCGCTCCGGGCTCGAAGATGCCCGAGTTTAAGGTACATTACAGATTCAATCAGGATGGCGGATATTCGCACCCCGTTCCAATCTCTCCCTCTCCGTTCTGTCTCCCGGCGCTCCAGGTGCTCAACATCGAGTGCGATGAGCTCGGACACGCGCCATACATCTTCCCCTCCATGCAACTCCCTGCGTTACGCACCCTCTCTTACGCATTCGACCCTAACGTCTTCAAAAACCACCTCGACGTCCCGCTCCGTGCCATCGCCACCGCATTTCCCCATCTCACCACCCTCAAGCTCTCCGTTGTCAGTTCGAAGGGACTCGAGCACGTCCTATACCGTGCAGCGTACCCCCAGCCGCCGTCGATCACGTCCATCTCCCAGCGCGTGCGTCTCGGCGAGATGCTCGCCCCACTCGCCCCCCTCCGCGACCTCAGCGCGTTGCGCATCATCCCAACGGACATCCACTTCGACTACGGCGGCGCGGACCTCCTCGCCATCGCCGCGGCCTGGCCTGCGCTCCTCGAGCTGAAGATCGTGGTGGACCAGGTCGGCGATACCGACGGCCTGGGCGCCGAGGTCGCGTCGCTGGACGTGCTCGCCGAGCTCGCGCGCGCATGTGCCGGGCTGCGCGTGCTGCACCTCCCGCGCACCCTCATCGTCCCCGACGCGTTGGCCGCGGCGCTCGCTGAGATCACGCCGCACCACGCCCTTCGCGATCTTGCGCTGGGCTGTGGCGAAGTGCTCGGTGGGCAAGACCTGCAGGAGGCAAAGCGGACGGGGCGCGCGTTCCTCCGGGAGTTATTCCCGGATGCGAAGCTTGTTGCATTCTCTTGAGGTCTCCGTCTAGGCGGTCTCCTGATCAAGTTGGAATTAGACATGGGTTCAACCATAGTAGCAGTTTGTGATCCAGGGCAACTTCCTTTATGTTACATTAATCGCGTTCAATACCCACCTGTGTGCAGTTTGAGTACCTCCATCAACTTTCCTTCCCGGCTCTCCGGTTGTACTTGCACACTCTGTCGCCCCTTAGGCTCTCTGCCCGTAACTATAGTCAGAGTTTGTTCCGGTGCACATTTGATCGCCGCACGTACCAAGTCTGAGATCTGACCATGCTGCGTCGCTCACGCCCACCGCCGTGATTACCCCGCTCTCGGTGCCGTCTGTGCCCGCGCGACCGACCTGTTGAAGTAAATCGCTCGAGTGTATCATGGACTGAGGCATATTATTTTGTCAGACCACATCGAGGCGCCGCGCAGCCTCTGACGGCGCGGGGGAATGCATGTATCCAAAGAGCAATGCGAATTAGGCGGGAAGGGAAAAGATCCGCAATCTACATATGATACGCACGGAACATCTATGCTTACACGATGCACGAAACAAACGCACCACCAGAGACCGAGCGCGGGGGGCGACACCTGAGACTCAAGACTACGTTTTGCGCTTCTTGGGCCCGCGCTTTCCTGACGCCGTCGTGCTCGTCGGCGTCGAAGACCGCGAAGCCTCCACCTTGTCTGCCTCCTGGAGCTGCTCGATCCCGCGCTTCTGTAAAGCCGCGCTCCGTCAGCCATCGCCGACCGAACCCAAGTCATGCCGTCAACGTACCTTGCCCTTCTGACCGCGCGCAGGCTTGACCTCCTCCGCCGCCTTCCCCTCCTGCTCCTTCTCGATCATACCGAGCAGCGTGTTGCACCGCCGCTGCAGCTCCTGCGGGCTCCGGCTCTTGAAGAACCAGTCGAAGCGGAACACGGGAAACTCCGAGATGTCCTTCTTGATCCGCTCATACACGTCCTCGAGCTGCATGCCGTAGTAGTTGAGTCGGCAGAGCAGATACCGGTCCTCCTCTTCCGAGTACACCTTGCCCTTCGTCGTCGGGTAGTTGAGCTCAAGCTCCTGCATCGGGTACCGCACCGACGAGATCTTCTTCGCAAGCAGCGCCTCGAGATTTGAGCGCTTGTTCCGCTTCGCCTCGCCTTCCTCGATGCGCGCCTTGATGCGGGGGTACTCGGAGAGTTCCTTCCACTTCTTTTTGAACACGGGGTAGTAGACTTCGACGTCGTCCGCATTCTTGTCCTGGATTTCTGACGCGAGCAGCTCGTAGTCGTCCGTCCTGCCCGACACGTCAGCCACTGGTGCTCCAACATAGAAGGACTCGCACGCACCAGCCGTATGTCTCGAGCGCGCGTACGAACTGCTGGAAGTCTCGCCGACTCCACTCCTCAAACCCTTGGGCGACAAGCTCGTCCTTCTCCTCCATTTGCTCCTCCGTCAACGGCTCAGCTGCGCAAACCGCCCAAGTTCAGCCAGCAGTCCCTCAAAATCGATGACGTCATCACTTACCGTTGTCGATGTATTCCTGCGCTGCCATCCGCTCCTCCTCAAGCACCTCGGGGGTGTCTTCGGGACCTGCAGGCTCGCGCGTGAGCGCGGGGATGTCGTTCGCTCGCTTGTGCGCAGCGAGCTCCTGCTCCTGCAGCTCCGCCAGCCTCGGCGGGAAGAACTGGAAGTCCTGCCTGCAAGCACACACGCCACGTCAGCGCTCACAGTTCCCACCACACGTCAAACGAACGCGCACGCACATCTGAATCTGCTTCGGAGCCCTGGGGATCTTCGCCGGTTTGTCCGTCTTGGACGGCCCGGCGCGCATGGTCTCCTTGAAGTAGCTGTCGACCGAGTAGTTGAGCTTCCGCTCGCGCTTTGAGAGCGCGAGCGGGTTGAACTGCAGCGTCTTGCGGTTCCCGCGGAAGTCCTCGCCCTCCCACTGCTGCACCGAGGCCTCGGACTTGAAGTTGCTCAGGTCCTCGAACGAGAGGCCCTCGTACTTGCTGTTCAGCTGCTGCGTGCGCTGCTCGCCGCGCTGGATGATCTCGTCGATGTCTTCGTTGACCATCAGGCTGGACGTAGATTTAGGCGCCGGAGACGGAGCAGGAATCAGCTAGTACTCACTCCTCTCCTGAGTTCACGATGTGCTCGGCGCCGTGCGCAATCATCTCAAGTAACTCCTCCTTGTTCGCAGCTGTTGTTGCAGAGCGTCAATGTGTATACACGATTTGACTAGGGACGAACGCACCCTTGGTCGCTTGCGTACGACCCTGCTGGATGACCAGTTGGTCCAGCCGCAGCTTCTGCGCCGCGCGCTCCAGCATCCGCTCCTCAACACTGCCCTCGGTGATGAACCGGAAGACGTACACCTGCTTCGTCTGCCCGATACGGTGCGCGCGGTCCATCGCCTGCAGGTCCGCCTGCGGGTTCCAGTCACTGTCGTACAGCACGACGATGTCGGCCGTCGTCAAGTTGATGCCGAGCCCACCTGCGCGGGTAGTGAGCAGGAAGATGAACTTCTCGCTGTCCGGCTTGTTGTACTCGTCGATCGCGAGGATACGGTCCTCGTGGGCGGTCCCACCATCGATACGGCAGTACTCTGCGATGGGTCTCGTCAGGGTCGGAAAAGCGTGAGGAGCACGGGGGACGTACTGTACTGGCGGAAGAGACAGTAGTCCTCCAGGATGTCGAGCATGCGGCTCATCTGGCTGAAGATGAGCACGCGCGAGCCCTTCGCCTTCATGTTCTGCAGCAGCTTGTCCAGAATGACCATCTTGCCGCAGTTGTCGACTAGGTGCTCGTCAGTGGTGTATGGCGGTCCGGGCTCCGCGCCGTCGAAGAGGTACGGGTGGCAGGTGACTTTGCGCAGTTGCATCACGATGTTCATGAGCCGTGTCTTGCCCTCCTTCTTGCCAGTCAGGCCATTGACGGCGTCGATGTCCTTCTCGAGCACCGACCGGTACCATTTGCGCTGCATCTCGGTCAAACCAACGTAGATGTTGATCTCCTTCTCTGTTGGGACGATGAGCGGCGGGAGGTGGACCACAAGGTGGCTTACTTACTAGGAAGAAGGCTCTTCTCAACGTCGCTCTTGACACGACGCAGCAAGAACGGCCGGAGGATTTTGTGCAGCGCCTCGACAACCTTCTTGCTCTTCTCCTCGTCGTCTTCCGCATCGGATTCGTCCTTGTGCAAGAAGCTGTCCAGGTCGGCGTAGTCCGAGAAGATCTCGGGGCAGATGAAGTTGAGCAGTGCGAAGAGCTCCTTCATGTTGTTCTGCAGTGGTGTTCCCGTGATGAGCAGGCGTCCGCGCGACAGGAAGGAGCGGACGATCTGCGAGAGGATCGAGTCGACATTCTTGATGCGGTGCGCTTCGTCGATGACGATGTACTCGAAAGAGAACTTCTTGAGCGCGCTCTTTTCAATCAGACAGACCTCGTACGAGGTGATGAGCACGTCGAAGTCTTGGGGCAGAAGACGCGTCGAGATGACCTCCGCGCGCTCTTCCTTGCTGCCTGTGAGGAGGACCGTGCTGACGTCTGGTGTCCACCTCTCAAACTCGCGCGCCCAGTTCTGTAGAGTTGACTTCGGTACAACAACCAAGTGCGGGCCTGCGGTGTTGCGGTAGTGACGAAGATACGAAATGAAGGAAATGGTTTGCAGGGTTTTGCCCAAACCCTAGAGGGAGTCAGACGGAACGCAAAGAGGAGACGGGCGAACTCACCATCTCGTCGGCGAGGATACCATTGAGGCCATTATGGTGTAGAGACACCATCCAGTTGAGGCCTTGCAGCTGGTACGGGCGCATTGTTCCGTGAACGTCTAGACGATTCTGTGAGCTTGTGATCACGTGACATAACCGCAGGACATACAGCTCGGGGATTCTTCGAAAACGTAAGGCTGGTCGTTGCCGTCGGCCGCCAGCTCACCATCCTTGAGCATCTCCTCGTCCTCTTCCTTCTCCGACTTTCGATGGCGCGCGACTTTGTCGCTGGTGTGCGAGTGAGGGGAGAGAGACGCGGCGAGAGCAGCACGGAGACTTACGTTGCCTTTTTCCGTCCACGTCCCTTCGGCTTCGGTTGAGCGTCGAGCAGCGCAGCATACTCTGGATCGCGAGCTTTCTGCGTGAAGCCATAAGTGGCAAGCACTAAAGCATGAATTCGACCGAATGAGACGCACCTTGATGTCAACGAAATGCTTGAAGAGATCCGTTTGGCCCAAAAGGTAGGAATACCGCTTCACTGCGTCCGAAATCTAGCGTTCCACCGCGTGAGCATTGTAAAACTTGTTCAAAGGATGTCCGAGAGCGAGGGTCGGCATGAGCTCTCTACACAGAGCGGTCGGCGCCACCTTCCCGCTCGAAGAGCAGTGACGAGGCAATGGCGCGCCTTATCGCGCCCCTAACGAACACCCGAACGACCCTCCCCTTGTGGCCAGCATTACTTCCCATTCGGAGGGAGATATTCGCCCGACGAGAGCTTGCAGGGTTCGCTGAAGTAAATGATCACCCACCTTGGCTTTATCCATAACCTGCCGTTTCGCCGCCAGCTCCGCGTCCTCCGCTATCCGCTTCTGTTTCTTCTTCGCCCTCTCCTGTGTTGCCTGCATCTTCGCGGCCTTCGCAGGAGAAGCAGGGCCGTCCTGGAAGAGTGGGGGAAGTAAGCGTGCATGCCCGCCCACAAACCCCCGTACCCCCGCCCACGAGCAAAACGCGTGTTTGTCACGCCCAAGAAGCCCATACAGGTGCACATACACCGCAGGGATGATATGACGCGCGAAGAACGCGGTCCGACGGAGCGTGGGGGAAAGAAAGGGTCTCTAGGAGAGATAGACGCACCTTCTCGCCTTCGCTCTGCAGCTCGTCGACCTCCATTTCCTCCCCTGCATCTCCGTCATACTCGCTTTCGCCGCCCTCGCTCTGCTGTCAAGCAGCTTGAGTGAGTTGCAGGCACATGGCAGCACTGCGCGACATAAGCTCACCTGGCGGGAGACAATATTACTGGGTACAACGTCGCTGAGGACGTCTTCCTCCATAGGGACCTGCAGAGGTGTGAGCAGAAGACAAAGAAAGCGGCGTGGAGGTGCTCACGCTCATGGTCAACCGCGTAGAGGGGAGAGGTGGATGTGGCGAGGGAAGGAATCAAGGCAGTCGAAACAAGTTGGGAGCTGCGAGTCGGACGCGCCACTGCATACGGGTGTCACATCCACGTGATCTCGTCACGCTGTTATAATTAATTACTGAGTTAGTCCGCCTATTAGTCCATCAATTGGCGTTTTGTTTGCTGCATGTCACTATGTAAATACGAGGCCACACATTCACGTAGCGTGGCAACATCGGGTTCAGCACGCTCACATATGAGATCAGAGAAGAGATAAGTGCATAGTGTGGACAATAATCCAAGAACCGTACAAGAACACGAGAAATATAAAGCAGTAAGATCTATGTGCCAGCCTATCCACCCACAAATGCCACTCCCCGACCGCTCCGAACTCGAGCTCACCGTGACGACCGCACGCGACGCGCGCGCCTCCTCTTCCCTGGACTTGCAGGACTGGTGCTCTTCTCTGGAATCCCGGCCGTACTTGTAACGAGGTCGGCACTGGCGCTCGGCGCGACTGCCCAGTCAGGGTGATCGGGAGTGTGCACACGCACGCGCGTCGACGAGGAGGATGAAGACGATGTCGCAGACAGCGTCGGAGAGATTGGTGAAAATGTTTCCTCTCCCGCGCCGGTGGTAGTAGGGCCCTCCACGATGCCAGATGTGGCGGCGAGTGGCGAGGGGAGGCGATCGCCGACGCGTCGCGAGAGGCGTGAGGAGGTGGGAGAGGGCGAGGGGGTCGAGTTCTCTGGGCTGGGAGGGAGAGGAAGGGTGTAGGCGCTCTGGGTAAGGAGCACGCCTGAGGCCGCGAGGTCGTCGCCACGGTGGGTTCCGAACCCATCATGGACGCCTTCTTGCTCGAGGTGTTCATGCCCGGGCCCAGCTTGTGCGTCGTCATCGGATGCAGTTGCCGGAGAGGCGGTATTGATTGCGGAAGGAGATGAGGGGCTGGGGGTCACTACGCGTGGCGTTGGAGCATCTTCGTGGTTGACTGAAGTCCAATCTTCAGATTCGCTCTGCTCAAGACCTAGGATATGTATGCCCCGTCCGGACAGCCTGCGCAGACCCGGGGTAAGCGCTTCACTACGAGAAACCAGGGCAGATTGTAGGAGAAAGGGAACGGAAGCATCGAGATAAGATGCATCCAAGTCTATCGGAGGTTTCGGTGTTTCCTCTTCAACTGCGATAGCAAGAGCTTCGGCAACAGAAGGAGCGTCCGATGGAGTAGAGGCAGGATTAGAGGGCGCGTGGTCCAGGAGGGCTGGGAGCTGATCGGGTGCGAGCCCCGATGTGCTTGCATGTGAAGGCGAATGAGACGATTGGGTTTCTTCGACAGCGTGCAAGTTCTTGTGAGTAGGCGTATCTTCCATCCAAGTGCCCTCTGAAGACGGTGTATCGCCCATATCTTGCATAGAAGCTGGGGACTCATGAGTGTTGGACTCGCCTATTTGGGTGGGCGACGGTGATCGAGAGCCTTCAGGTTCTGAAGGCACTTGTGGTGCTAGGCTCGTTGCAGTCACACCGGCGGGTTCTGAAAGAGGTTCCTCGACGAACTGCATCGCATCTGCATCTGCTTGCGGGGATGAGGGCGCAGCTGGCTCCATCGTTGCAGTCCCGCCAAGCATGTCTTGTTCGGCCTTGGCTGGGGTCAACGCTCGAGTTGATACGGCAAGCCGCTCTACGTTGTCGCTGGCTTGGTCCATAATGTCACACTCATGAAGTGAAGAAGGAGATGATCCCTGTTGTAGGGTATTGGAAGGGAGTTTACAGAGGCATCAATGCACCACGTACCGTCGCCAGTGATTCGCCATGGTCCACTACCTCCTCCCGGTTTTCGACCGCATCCGAAGCCCGTCCACCACGATCGAGTGCAGATTTCGGGCTTTCCAAAGCAAGCGAATGCAAATTTTCCTGGCGAGTGAACGAGATAGCATACTGCGGAACAGAAGTTCAAAACCATGTCGATATATGCGTCTGGGTACTCACGTAGAAAATGATAGCAGTGGTGATTATAATAACAAGGGACAGTATGACCCCGTCCATTCTGGATAATCCAAAATCAATCTTGTACTTGAAGGCATTCATAAGGGGGGCGTAGCGCAAAGTTGTGGAGATGTGGACGAGAGTGAAACTGAGGAGAGAGCACAAGTTTTATAAAGAGACAAGGAAAAAGAAGCACGGGTATCAAGAACAAGTGGTATTGCAGATAGAAGGAGCCGTTGTCGTCCCAGCCAGATGCGTCGAGCAGCAGGTCCTGGACAAAGGCCAACAAGGCTGCAGGCGAGAGCGCTGTGTCGTGTGCGCGCGCTTCCGCCCAGGCTCCAGGCGCGTCTAGTTTCCCAGGCTGTGTGGCCTCGCTCGCGCAGACCGCGGTCTCGCTGGGAAGTACTCAACTTGTCCTCTCACCACCACCATCCCCACCATGTCCACCCCCATGCGCCAGCGCGTCGAGGAGTACATCTCCAACCTCCAAGACGAGATTGTCGCGGCCCTCGAGAAGGTCGACCCCAACGCCCCGGCCTTCAAGCGCGACTCGTGGCTCCGCGCGCAAGGCGGCCGCGGCCTCTCATGCGTTTTCGCCGTCCCCACCCCGCCCGACGGCGTCGCGCCCCAGCACACCGTACTCGAGAAGGCGGGCGTGAACATCTCCGTCGTCCACGGCACCCTCCCTCCTCCCGCCATCAAGCAGATGCGCGCCGATCACTCCTCCATCCCCGACATCCAGACCTCCGTCCCCTTCTTCGCCGCCGGCATCTCCCTCGTCATCCACCCGCGCAGCCCGCACGCGCCGACCGTGCACGCCAACTACCGCTACTTCGAGATCACCAAGGAGCCCACGGACGCCCAGCGCGAGGCCGGCCAGCCGGGCGACCTCGTCGCCTGGTGGTTCGGCGGTGGCGCGGACCTCACGCCCTCGTACCTGTACGAGGAGGACGCGGTGCACTTCCACAAGACGCTCAAGGCCGCGTGCGACGCGCACGGCGCGGACGTCTTCCCCACCTTCAAAGCCTGGTGCGACGAGTACTTCTTCATCCCCCACCGCGGCGAGTCGCGCGGCGTCGGCGGCATCTTCTTCGACGACCTCTGCGCCGAGCCGCACAAGCGCCTCGCGGATGGCGCCGCGCGCCCCAAGACGGCCGACGAGATCTTCGCGTTCGTGCGCGCGGCGGGCGACGCGTTCGTCCCGTCGTTCGTGCCGGTGCTCGAGCGCCGGTGCCGCATGCCGAGCACGGAGCACGAGCGCCGCTGGCAGCTCCTCCGCCGCGGCCGGTACGTCGAGTTCAACCTCGTCTACGACCGCGGGACCAAGTTCGGGCTGGTGACGCCCGGCGCGCGCATCGAGAGCATCCTCATGAGCTTGCCGGAGACCGCGCGGTGGGAGTACATGAGCGAGCTGGGAACGGACCCGGAGAGCCGGGAAGGAAAGCTGATGGAGGTCCTCAAGACCGCGCGCGCGTGGGTATGAGCTCAGGTGAGTGATATGCTGGTGTATTCTCGTCCGGCTTTGACTCGTGTGAAGTCTGCAGGACGAAGAAGCCATGAACATATGTTGTAGCGGTACACATGCATGTAACTTAGATCTCGGATACTACAACCAGAGCACCATCACTCCTTGCAGTACGTGTCCGCAGAACCATGAACGGAAACAGGACCTCCGAGCCTCGCACCCTAGTACCGGGCCTGGCGGAGGACTACATATACCACATTTGGAAACAACGCCCGGAGGAACTCCCGAATCTCCCGTTCGTCAAACCCTCTGCTCGCCGGCTTGATGACTCCCAGGTTCAGATCACGCAGCGCGTGGTGGGGCACGACGGTCGCGAGCGCGGCGTCCAGACTGTCCCGGACGCACACGACGTGAGGGAGGTGCAGCACGCGCAGCCCTGGGCACCCTCGCGCGAGGTCCGCGAGCCGCAGCAATCCCGCCGCCGTGTCGCGGCACTCCCCGGGGCCGTCGATCGCGAACGCGAACTCGGTGAGCGCAGGCCACGCCGCGGCGATGGCGGCGAGGTCCCCGGCGCCGTACCCGCAGACGAAGTGCGTCACGGTGATGCGCAGCGCGGAGAGGCTGTGGATGGGCGCGAGGGGCGCGAGCAGCTCGCTGAGGTCCACGCGCTCCCGCAGGCGTGCGATCGGGGGTCGGATGGGCTTCTTGGGGTACAGGACGCGGTAGTTGAGTGCGGCCGCGGAGAAGGCGTTGAGCTCGAGGCGGGCGAGGTGCGGGTATGAGGCGGCGATGGCGGCGAGAGGGACTTTTTTTTTTTTTTTTTTGAATCCTTGTTTATTGCCCTCGAAGGTAGGACCTTATGGTAGGCATAACATACAAGTATTTCTTATGTAAGTAGTCGCAGTCAATGGGAATGTATCGTCATAGCAGAAGAACCCGTGATCGGGGGGTGAGAGGGAGGATGCCGGCAGGCGTCAGCCGGCGTGCCATCGGGCCTAGTGTTGCGATAGCTCGGCTCGGCTCGGCTGGCTGCGCCAGCCGGGTCATTTGGCTGTCAGCCGGGCTGGGAAAATCGGCTCAGAGCGAGCCTCCCACGGGGGGAGAGCTTGACGCCAGCAGCCAGAATGTAGTGATGGCTGAGCCGCTGGAAGAGCCGATCTTGGGCGCTTTCTCCAAACGCAGCAGATCGGCTCTTCCAGGATTCCAGCTTAGTCACTGGGCGCCTAGACCCAAGGAGCAGTGCACACATGTGCGCGTTGGTTGTCTAGCTGGACCTAACACTGGTACAGTGGTGTCACTGAGATCACAGAGGCCTTTGGTTATGTTTCTTCATGCTCGTGGACAGAAGGGCTTGATAACGACGTATGGATTGCAAAAAGAATATCTATACAGCCTGGGTGATAATGGAACGAGGGTGCTTGCGCAGCAGCTTCAAACGGTCAGCAAACAGGGTCTCAGGCGTGGAGAAGCGACCAATCTGCTCCAACCAGCGATCTGCAGGGTTGCCGTCCATGAAATACCTCTCCTCGTCCGACATCGGACCAACCTTCTGGAAGTTGGCCTGCACGTAACGCACCACACCACCTGAGACGTACTGAGTCACTGAATAGCGCTCCCGGCCGTCCTCGAGGGTCTGGGTGTTCCCGTGCCGGAGGGCGGCTGAAGAAAGGTAAATCGTACAACCTGGGGGAAATCGTATGTAGAGGGAGAGCTGTGGGAGGTACATGTGACCTCCAAAGTCGGGGAGGAAGTTTCCGAGGGCCGTCACCGCGCAGGGGATACCTGGATAGTTAAGACTATCGAGATGGTCCACACACAGCGTGCGTGGCCCGACATTCACAGAAAACGCGGGGTATATCGTGTAGCCTGGGAAGTTGAAGCGCAGGTCGGGCATATGGGAGCGGATGTTAGAAGTCGGCGGCTCGGTCGGGGTCGGACGAGGAATAAGATGCAATCGATACGACGCGGTTGGTCCCTATGGGCACCGGGAGGCGAGTACAGACGGACGCGGGGGAGAACGAGGTGGTGGGGAAGGGCAAACGCGTGAGGCGAGTGCGGGACGAGGGGCGGCGGCTATCTACGGGATGACTAAGCGCTGGTACCGTACGACCGAGCTTGCTAAGTATGCGGGCAGATTCCAACAGGCCCCCACAAGCGAGGGCGTATAACGAGCACAAATCGAGGGGAAGACGGTGGTACAAAATGCGAAGGGTCGAGGACGAGGGATCGAGGACGATGGGTCGAGTACGAAGGATCGAGGAAGACGCTGAATCGGTTACGCTGGTTCGAGGACGATGGATCGGTTTACGCTGGTTCGAGTACGATGGGTCGGTTACGCTGGATCGGATACGATGGATCGGGGTTTACGCTGGATCGAGGAGAGACAGGGGCATAGAATCGAATAAACAAAATCAACGTGACGAGGATTGGGGACAGGGGATCAAGACGATGATGCGGGCGACCAGCTACAACCTCAGGAGAGCAAGCGAATCACGATGTCGAGCACGCCAATGACGGCCGGCTAAAGTAACCACAACATGCCGACAGGGGAGCACGGAGGCGAGAAGGGGGAACGAGAAAATGCGCGAGGGGAACGAGAATCGAAACGTACGAATGTCCCATGAAACCTAGTAAGAGAACGCCACAACGGGGCTCTCCGAACCACTCCGGGACGACGGGTACGATGGGCCGAGTGCCATGGCGAAGGCGGCGCGCTCCTTGAAGGGGATGAGCGGATGCGGGCAGTCCTGCTGGTAGTGGCCCTTGTTCTTGCAGTTGTAACAGGTGATCTCCGAGAGCGGGACTCGACCACGAGGAGTACCGGTGGGAGCAGGAGCAGGGGCGGTGGCAGCGGCACGAGCAGCGGGGACGAACGTGCGAGCAGTGGGGGTGAACGTGCGGGCGGCAGCAGCAACGGCGGAGGACGGCAAGGGTGAGGATGCCTCCGATGGGGCCTTGCGTGATTCCTCATTGACGAGGCGGATAATGACGTAGTCGAGGGTGAGAGACGCGGAGGGGGTCGAGTCGAGGGCGACGACAAGACTGTCGTACTCTTCGGGAAGGCCCTTCGTCAGGACGATGATGATGTCTTCATCCGGGACGTTCGCTCCGCTTGCGTTGAGATTGAATGCGGCTCTGCGGACGCTGGAGATCCACGTGTTCATGGCCTGGTCAGGCTGCTTCGACATGTTGAAGAACTCGCGGCGACGAGCGAGGCGGGTGCCGAATCCGTGAGCGCGATGGACAGCTTCGAGGCGAGTCCAGATGTCGGCCGAGGTCGTTGCACCTTGGACGTGGCCGATCTGCGAGGGGGAGAGCATGAGGTTAATCTCGGATCGAGCCTGCATGTCTTTCTTGTCCCAGGACTTGACGGCGACGTGCGCAGGGGCGAACGGAGGACGCGAGAGGGCACCGGACGCAACTTCGAAGACGCCTTGACGCGTGAGGTGAGCTTCCATGTAGAAGCGCCATTCGGGGTAGTTGTTGTCTTCGAGGCGGGAGAAGTGCGGGGCCATGGTGGAGATGGAGGGGCGATTCTTGCGATAGGAGGTGTGGGGGTCGAAGATCGGCGGGGAGAAAGCGGGATCGGAGGGTCGCGAACGGGTCGGAAGTCGAAAGGGTGATCGCGGGTCGGAGGGGGCTTCGGATCGTCGAGATCGGAGGGCGCGGACAACGAGTAGGCCGGGCGCGGGCGCGGAATGACCTCCGGGCAAGGGTACGCGTTTGTGTTAGAAGTCGGCGGCTCGGTCGGGGTCGGACGAGGAATAAGATGCAATCGATACGACGTGGTTGGTCCCTATGGGCACCGGGAGGCGAGTACAGACGGACGCGGGGGAGAACGAGGTGGTGGGGAAGGGCAAACGCGTGAGGCGAGTGCGGGACGAGGGGCGGCGGCTATCTACGGGATGACTAAGCGCTGGTACCGTACGACCGAGCTTGCTAAGTATGCGGGCAGATTCCAACAGCGGAGGCGCATGAGGGTGCTGCGAAGGCTCGACCACACCAGTGGATAGTGTGACGCCATTCCCGCTGTAGATAGCCCCTTCAGTCTCTCGTAATGTGTGATGTGGGCCAGCACTCACCACTCTGCCACTCCAGCACCCTCCTGAGGCACTTGTTTTCGAGGAGGTGTGCTTCTACTGCTTGCTGCCACACCGTCCTCTTTGCCATTCTGGTGGGGGCCTGTGTGAGCGATCAGAGTCGTATATTGTTGGCACAGAGCCCCACTCACAGTCGAGCCCGGCCCCATTGATATCCCACACCCAAACGTGGAGAACAAACCACGCCTTCCTTGGCCGCCATGGCCATCGCTACCACCACGGTAGCCGATGAAGTCGGCACCAAGCTGATTCAGATCGTTTTCCCATGAGGGGTCATCCAACGGTGGAGGAATCAGTGTGAGCACCGAACGCCGGTCTCGATCGAGAACGCGGAACAGCCGCCTGTATAGTGTAAGCAACTAGGTTTGTGCACGGTATGAAACATAGCTTACAGTCCGTCCCAGTCGAGGAATGAGTACTCGCGGTCTTCAAGTTGTTCGACTGTTGGGGGTGTCTTGGTTTTGACAGGGTCGTGGAGGGCTTGGTACCCATACTTCTCCACCTTGTACTCCGCGACTGAGACCTCTTCGAAGACGGTCTCGTCGGCATTGATGTACCGCCGGACAAAGCGGAGGCCCTTGGGCGGGTCAGGCAGGGCGTTGTGCGGCACGGCCGTGGTCTTCTTCTCCTCCCTCTTGCGCTCATCCTGCTTCCTCCTTCGCGCCGCGTAGAGCTCGTTTCGACGCTTGTTTTTGTCGGTCGCAGCTTCGACAACGGGGGGTGGGGCAGCGTGGGGATTAGCGGTGGTGGTGACCGATGTTGAGGCTCGCGCTAACACAATGGCAGCTACGTAGAATGGACGCGCAGTGAGGCTATGGTTGGGGTTTATAATGAACGTGTCAGACGTACGACGAGTCCGACTTGTCGCACGCTGTCTCTTCGCAGAAGGAGGTTTCGGGGGAGACGGCGGTGTTCTTGAGCGTGGTGGCATAGGATCCCCCACATCAAGCTCGCCTTCTTCGCGGGACTCGTCTCCATCGTCGTTGGGATGGGGAGGAGAGGATGGTGCTGTCAAGGGTGGTGGCGTAGCGTCCCGTTCGTCTACCTCACCTTCTTCGAGTGACTCGTTGGCTGCCCCTTCTGAGGTCTCGTCGCCTGACTTGTAGTCTGACAGAGGCGTAAGCATTGCTCGCATGGTGGCCATTAATACGCACCGTCATCTTCATCGCTGCATATGCCTGGGTCGAGTTCCTCCAGGTCCGAAAGCTCGACGTTATCACGCTTGTTCTGCTTCAATAGCTTGCGCATGTTGCTACGGGCGCGTTTGAGCTCCGAGCGCATGTCGACCCCAGTTTCGTAGAGCTTTGCCTCTGGCAGAGGCCGCCGCGGGGACCGCCGCAACGCCTGGGGGTTTACGCATGAGTAAACGGGGGCACGAGGGGCGAGGTGACGCGGTGGCGAAGCATGCGAGGCATTCGTCGTGAAGGGTGTGGCGGGTGGATGGCTCACCTGTGGCTCACCAGACATGGCCGAGTGCGATGAAGATAGGGCCCTCCGGCTGGGGTTTTATGCACCTAACGTTTCTATAACGGTCCTGGTCAGCTTGCGCTCGAGTGGGACTGCATCCAGGGACACGCTTAACAACCCATGCATACCCTGCTGTCCACATGGCTGCTCCCCAGGCCCGCCCACGATTGAACAGCGAGCACTGCGGCCGTGTGTTTGTTCGAAGCCGTTGTGTTCCCATCCCGTTTCCGAAGAACATCCGCCGCGGGTGCAAGCATTCACCGATAGCCGTGATGTTCGCACCCATGACAGATGCACTTCTCACGTAGACGATGATAGAGCAGCTGGGGTCGCCGTGTTCACGCGGTCCGCGGGAACATGGTGACCCCCAATACAGATATGTATTGCTCGGGGGATGCGATGGGTTGCATGAGGTGTGAGGGAGATGCACTCACCGTGATCCAGGCTTGTCCCATTGATCGTATCGCTCCTCAGCGTGCCTCCCTTTCTCTGCTTCCAGCAGCGTACGCCGGTGCGTCGTCGAGGTCATCCACCCGCCTCATGCTCCTCCTGGCTCGTACACCGGCCCCGCCGCTTCATCCTTGACCGCGAAGCCGTTGAACGTCGTGTCGTGGAATCCATCTTCTCAAACTTGCGGCGGAGAGGTGCTCCACGAGGTGGCGCGCGGGGTCATGTTACTGGGGCCTGCGAAGGTGTGGTTCGGGGACTGCACGCGCGGGATGTGCTCTTGGTTGTCGCAGCTCTCGTAGCCGGCGTGTTGCATAGCGTCGTACCCCGTGGCCACGGCAGGTGGGTAATCGACAGCATGGCTCCCGTAGTTGGTCGCGTGCTGGGCCAGCTGGCTCCGGAAGTCGGCGGAAGGCGCGGTTGCTTGTTGCTGCTGGTTGTAGTTGTGGTCGTAGACCATGGCGGCGGCGGTGGCGGCGCGTGCGCAGTCGTAGTACCGCAGCATAGTACATCGTGAGGTCGGGGTATGTGCCAGTCGCAGCAGCGGTGGTCTTCCAGGGTACATCCGGGAGGCGGGGCGGAAATGAGCCTTACCATTCAGCAGGTTCCAGTCGTAAACGCCGTCTTCGATGTCGCCGTTGTTCTTGAGCACCTTGGCGAACAGCTCTCGTAGGAAGCCGTAGTCCGGAGTTTCCTCGAAACCGAGCTTTCGGACATAGTTGAGATGATAGAAAACCCCTCTGTCACGCACACGGACATCAATCTCCGAATGAAGGCAGAATCGTCAATCGGGCGTCGACGTACCGGGGAACTCTCGCGTGCTGCAACGAGCAAACGGCGAATTCGCAGATTATGCTCGTCTGAGTCTGGAGGGCCTCATCGATGTCACGTCGGACCGGGTCGTGGTCCATGCGATAAGGTAACATGTCTAGACGCGTGTGATGACGACGAGACCTGAACGATCCGAAAGCATCAGGAGGTGATGGTTGGGAATGACCGACGTGGTACCGGCACGATGAGAGAGCGTTGCCTCAGCAGTAGACGTCGTTCTTCCCCAAGGATGAAAAGGGTCGTATACGCTGAATGGCTGCGTATCGGCGGGGAACTGGTCATAGTAATCTGGCTACAAATGAGTCCCATGTTCGCCAACACACTAAAGAATCGTACCTGTGCGTGGAGGAGGGGCTGCCCATGCGGCCGGAGTCGCATTGCTTCGTGACAAGCGGCTTTCAGAATCCCACAGCCTCGGGGCTGCATCCGGCTCATGATATCCACCAAACGGTGGCGAAGGTAACCCCCGTCCCAAGACGGAGGGGGAGGAAGTGCCTTCGACCGAACGTTGGGGATGAAGAGGACCGCCGACTGAGTCCGAGGATGCGAAGACTGAGCGTGGGTGGCTGGGGGTGTAAGGATTGTCATGCGTCGAGGGACGGGCTTCCGGACCACCTTCCGGAATCAGGTCACCACATGCGCACGGAGCGAAGGAGACTCGGAACGCACCTGAAGGCGAGAGGGGGGTGTGTCCGCTCCAGGAAGACAATATGGGCGGTTCCCGGGCGGGAGAGTGGCGCAAGGCCGAGATCTCGCGGTCAAAGGCATCGTGACGCTCCATGGAGAGGCGGAACTGGTCATCTCAGCTCGACGTGCTCTGGGCGGGCTGCAAAGGAGCAGAGGGCAGATGAGCGGCGAACGAGGCCGGGATGCTGAGCGCTTCGCCTGTAAGTGGGGCGGGGTCGGGGACCAGGGGATCGAGCTCGTGAAGGGATGGGTCAGCGGGATGGATCTCAGGCGATGGGGAGGAGAATGAGGAGTGTGCGGAGTGGTAGGTGGTGTGGCTGCCGCTGGACGAGGAGGATGAGAGGGCGCTGTCTGGGACAGTGAGGTCGTTGACGAGCTCGGTGGCGTACGAATCGGCGTTGTTGCGAGCTCGATTGCTGCGTTCCCTTGAGGAAGAGGAGGACTGGGAGGACGAGGGCTGGCTGCCGCTTGGCTGGGGGGCATTGGGGTCGAGATCGGGGCCCATGTCTGCGAATGAACGCTTGTGGCGGGAGGAGGGCACTGGGGTATGGACAATATTGGCCATGGCAGTGATGGCCGTGGGGAGGGTGCCGGCAAGGCTTTGCGCTGGACGCAGGAGGGTGGTGGAGGGAGGGAGGAGGGGAGCGGGGCAGGGAGGGGAAGGCAGGGACAGGGCTCTCGCCGTCGCTGCCGTCGACCCGCTGTTCGCCACATTCCAATAGCCGCCCGTGCGCGCTCCTCCGGTCCGGCCCTCCCGCCACCCACCATCGGTCGTTGGTCGGCCGTGGCCCCCTTGGCTGCCACACTATGCCGCAGGGGGACTGTATTCAATCGTCTAGATGTAAGTATGTCCACGATTACACGGCTCGATTTCAGATTACACTACTCTATCACGGCGGGCACAACCGCCGCCTCACTCCTTCTTCGCCTCCTCCTCCGCCCTCCGCCTTTCTCGCCGCTCCCGGCCCTTGGTGATCATCGGCTTCGGCTCCAGGTTCGCGAACAGCCGCTCGCACACCTGCTCGATCACGAAGCAGCCCACAAAGTCGACCGTCATCGACGCCGTCAGCCGCACCTTGAACTGCGGACCCACTGCCAGTCAGCCTCCGGACGACACTACCACAACGCGAGGGACACGCACCGCGCCCTCCATCTCCACGATCTGCAGCCAGCGGTTCATCTCCGGCATCAGGTCCGTCGCCCCCGAGAACGCGACTGCGGACGCGCCGACGAGGCCCCAGTAGAGCGCGGGGTTCTCCCGGATGCCCTCCCGGAAGGGCCGGCCCTGGAAGTTGATCGCGAACGTGGACACTTGCTGGGAGAGCCCGAGGAGGTAGATGGCCGTGTTCAGCAGGTTCGGCTCGAACTTGGCCTCGAGGTCGATCTCGCCGCGCCTGTGGACAAGGTCAGTGCGTGTGGACCGCAAGTTGTGGTGAGAGCGCTTACGTCTCGTACTGGTACGAGAGCTGTGTGATGTAGACGAGCGTCGCGATGTGGAGGGCGAACTGGAACAGGACGGACAGCAGAACGTAAAAGTTGAAGATGTTGCCCAGAGGACGTTCCCGAGACAGCTTCTCGACGGGCTAAATGCGACATCGGGACTTCAGAACGGTGTTCCACGACTGGACACGTGTATGCGCACCTTCGCACGAGAAATACACAGGAAGCAGACCGATGAGCATACCCATGATGGTGACCTGGTAGTCGCCGAACTTGATCCCGTCCAGGTACTGCACACTCAGGCTGTACGCAGTGATGAGGCAGTTCAACGCCAGAATCTTGTACATCTGGATCGTGGCCACGAGCGTGCAGCGCCCTTGGCGGATGATGTGCGTGACTTCAGAGCCTGGTCAGCAACGTCCGTCTCCTACGGCGACACCTGCCCACACTCACTCGCTTTGACGTTCGACAGCTTAGAGGTGAACGGCGCGGCGCACGACGCGTCCCCGAGCTTGATCTTCAGCACCTCGTCCTCCGCGTCCATATCGGCGAGCTTGTCCGTGATCGACGCGAGGTCGAACTTCTCCATAGGGTTCTTCTTCCGCGCCGTCTGCTGGTCCGCGACCGCGCGCTGCTGCGCGGCGACGACGTCTGGGTACAGATGCGCGATCAGCGGCGGCACCGGCGGCGGCGGCTGGTTGAAGCGCGCCGACATCTTGAGCTGCTGCTCGTACACCTTCTTCAGCCGCTCGTTGCGCTGGTGCTCCGCGATCTTCTTTAGGTCCTCCTCAGTGCCGTCGAGGAGCGCGACGCCGATGTGGGCCTGCTTGAGCGCGCCGACGTCGTTGGTGCCGTCACCGGCCACGAGGGTGACATAGCCGAGGGACTTGAGGGAGGTGAGGATGAACTCCTTCTGCGCGGGCGATACACGAGCGTACACCCACGTGTTCTGCACGAGGTCGTTCCAGGACGGGTGCGCTTCATACAGCTTCATCGCGACGCCGGTGATGCAGATGTCGTACTTGTCGAACAGCGAGGTGTCGATCGGAGCGGTGGGGTCCACGGTGATGTTGACGGTATCGTCAACGGAGCGCCAGACGAGGGTGGAAGAACCTTCGGGGACATCGAGGATGAGTGCCTCACGGTCGACAATTTCAACGTCACGGGCGACGTGAACGGCAGTGAGCGGGTTGTCTCCGGTGATCATGACGCACTGGATACAGTGTTAAAAGGGGTCTAGAAAACAATGAACTCGACGTACGCGGTGTGACGAATCGCCAAGCATCTTCAGAGTCTCGACAGCATCTTCCTTGAGGGGGCAGTGGAAGACCAAGAAACCCGCGAACGTCAGACCCGACTCGACCTGGTCGCGATGGAGCCTCTTGATCTTGTCAAGGGGCATAGGCTCCATCTCCCTGAATCCGAGCGCCAAGACACGGCTTCCGCGACGAGTAAACCACTTGAAGGTGTCATCGTAGTTGGCGGGAACGGTGGACAACATGCGGCGGATGGTCTCCGGAGCACCCTTCGTAGCAACCATGCAGCGGCCGTTGGGCAGGGTCGAGACGGTGCTCATCCGCTTGAGGGCAGAGGAGAACTGGAACCTGCGGCGGACGATGAGGGAGGTCTTGTGCGGCGCAGAGGACTCGATGGGCCCGACGCTGTCGCCCTTGATAACGTGCCAGTTGAGGGCCTCGAGCGTGGTTCGCTCCATGGGGTCACCGACGATGGTACCGTCGTCGAGCCGCACAAGGGCGTGCGCAGCCGCAAGGGCCAAGGTGGTTTCGCGGCCGGTAGCCTTGACATCAACGAGCTTCAGGGAGTCGGTGGGGCTGTATGATGCTCTTAGCATAGTGCGGTGCGGCATCCAGAGCTGAGAACTCACTCGACACCGGCAACGCCCTCCACAACGAGGTTCTCCGCAGTGATGGTACCAGTCTTGTCGAAGCAGCAGACATCGACGCGGCCTGCAGACGGGATCCGGAAGGGCTCCGTGCAGAATATGGCTACAACCACGTTAGCACCATCCACAACAACAGCAAATCTAAAGGCACACACCATACTTCGACAGCGCGACGAGGGACGCGTTGACGGCGAGGGACAGCTCCATCGGCAGCTCGGGCGGGACGACGCTCGTGATGATGAGGATGCAGTCGAGGAGCAGCTTCGACTTCTTGAGGTCGCGCTCGATGCCCTTGACCCACACGTACCAGCTCGCGGCGATGGCGAAGATGAGGAGGAAGCCGATGAACAGGAAGCTCTCGGCGTTGTTCGCCGACATGCGCTCGGTCGAGAAGATCATCGTGCGCACGAGCTGGCCCTGCGCGGTCCCGAACCCGGTGCGGAGGACGACGCCGAGGCAGCCGCCGTCGGGTGTGTCGCCGTCGTGCGTGGCCTGGAGGAGCTTCGTCCCGGAGAAGAGGACGGCGTTCTTGTGCGCGACGTCGGCGTCGAGGGCTTCGGCCGGCTCGAGGAGGGAGATGGACTCCTTGAGGAGCGGGGTGGACTCGCCGGAGAGCATGGCCTCGTTGACGATGCAGGTGCCGCGGATGAGGAGGATGTCGGCGGGGATGCTCGTCTCGGTCTGTTGCCGGGCGACAGAAATGACGTCGCCGGGGAGGAGCTCGTCGCTCTGAATCTTGAGCCAGACATTGTCGCGGCGGACGAAGACAGGGTAGGGGGCAACGGCCATGGTGCGGAACTCAGTGAGGGTGCGGAGGCGTTGGTAGACCACGGTACACTCCACGACTAGACGCAGGAACGGACGTGGGACGAAGGCGACGCGCATCAGCCTCCGCTGCTGTCCCATCTCAGCACCATCAAGCGTGAACAGACTCACCATTCGCGTTTTTGGTACCAGGCCGGCCAATGAGGAAGTTGTCGGGTTTGATGTCACGGTAGATGAGGTTCTTCTCGTGCACCGTTTGTATGCGTGCAAGCTGGGTGTGCATGTGACACGGCGGGGCCGAGGGAGTGGGAGGACGGAGGCGGAGGCGACAGCGGCGGGCGGAAATACAATCCCGGCGTTACCGGCGGTTAGAGGGCGAGCCGAAAGCGCGAGAAGGAGGTGCGCACCATCTGCCTCGCCGCCATACAGACCGTCTTGATTGAGAACTTGCGCCCACGCATGTCGAACAGATCCTCCAGGCTAGGCCCCAGAAGATCGATGACGAGGATGTTGTGAAGTCCCTCTTGCCCGAAGTGGTATATCTGGGGGATACCGGCTGCACGTCGATGATCCCAGGTCACGGAAACGAGTGTCTACGTCAGCTAGGGGGTTCAAAGAGGTGAACAGAAGGGATGCACTGACGGCGGTTGGAGAGAATGCAATATGAACGATGTTCATCGCGAAGTTGAGGTGCCTCGGCCTTCTGCGGCTCCTACGTCGTAGAAGAACATGCGTAGCAGGGCAACACATGGTTTCAAAGACGTAAAAAAAGAGGCGGAGGATGTATGAGGAACGCGATGACGCAAACACTGCACCGTGGGGTGGGCGAATGGGAAGAGAGGACTCACGAATTTAATCGCCATGGTCTGCGAGTTGAGAAGATTCGTGCCTGCGCAAAGTTGAAACGACCACTTTCAGCTCCGGTCGACTGGAACCCTCCGCGCTGTGGAGAGCGCGACACGCGGCGGGCAGCAGGGCGGGAGAGGCGTACCTTCGAAGATAACACCAAACGAGCCCTCACCGATCTTCTTGCCCACGCGGTAGTGGGCACCTACGACGTTGTTGGAGGAAGAGGTGCTGTGGGAGGACATGGCCGGCGGCGCGCAGGGGGCAGGGGGCAGCGGCTAGTGGAGGGATGCGGGGCCAGAGAGGAGGGCAAGGGAAGAGGGCAGGGCCGGACTGGGAGCGCGGGGATGAGCGCATACTCCATTCGCTAGCAGCGCCCTCGCGACCCTCTGCGAACTCCGCGTATGGCATCCCGACACCGCGACCGCGCGGCCTTCTTCGGACGGATACGTCCTCGCGAACGCCGTTTAGTAGTCGATTGCACCAAGTACGGCAAGTTCTGCGCCAGAAAGACCATCAGTCTCCACCCGAGGCACTCCCCAAACGAGGGCAGAGACATACCTGCAATCCCCGAACGTTGCGCGAGCGCGAGCGCGATGTGCCGACATGGCCGGTTGAGGTTGAGTGCGAGCACGCCCGCGCTGCCGAGGATGGGTATCGACGTAGGCACCGCTACCAGCCATTAGTTCTCCAGCTTCCGGAGCCGCGGTAGAGATGTCGTGGGGGTTGCTGAAGGCACCTCCGAGGAGTAATTACGGTACTTTTCATGGTGGCCGGCTCTTGATGAATGCAGGATGTGCCGAGACGGGGACGCGTCTTAGAGACGCGCGTTGGTTGTAGACACGCGAGCGCAGCAGCGGTGTTCAGGGTGGTGTTCGCGTTCGCGAGGCGTTGGGGATTGTGATGAAAAGCGGAGGGTGCGCGAGGGTATGGAGTGCGCGGACTCGTCTTGTGCGAGCGGGGAGTGGTAGAAGCAGAGACAAGAAGGGAGAGGTAGGTGGGAAGACTCGCCGTCGCCGTAACTTCCCTCTCGTTGGCATCGAGAGCGGCCGATATCTGCCGGCTTGCACGAGCGGCGGCAGTTTGGGTGAGCCGTGTGGATGCGGGGATGTCGAATGCGTCAGCTGTAGGAGACGTGGACAGCGGGCACCGCGCGGGGGAGAGTTTGTGGAGGACGGGTGCGTTCATTGGCGAGGGCGGATGCGTTCGTTGGCGAGGACGGGCTTGCCGCAGAGGAGGTAGGCTTGCATGGGTGCGTGCAGGACGGATGAAGACAGGCCGTCTAGACTCTAAGCGCCACGGCCATGGGTGATCAGCGCAGCCGCCCGCGTCCTCAACCATGACGTCATTTTGGCCGTCCCGCCCAGAGCGCGGGCTAGTTGCGGGCTCGGGTTGGTGGACTGTCTTGCACGTGCGGCGAGCCGGAATCCGTGGGGGCGGCGGATGTGCTACAAAACGGGTCAGGGATGAATCAGCCATGCTGCGCTGCCTATGTGCACGCAGTGCGCACATTGGATACCGCGCAAGGGCACCCCAGTGCGCCCCGGGCCACGAAGGCACGTAGGAGGAGAGGATTTAAAAGAAATAGTAGGTATCTGAGGGTATAAACAGCCAGATCCCAGGCCTATGTACGGGCTGAGAGGATAGCACTAGCCACTGCAAGCGCCCATAGAGCTTCAGAGCGTCGTGCGGACGTTCATCAGCAGGCAGGCAAGCAGGGCCAGGCAGAGAGGGCGCGTGCGAGAGAAGATGAGGGCGCGGGCAGGACTGAGACGGAAACTGGAGAGCGGTGCGACCCAGATCCCTCCTTTAAACAGAGACGGAGCGCCTCTCTCGCCTGGAAATACCGAGCCGGTGAAGAGTGCAGAGTCCAGACGCGATGAGGTGATCAGGTGACCGTGTTGCCCCAAACGACACGTGCGTCCAGCCACCTGTGTCATCTACAGACTACTTCAGCAGTTGCCACACAAGGGTGCGTGTGATATTGAGGAAGCACGTATCCTCACCCAAATTCTTGGCACAAGCTGATACGTTTGCACCCACAGATACCACACGTGGCGCTCTGCATCTCACTAACCTGTCACGTATTTGTTGGTGACGGTCCCATTCACCGGTAGTAGTCGACCAAACCACGCACACCGTTCCCTGTGCTGCCGCTCCCTCGATCTCTAGTGGACCATGCTCGTCACCAGCCCGGCTGTGAGTACGGGGTGTGGCTGGTGTTTGTAGGCATGCATGTTGTGCTCACCTATGCTGTCAGTCTCAACATCTTGCGCATCGCTCACCTCCTACCTTGCCGCCTCACCCATTCTGCCCCTTTGCGCACATTACCCTGCCGTCTGCCTGCAGCTGCCAGCATTGCTTCACTCGTGTCCACGTCACTTGCATCGCCAATGTCACCACGTCTCCCACCTCACTTCGCTTGCACCACCCCCGCATCGTCTGTCACGCCCCTGTGTCGGCGCCTGCATGCCACGAACCACCTGTTTTGCCCACACCGCCCTTGCCCGCATTTCCTGCATCGACACCATGGTCTTGACCACAGCAAGCTTTTTGTAACCAATTTGGAGACTTGCGTGTGTCCTCTATTCTTTGCTCTGACCGTCATGCAAGGTACTCACAAACGTGGGCATGCAGCCACTGCCCACTCGCTCTGATCCAGGATTCTATGCGATGCTCCGCAGTCTGCCCAGGGTGTTCTAGCACGTGCACGAGGGCATGACGCTGGGTGCGGCGGAGCGCATGCACCATGTTGTGCAGGCGTGGCTGTAAGCCTGTACATCGAGGCGTGCCTGCCAGCGCGCGGCGTACGCGTCGTGGGATGGACAGCAGGCCTGGTTTTGAAAATTTCCCTCTTCTCTGGCCGCTGTCCTTGTACGGCTTCAAGAAATCCACGCTGCAGGTCACTGCGTGAGTTTCTGAGGTTTTCTTTGCTCCAGAAAGTGCTGACGGTGCATGCAGGACCAGGGACGTTGCTGATGTGACGTGTCTAGCGGTGTGAATAGCCTGAGAGGCTCTGGCTACACGTGCCATGGCTGACTGCACCTGATGCGGTGCGATGTATCAGGGAGGTTATCAGGTACATCGGACGACCAGGAGATGGGCGACCTGAGGTATGCCAATCTAAATGCCCAGCACGGCGTAGCTATTGTCCCTGGCGTCTGCAGCTGACATTTCTGTTAATCGCTTAGAGCCTAGAGATGCCCATTTCATCGCATGGGTGGATTTCTGCCTTGCCGGGCAGCCATGAGGACGGTAAAGAGGCGCCATGCGTGGTGAATGACGGAAAACTGACATCTTATCCCATCTTAGGTCATATTTCGTCGCTAAAAGAGCATGCTTGGGGCGGTCATGAGGGTTTTCAGAGCTGTCAGAATGCCCCACATGCCCCACATGCCGCAGTTGTTTTCCAATTAGAACCCAAGCCCATTGAAGCCCGTTCAGCCCAGCCTAAACGCAAACAAATCAAAGCCCGTCTGCCAGCTTGCGCAGCTCATCTGGCCTCCAGCCTCCGTTCTCAGCCTGAAATCTGCTGAGGTAAGCGCTTTCTCTCTGTTCATATAACGTGGCACGCTCATCGACGCATTCTCTCACCAGGCTCCCAAGTTCACCCTTCTCTAGGCCGTTGTCGTATTCTCTCAACTCTTGCAACCACCGGTACCCATCTACAACCTGTCTTCAATGCGTCCAGAAAACCGTGGCAATGACGGTGATACTGCCATACAGGGGACTGCTAGTGGGTTGCTTGAAGGTATGTTCGATTGTTGTTGCTGTACTCCGTCCTCGGATTTTTCTGATTTCGTAATTACTAATGATACCTGCAGCTCCACAAACCCCCTGTCGTGGCCCGCCTCGCAGCCAACGTACGCTGTCTATTTTTCAGTTGGCATCTAGACTAGATAGTACGTCAGATCTCTTTCTACATTCTCTGGCTCCTTTGTTAAGGCTCTAACCACGGTAGTAGGCAGCGTCCCTGTGGCGCAGGACACTCCCCAAATGGCCAAGATTTTCCCCATGTGGATTAAAGGTACGTTGACTCTATTAGCTTCGCATTCAAGATACTAATTTGCCACCTTAGATCCGCTCACCCATGCGGATGAAAATTCAGCAAACAACTCTGGAGAATTCATCAACATTGACGTTTCAGATACCGACGAAGGCTCGCCCTCCCCTAGTACAGAGAATCGCCCTGGCTTGCCTCGCTCTGGGCCGTGGCCAGCTCTGGGTTTTGTGCCCCCTTCACACATGCTCGCGACGGAGTCATCCACTTCCTCCATCCCACGCATCACACCGCTCGACACACCGGCGCCTGCAGCAGAGGCTTCTATCACTCCGACGACCTCCTTCACGTCAGCCACAGCTGCAGCTCTCACTGTCCCCATCAACATCCCCGTTCTTGAAGCTGCTCGTGGTCGTGGTCGCCGTGGCCGTAGCCGTGGTGCTGTTACACCAGCCACCAATGTTGAAGCCCCCGTTGTTGAAGCTACTCGTGGTCGTCGTCGTGGTCGGGGCCGCGGTGATGGCACTGTTGCCTCTACCTCGGCCGACGCTTTCATTGTTGAAACTGCCCACGGCGGTGGTGGCCTCCATGGTCACCGCGGTGGTGCTCCTGCTACCACCACTCTCGCTCCCACCCTTGCCCCTATCGTCGGAGCTGCGTACGGTGGTAGTGCCTACAGTGAGGCCACTGCTGCTACCCTAGATGCCCCCACTACTCCCACACAGACCTTCATCGCCCTCACCACTGGGGACATCAACGCCTCCGTCGCTACTATAGGCCCCCTCACCGAAGCCCACGACGGTGACAGTCATCACAGCGGTGGACACACCACCACCGAAGGCGCTCCCGTGGCAGCGCCAGACGTCTCCGCTACCTTGGATGCCCCTGGTACTGTCCCACCAGACCCCACCCCCAGCATCACTCCCTCCGATGCTCCTGCTACCTCAGACGCCCACGCTGTGGAAGCTACTGCCAGTCGTGGTCGTGGTCGTGGTCGTGGTCGTGGTCGTGGCCGTGGTCGTGGTCGCGGTGGCTGTGATGCCGCTGTTGGTTTCACACATCCCCAGCGCACTGCTGACTCGTCTGGTGCCAACGCTGCTGCCACCATCGCTGCCGTTCTTGCTCCCAACCCTCGCCCACCACCACAGCCCAAGCCTGTACGGGATGATACTAAGCCCTTCTACACGGTTGATCCTATTGCAGATAGAAGGGTCTGCTGCTATTGCGGGTGAGTGCAGTGGTATTACGTCTTGTGGCGATTCACCCGGTGCTCACTGTCCTACTCTAGACAAAAGAGTTTCGCCTCAGGTACTAGCTCCCATGGGGCCAGGGCTCACCTTATCAAAGAACACGGAGACCTTTGGTATCGAGACTGTCTGAGAAGGGGCATTGAACCTACGGCAGACGCGTCTAAGATCTTCTGGGCAGGGAAGCAACGTGAGCAGTTTCAAGACCATACACCTATGCAGATTTCCGGTCTCCCAATAGCTGAGGAAGAACAGCGCCGCCCGAGCTTCTCTGTCGATGCCCTTGTGGACGCAATACTGACATGGATTGTGTCTGATGATCAGGTATGATACTCAGAGCAGCAGGCCTTGTAAACCGTATTCATACTGCTTACTAACCTATCATTTATCAGTCTCTCCGTGTTGTGGAGAACCAGGCCTTCAGAAATATCATCCTGCTTTGTCGGAATGATCTCCGGGACAAAGACATTCCCAAGCGAGACGCCCTTCGGGCCCGTGTCATCAACACTGTCGACAAGTACTTTGGTACACTGGGACAGCAGCTGCAGGTGCGTCCTGGATATTCTTGTTGTGGAATTAGTTTTGATATTTTGTTAGGAATCGGCTGGGAAGATCTCTTGTAGTTTCGATATCTGGACAGATATGATGAATCGGTCTTACTTGGCAGTAGTAGCGCACTGGATCCACGCACCTCCCCCGAAACTAATTGATGGTGTCCTCGTCCGGCGCCCATATCAGCCCAAGATGGCCCTTATCGCATTTGTACCTATGAACGAAGGTCACACCGGCGTTCAGATCGGACACGCTCTGGCGGTTGCATATTGTAAGCTTGGTATACTCAGAAAGGCAAGGGTGTTATGCTCGTCTCCCAATTCTGTTATTGATAACCTTCTACAGCTCGGGAATGGAACCTCAGACGGGGCGTCCAACAACACAGTTGCGATGAGGGCACTCGGAACCATGTTCCTCATCCAGAATCCAGATCTCACCTATGACGAGAAGCAGCGACGCCTCTTGTGAGTAAGCTCTTGTATGACTCAGGTGGTCCGAGTATTTATGCAGAGTACACAGCTGCTTCGCGCATGCAATCGCGCTTTCATCAGGTGATGCCATCACTATCTTGGAATCTCGTCATGGTGCTGGGGTCCTTAAGCAACTCAGAGACCTTGTCAACACAGTGAGTTGTCAGTCTTATCAGGAATAGTTTTATTGATCTAACTGAAGTTGTTGGCTTACTAGATCAGGGCTTCTATCAAGCTAAGAGAGGTGTTTATCAAAAAATCGGCTGAATATAGTGAAAACGGTCTTCCTCTACAAATCTTGAAGGACTCTAAGACACGCTGGACTTCAACCAAGATTATGGTCAAGCGAGCCATCAAGCTCAAGTCGGTGAGTGTGTTGCAGATTGATGTTTTTCTTATTCAAATACTAACGAGATCTGAATTCCTGCAGGCACTGATAGATCTCTGCACTACAGAAAACACTCTTTCTCAGTTGGCACTCTCAGAAGTGCAGTGGGAATACCTCAACAAGATGTTGGTGGTTCTCAGTGTATGCCCACTTTTACCCGCATCAACTACACTCCCACTAATTATGATCCAGGTGGCGTCACGTTTCCAGCAGGCCCTATCCGGTCATGACATCACAATCTCCAAGGTCCTGATGTGCTTCTGGGAACTCCAACGCGACTGGTGTTGAACATTGGATATCGAACTACGTACATTAGGACAGTTTACTCATCCACATGGACTCTGTGAGATACTTCCCATAGTTCCATATGTCACTTCACTGCCTTGTAGTTCCTTATCTCTTCCATTCCGTTCTTCTACGCTTCTCTCTTTGTTCCCTTGTTCCACTTACGGACTTTCTTTGTCTTGAGCGCACAGCCCGCACAGCATCGTATCCATCTTCTGTCTGGTCTGTTCTCTGCGCCATCTATGTCCTCCATCATTCGCTTACGTATGCAGCTCCTGAGATAGATATAAGGAGGACTCTGGCTCGCACTGCTCTTCAGTCGTTCTATCACTGACTGAGGAGTAAGTACCCCACTCTATGCGCTCCTTTATACATATGCTTACTGTATCTGTAGTCGCTCCTCTTCGTGTGCTTACAGGTACTACTTATGCCCTCAATTTAGTCGTTCTATCACTGACTGAGGATCGCTCCTCTTCGTGTGCTTACAGTTGGTCCTGCCTTACTCAGAGTTCATCAACTGGGAGTATCTCGGAGAGCACTCTTCCGATCCTGTGATTGTCTTAGCAGCGCAGGCAGCACTGGATAAGGTGACTAAGTATATGGATATCGCATCGGCAAGCGACGTCTACTTGGTGGCGATGGGTAAGCTTACTACAATTCTGTTGATGGAGTCTATTTTCACTGCTTTACCAGCTCTGCACCCTACACTCAAGCTCCAGTACTACAAGTTGGATGAAAACTCCAAAATAGACTTTGTAGAGGCCAAGCGGCGCTTTGTAGATGCGGTAAGTCTCTTCTACACTGACCCATGCTACTATCTAAATTCTAGCATAAGTACTGATAGCTCCTACTTCACTAGGTTAACCAGCGTGATCTGGAGCACCACACAGAGCATCCCACCTTGCAGATCGAGCAGCGTGTTCGCGTAGCCGATATGCAAGAGGAACCTATACAGCTCTCGTCCAGAGACGCGGTGAGGCAGCTTTTCAATGCTGCGCTTCGCCCAGAGAAGTCTTCTCAATCCGCAGGACAAGGCTCTGCAAGCCTCTCTTCTGCACAAGAGGTAGAGCTATATCTGGCAGACCCCACGCCGTTCAACGGAGGAGATTCCTTACTGTTGTTTTGGCAGGTAATGATCTGTTTCAAGCCTTAAATGCGGAGTAAGATTTCATAAGCTGACATGTATACTACAGGAAGCCAAAGGCAGATACCCAAAAATACATCGCCTTGCAATGGATGTTCTAGCCTCTCCAGCTGCAGCAGTGGAGTGCGAACGCATCTTCTCATCCAGCAAAGAGACCATCACACCTCGTCGAAATCGTCTGACAGCAGACGTAGTGGAGGCTCTGCAGGTGCTGAAGTATGGGTTCAACCATTCAGTTCTTGTTTCCTATGCCATATCAGAGGACGAGGAGACAAGGTTGATGGAGGAAGATGCAGAGGTTTGTGACATAGAGCATGCATAGTTATAGGATGCATGGAAGTATGGAGCTGCACACGTATTTCAATTGGAGTTGCTCATCCAGGACCAGACAGTAACAGTTTAGTGATCACCACGGGTCACCCCCGGGTATTTTTGAGTCGACCCGGACCCGGACCCGTGAAACCCGGACCCGTGGGCTCACGGGTCAGAGTCGGCGCTCACATGCACGCGTATGGCTTGCATGAGTCGTGAGCCACAACTCCCTTCTTCCCCGTTTCCGCCTCTGTTCTCCTTCCTCAATCCCAGCCCCGCACGGCGTATACCCCCTCTACCGCAAGCTCGCTGAGTACGCCACCCAACTTTGGGGAGCCCCGTCGCCCTTGCCGCCAAGCCCCTCCGAGTCGTCGCCTTCGTCAAGAACCAAAGCTTCGAGCTCCCGCCCCCGGCGCCCTCCCCGTCTACCGCGCCGAGGCGGAGGAGTTCTAGTTCCGTGGGCCGACGATGCGCTGCCCACCCACCTGTGCATGGCCACGTGGACTGGCATGCGGCGCTGCCAGATCTCGTGCGGGGATGGGAGGACGACTGGCAGGTGTGGAGCGACCACGGCGGACGAGCATGAGTGCGCAGGGGCGGGCTACTACCTCGTGAGTTTCTCTCGTCTTCTGTGACCTCTTTCGATGCTCACGCTCACACCCGAACGGTGTGGGACCTGAATGTAGACTGGCACGCACTCGTTGTGCGCTCGTACATGTTCGATGCGAGGCTGGTGTACCCGCTGTTCTCGCCCCCCTCCCGGCCCCCCTACCCTGCAAGCACCAATCCATGTCCCCCACCTAGCCCCTCTCGTTCTGGGAGCCGAGCAACGCAATGGACAAGGACGCGCTGAATGTGTACTGCCCCCAATTCTTCCCGGATACGTAGGACTAGGAGACAGACGGGGCACAAAGGTCGCTATTCTTGTATGCGTTCTACTTCTACGTCACCTCTGCGCTTATTTTACACTGTGCAGATGACCGGGCGCAACACGCTTCGAGTCCTCCAAGTTTGCCTCGCCCGCACCAAGCAAGTCCCGGCGCTCCAGTTCTGCCGGGTCTGCCGACATATGCCCGTTCGTGATGTTCTTTGGGTCGCTCGAGCTGCGCACGATCAATCACTTCGCTGTTTACCAGCGCGGCTCACGGACCTTGCGAACAGGCAGCGGTCGCCAAGTGAGGGCATGGGACGCGCCCACATGTCCCGCCTTCCTCGACGCGTAACTCGCGTCCTGCGAGGGGCGTATATTTGCGACGATGATCCGTGTCGTCACACCTGGCAGGCTTCGGCTCCTCGTCAGTATAAATTCTCACTCTTCGCAGAGAGGGCCCCTTCGACATCTGGCGACCTCGACATTCCAACACCGCGAAGACCTCGACGATGACCAAGCTCTCCACCACATTCGCGGCCCTCGCTGTGCTCCTCCCCGTCATCACGCTCGGCCGGGCGGCAGAGCGGGGCCAATGTGGTGGGATCGGCTGGAGCGGCGCGACAACCTGCGTCTCCGGTACGGTCTGCACCGTCCTCAACCCCTGCTACTTGCAGTGTCTCCCCGGATCCGTGAGTGCTTCCCCAGTCGTCTTCTCTCTGTGCGTCGCTGAAAATGTTCATCTCGATTTTGCCCAGGCGTCGTCTACGCCCCCGACAACAACCACTGGTGGCTCGACCCCGACGTCACCTCGACCGTGACCAGCTTGAACAAGCTCGCCCAGGCGGCGGGGAAGAAGTACTTCGGGAGCGCGACTAACAACCCAGAGCTGACCAACACGGCGTACGTCGCCATCCTGAGTGAGACGAGTGAGTTCGGGCATATCACTCCCGGGAACAGCATGAAGTGGGTGCGTGGCGACGTTCTCGTTTCATCGTCTTTCTTCATCGCTATTATCCATTGAGCATAGGCTGACGATCACCGACAGGACGCGACCGAGCCGAGCTGGGGCACGTTCACGTTCACGAACGGCGACGTCGCCGCAAGGCCGCGCTCACGACGGTGTATTTCGCGAGTGCAGGTGCACGTCCCAGCGACGTTGGTGACCTGAACGCCAAGGACGGCAGCTGTGCTCGCGCTCCTGGGCATGCAGGTGTGGGCACGCTCTCGTGCTTCCCCCTTCCCTTGTCTTGCGTTGGGCTGACAGCGAGGACAGTGTGGGACGGTGGTGGTGCACTATGTGCACAGCGTGCGCGCGACGTACGCGGTGCTTGCCGCACTCATCGCCCCGCAACTCACCTTCAACGTGCTCGTGGTGCGTGTCATCGCGTTCCACACGCTCAACCACCAGCGTGCAGGCATCGCATGGAAGGCGTTCTGCACCAGCCTCGACGGTGCGTCCCATCGCCTCCTCCTCCTCCTCCCTCGCTCCCACACTGACTCAGACCCTTGTCGTCGTCAGAGGACGGCACACTACAAAGCGCCACGCCGCCCGCCGTCCCCGGCCCCTCGGCCGTCCATGCATCCCCACCAACCCGACCCGCCCCCCGCCCCCCCCCCCGGGTCCGCGTGCACGCACCGCACGCTTGGCGCGCCCTTCCATGCGCTCTTCCCACCTGGGAGCCTGTCGGACGTGCAGATTGTGCGCATGCTCGCCACGTTCGCGCGCGACTGGTACGTGCTGTGGCCTGCGCCCGTGGGGCTCGGATCAGGGTCAGGGGCGGTCATCGCGCCGCACGCGTACATGCAGACGTTGGCGTGAGTGCTCGCCTGTGGGGGCATGCGCACCGGCGAGCTCCGTCCGTCGCCTTCGCCTTCTCGCGAGGGGCGTGTGGGGTGGCGATTACATCCTGTGCAGGATTTGTGCGCGCATTCCGTGCGGCCCTTGTTTCCCCACCCGTATATGCTCCCTTCTGATTTAAATCAATGCTATGTATTATACGTATAATGTACCCCAAGCCCACGGGTCACCACGGGTTCCCGAGGGTTCACCCTACGGGTGCACGGGTCAGCCAAGCACGACCCGGACCCGGACCCGTGGCACCCGACCTGCCAACCCGCACGGGTGGCCACCACCCGTGGTGATCACTAGCCACATCACCATCACCTTCCCCACAGGCGGCGCCTCCAACTTGACCACCACGATCTCGAGTTGGACCACTGCCAGCTGCCATCAGGACGACATGAACTGCCTCCGGACGCTCAACGTCAACGCCGTCGTCTCAGACTTGATGACCCTTGCCGCCTGCATCACCCATTGCAACTCCAAGGGCCACACGATCACCAGGCTCGAGTACGCGCGCGAGTGCTACCGCGGCGCGTCCTTCATCAACAGCGGCGGCGCGCTCATCGCGGACGCCACAACGCAACTGCATGCCCTGCTCTGGCGACTTCACCGTGCTCTGTGGTGGCCCCGACGCACTCACTGTGTTCGTCAAGAACGGCAGCGCGGCCGCAAACTCAGGCTCCGGCTCGGGCACCAGCTCCGCGACGAAGACCGGCGCGGTGCTCGCCGCGCCGACCGGCTCGACTTCAACCTGCGGCTCGCACGTGCCGGTCAAGCAGAACCACAAGCACAAGGCGTTCAGGCGCATGCACGAGAACTTGGGCCTGTTCCGAGCGTGCGTCCCTCCGCGTTAGCGAACGGGTCGCCGTGGATGGCGGCTCGCTCCTCTTGTCTCGTTTCGACGCTGTGACGTCCGCAAGAGGGAACGCGGGCCCTCCAGGCGCGCGCATGCGCATGCCGTCGCTGGCGAGGAGTGAGGTCTACCTCGTGCAATTCTCGTGGGTGTGATTGATGGAAAGGGGGGATGAGGATAAGTCGACATGTCGGTTGGTGGGCACTTGCACACCCTCCTTCCTCCAGAGCTCAGAGGATGAAGCCTTGAGGATGCACTGAGAGCGACAGGTCCAAGCTTTCAAACTCGGTCTGCATTGTCAGCAAGGGCCGCAGGGGGTGACGCTAGGCAGGACCTGTTCGAACTCGGTATAGAGTATTAGGCTAGCCATTATGAATTGGTAATAGTTCGGCTATTGTAAGTTGTAGCTTGTATAAGTACCTTATAACTTGTGGCTTGTAAGCAGGCGACTTGATCGGACTCATTGTCTACCGACGTCGGATCTGAGATCTGAAACTCGACTCGACTCGAGTTTTGCCTGCAATTTGGGTGTTTGGTCGACCTCGTCCAATCACCCTGCTGACAATCTTAAAACATTCTGTGCATCATGGGCACATTTAAGAAGCAGTTCTACCATTCATCTGTTGCTCTGTTCCACTACGAAACATGAATCTTTGTTTTGCCACCAGCGCCAATTGAAGAAGACGGCTCATGGACGGCTTGGGCGGCTTGGGCTCGGCTTTGGTAATCACAGCCAAAATCAGAGCCATGGCTCGAGTTTTGGCTTCCTCGGAGCCATCCTGAGCCGAGCCAAGCCGAGCCAAGCCGAGCCAAGCCGAGCCATCGCAACACTAATCGGGCCCGGTGGGGGCCCATACAAGGAGAAAGTGTATGTAATCGTGTCCGTGGGAGAATTCCAGTAATCAATGTGGGAACGCCCTCTCAAGCCATTTCCGGGGGTATCACATGCTCGCCGCCAGACTGATAGTCGCCAAACCCCCCGATGCGGAGTCACTGCCTCCGGTTACACCTGCTCCTTTGGTCATTGGCTGTGCGGGGTGCCTGGACACCGCCCTGCGGACCCCAACCGCGGGCGGCTAAGGGCGGCCGGGCTACGCCGGTGGTCTTTACATGAATGGGATCTCGGCCTGGGGCCAAGGTCCAAGCGTCATGCTGATAACGGCAGAGCGCCCGGAGGGACGCCCCGTACTTGGCTCCGAACTCCCCACGACTCCCGGGCCGCACGGGCAGTCGGCGCGGCAGAACCCCCAGCCCAAAAGTAGAGCCGAGGGGTGGGGGGCCAGGGGGTCGAACCCCGGATCCCGGTATTTTCCCGGTCCCACGGGTGACCTCGCCCACAAGGCACTGGTACCGCTGCTCCAGGCGGCCCCAGAGGGACTTTGAGGCCGGATTCGCGGGGGGTGAAGGTGTAAGAGAGGGTGTGGAGCGCGGGGAGCTGCGCTCGAGCGACGAGGCAGGCTGCGTGGCCGTGTGGGTCAGATCGGATGGAGAACTTCTCGAGCCCTGGGAGACAAAACGGAGGTTGCGAGGCTAACAGGGAGTGATCCTTGGTGCTGTCGCGGTACATGTGGATGGAAAGCGACCTGAGGGTGGTCCAGGTGGTCATGTTGGCCATGTCCGTGACGTTTGCATACACTGAGCTGGCGCAATCAAGTGTGTTCAAGCGGGGAAATTCGGGGAGCCGCATCAGCCAGTATTCTTTCGCGACCGAGGCGCCTTCGAGGTTGGGACAGTCGTCAAGAAGGGTGTCCGCGACTAGTTCGTTCCATCGTTGGCTTCCTTCGGCTTCAATGGACACCCAGAGCACATTTGGAGCGAGAAGAGCCATTTCCCCAGTCGGTTCGGGGTGCGACCCGCTTCTGTTGGGGTGTCTCGCCAGTGTGACCCGATGAAGCCGAGGGAGAAGTGGTCCGTCGTTTGGAAGCAGTGCTCGAAACTCTTTCCATACAGATGGCATGCGCCGATCGGCGGCTGGATAGAGGGTGATATTGCGCACACACTGCGCGTACCACTGGAATCGCGCCCACTTGGGATGACTTTGTAGTTCTTGCAAAGACCCGTAGTGCGCGATCGTCTGTATAGGGCTCGTCAATGATCATGCGCTGCAAACAGAGTAGACCACACTTGCGTAGAAGCACCCCGAGTCAAAGCGTCTGATCTTAAACCCGTTTTCCCTGTACCATTCTTCTGCAGCGTTGTCCCGCTCGCGCGGCCGTGCAATCTCAAAAATACGGAGAAGAGAGCAGAGAGGACCGTCGTTTGGGAGCGAGTGCCAGAGAATTTCGAGGGCAGGACCAGAAAAACGTCGGCAAGTAAGCGCGAGCGCGAGGAGAGCCCTGCGATATATTTGGAATTGGCCGTCGAAGTTCGCGAATATATCATGGAGAACGTCATAGACTAGTGGTGGTCCGACCGTCGCATATGACATATCTTCAGCGTTGATTCGTGCAGTAACAAGTTGAGATCCCTGTGCGGTTGAGCGACGATGAACTCGGGAGCTACGGACTTCGATGGTGACAAATATTTCCAAGATGAGTTGCGAGTCGAGGGGATATGGGGTGGGCCTGAGTACTTGGTAGGTGAGAGCCAGAAGTTGGCCGGTGGCCGTTTAAGTACTGAACGTGACCATTGTCCGAGGCTGACCACCCCGGCTCGCCATACCATTGTTTGTCTCGAGTGTGGTGCGCACCGCCTCTTCCTAGATATTGGCAGTGGTACACAAAGCACCAACGCCCGCGCTGCCTCGAATCCGAACACGCTTGGTTTTGATTGATGATTGGCGACCGTGGGAGTCATACACAATTTCCCATAAGCAGTCGAGAAGCGCCAGGGAACTCAACCAGTCCTCAAGCGCGCAGGTACCTCTTCGTCCCGGCCGCCTCGTCTCGGACAATGGTCTTTCCGCAATCTCATTGTTCACCTACCTGGTTTGTCGAAGTGGTAAGTGAAACTGATCCAAGCAAAATCTGAACAGACCTGCTCCGATGGCTCATCGAGGAGGCCCCCGCGCACGGCCGTCAGACGGACATGCGACACATGATGGATCTTCAATTTGCCGCGATCCGCATGTCCTCTATAGCTAACGTGAGTATCCCAACCTCCTGAGAGTCTCCAGAGATGTGAACTAAGACCGCTCTCCTCGCATAGAGCAGCGCCCAGTGCCATGTGGTGCTCTACGTATACCTCGCGACCGAGCTCGAGTGGGTCGACACACTCCGCGCCGATCGAGCCAATCATCGCTGAGGAAGGATGGACGAAGAACACGGTCACGAAGATGTGGAAAATTCCGCGAGTCCCAGCGCGTGAACGGCGTCGGCGTCGGTGCGCACGCCGTCTCGCTCTCGACCGCCAGGCTGTGCTCCCAGCTCACGCTCGCGCCTATCCACAGTCTTCATCTCCAGCCTCGTGCTCAAGGAAATCACGCTTGGCGGCCGCACGTTCGTCCCAAAAGGCACGAGCATCGCCGCCTCGTCGCATCCTCCCCGGGGTGGCCAGCTCGTTCGACCCGTTCACCGGTGGGCGCGCATGCACGAGGCGAGCAAGGCCGAGGCGAGGAAGCACCAGTTCATCAACACCTCGCCGGACTACATCGCATCTATGCATGGCAGGCGAGAATGGTGCATGCATGTGTGCTTTGTGCACTGCGTGGCGAGGCTGACCGGGGTGCACTGCGAATGCATCCACGGGCGCTTCTTCGCGTTGAACAAGGTCTCGGGTACATCCTCCTCAAACACTACTTCAAGCTCGCAGGGAGCGTGACGGCGCGCCCGGAGAACCTCTGTTTGGATGAGAACGTGATTCCCAATCCGGCTGCGGAGATTATGTTTCAGAAGCGCGAGTGCCACGGAGTGAGGTACGCAGTCTTCGAAACATATAATTCATGCGCCCCCGTCCATAACCATCGAGCACAGTGAATCAGTTGACGGGTTGTGTATAGCCTACAATGTCCGTAGTGGATCTCGCTCCGAATTTGTCATCTTGTCGCAGATACGCCTCACACGTCCGCCATTCTACCACGGTTACACGGCAGGGTTCGTCTCGACCTTGACCCGGTGCCCAGCCATCGGAAACAACGCGTTGAGGAACGTGCGCACCTCGCGCTTGGCTTCTTCGTCCCGACTATCGTCGCGCCGACCGCGCACGACAACCAGACCGATTCGGAGGTCGTACAGGCTGCGGTGCGGTGCAACGCCGGCGCGGCGCGCGGCGTCCAGCGTGCCCGGAACGAGCACCGTCCGCGGCAGATGCAGCACGCGCAGCGCGGGGAACGCCCCCGCGAGCTCCGGCAGCACGTCGAACGGCGGCCGTATGTCGTTGTCCGGGTCCTCATCGTAATCGCGGACCGCGATCCGGAGCTCGACAAGGGCAGGCCACATGGCCAGGAGCGTCCGGAGGTCGTTCGCGTTGTAGGTCTGGAGTTCGGTGCGGAGGGTGATGTTGACTACGCGGAGCTGCTGGAGGGACGCGAGGTGGGAGAGGAAGTCGGAGAGGTGCCTGTCCCGGCTACATGACAGCACGATCAGCGTGAGCTCGGTGAGATGCGAGTAAGCGGCAACGATGGCGTCAAAGGGGTGACCTTTGTAGGCGGAGGGGTCAAAGGTGTAAGAGAGTGAGCGGAGGGAGGGAAGTTTGGCGGATGTAAATATGGGAAGAGAGCACCCATATAGGTCATCAGAGATCTCGAGGTTCCGGAGAAAAGGTAGGGAGATAAGAGATGTGAGCGTGTGGTCTGGAAATAGTGGATTTGTTTGCAACTCAAATCCGGGCATGGGGATGTCGTTGAAAGTAAGTGATCGGAGTGCGGGCCAGTTGGCCATGTGGGCAAAGTGTTCAATCCTCGGCTCGTACCCGGATACGCGAAGTACTTTCAGATGTCGGTGCTTGGATAGCAAGGATATCCATTTGATAGCAGAGATGATGGCGCCTTCCAAGGTGGGACAGCGTGCAAGGAGATGGTTGGCAACTACGGTATTCCAATCCACGGCACCATACATAGTACCTGCAATCTTCGCCCAGCGTACGCTGGGTGAGAGCAGCGCGAGTTGTGCGCATTGTTCTGTCGGGCATCCGCTGTAAACGTACCAAGTCTGCAGTGTGACCCGATGAAGGCGGGGGAGAATAGGGTCGTTCTTTGTGAGCAACGCGTCAAGTTCCGTCCAGATGGACGGCCTCGGCTGCAGTGCGGAGAATGACAGGGTTATTTCATGTACATGAATTGCATACATCTTGAAGCGCATCCATGCTGAGTGAAACCGTAGGTCATGCGAAGACTCGATGTGCGCGACAGTCCACAACGACGGTATCAGCGCCCAGATTAACATCACAAGGAACCATCAAAAGCTTGCATAATACCGCTCCCAATACTCAAACGAAGAATATGTATACTCGTCCAAAGCAAGGGGTCGGGGCCGCGCGATTTCCAAGGTATGAAGAAGTGAGACCAAGGGGCGATCACTGGGTAGCGATTTCCAGGGGATACTGAGGGCGATAGAGGAAAGAGGTCTGCAAGACACGGCAAGCGCGAGGAGAGTGTTTCGAGATGCCTCATCTGCGCTGTCTAGATTCGAAAGTATTCCCGGAAAGACATCGTGTACTAGCCGGGGAGGGCTCTCCTGTGCCAACATGTTCTTGACCAGGGAGATGAGACTCTGATCTGCATGCAGCGTTGAGATATACGCACTACTACGACCAACGTATGTGCCGAGTCACTGAGCAGTACCAGCGAGTCAGTGGTGGGGGAAGACCGCGAAGATCGATGGCAGAGAGTGGCAAGAGATCTCGCGCCCGTCGCACGGACGCGGCATGTCGTCTCGATTGGCGCCTGAACCCAGCCCCCATTCACACGTCAATGCAGGCTCCTACCCAGCCGTCTTGTCGAGTTAGCGTCCCTGCGCCCTCGCGTGCCCGCGCCTGGCGGCACTACCTAGACTAGATTGAATAGTAATCATTGCAACGGAGTATCCAATCGTATGACGCACGCGGGCCAGGCGAGCCTACGCCACACAGTCACGGGAACACACTCGGGCACAGGGACACTAACTCTCCAAGACGGCTGGCACCAAATATTGGTAAACAACGGAGCTCCGGGGAAGAAGCGCTCGCAGCTCCTCGATTTGGTGCTGGCGGAAATGCCCGAGTGCGGAATATGTCTGCGGTGCGCTGCATTTTGGCGACGGATATTGAACGCTCACGTGAGCTGTCGCGTCGGCCTCATCGCGAAGTACTCGCGCGGGCGCGGCGCGGGCGCATACATTCAGTGCTAGCATACATTCCTGCCCCGAGTGCCTACTACCAGCCTCACTCGCCGCCCAGTGCCTAGTCCCTCTCGCTGCTGACATGCCGCCGTCCGCACCCCTGCCGCCTCAGACTCCGAAGTCCGCACCCAAGACCCTCCCAAGTTTCGCTGAGCTTCGCAAGAAGACGCAAGAGGTTTTTGGTCGTCTCCCGTGTCTCTGGCAGTGTCGTGTTGCCTCCGAGGTCTTGGCTGGCCAAAAGGACATCGTCTGTATCTCTGGGACTGGCTCGGGCAAGACCTTACCGTTCTGGATGCCTCTGCTCTTCCGTCCGGACGGCATTCAGATTGTAGTCAGCCCGCTGAACGCTCTCGGAAGCCAGAACACGGAGCAGCTACGGAAGGTTGGGATTAGCGCGATTGCTATCACAGCGGAGACGGCAACAAACACAAACATCCAGGTACGTGCCAAACCCTGATGCGTGCGGACCGTGTGGGTGAGCTGTATGGCTGCGTAGGACATCCTTACCGGAAAGTACCGTGTCGTCGTCGTCAGCCCCGAGGCAGCACTCAAAACTGGTGGAAACTTTGAACGACTGTGGAAGAGCAAAAGCTTTCTGTCAAACCTAATAAGTGTGGTCTGGGACGAAGCTCACCTCTTGAAAAGCTGGTCGTCATTCCGTCCGGACCTCGGAGAAGCGTCTCGGATCCGCAACATGATCCCACTTAGCATCCCCTTCCTCCTGCCGACCGCGACCATGCCGACCCATATCTTGGCTAGTGTCATGGACATCGCCAGACTACGCCATGACCGCCTGCTGACGATACGAAGATCCAATGATCGTCCAAACGTGTATCTCGCAGTTAGAAAAATGAAATACTCACTGAGCAGCTACAAGGATCTCGACTTCCTCATTCCTGATGGCTGGCGACCCGGTGTTCCTCTGCGCAAGTTTATCATATTCTTTGACAACATCGAAGAGTCAATCAAAGCTGTACTATACCTGAGGATGCGGCTGCCTGCTACTTTTCGCGACAAGCTCAAGTGGTTCAACTCGGATAACTCCCCAGAATTTCGCGAGGAAATGACAGCGGCACTGAAAGACAACAAGATCTTTGGCCTTGCGTGCACGGACGCTTTCGGCCTTGTAGGTGTAACAGCGCTGAGAGTGTGCGGGGCACTCACCATTTTGTTCAGGGCATCGACATCTCCGATATCCCCATTGTAGTCCAGTTCCGCGCAACATGCGATCTTGACACTCTATGGCAGCGGTTTGGACGCGGTGCGCGCGATCTGGCGCTCTTCGCGGTGGCGATACTCTTGGTCGAGCGCAAGTACTTCGATGCAGAGGCGGCGGCGGCGGCAGAACGGGCGGCGAAGCGGGCGGCGAAGCGGCAGGCAAAAGCGATCGAGCAAGAGACCAAGAAGCGAAGGCGCACGGAGGAGGCGGCAGTGAAGGCGAAGAAGAAAGCCCGCACAGAGTCGTCAGGGGATGCGGCACCGGAGGCACGGGATGAGGAGGTGATGGTGGGTGCGGAGGTGGTCGACCTGGAGGTGATTGACTCGGACACAGAGGTGGAGACCGCCGTAGTCGCAGGCGGTGTGGAGGTCATAGACAGGGCGGAGGCCGTGGACGCAGAGCTCATGGTGGTGGACGAGGCGCAGTTGACGGTGTTTGAAGCGCTGCGCGTGGCATACGTGCAGACGCACACCGCCCTGGCCGCGCCTGCACGGAAGAGGAAGGGCGCCTTTTCGGCGACCCCTTTGTCACCGGAGCTCGACAACTTCGTCAATGCCGCCACACGCCCCTTCAAGTGCCACCGCATGCCGGTCATGGCGTACTATGAGAATGACCGGATAGGCTTGTGGCCTTTTTCGCTATTTTCACTATATACTTACCGCCATTTCTCAGCTGTCTCTGACGAGCACAAGCACTGTCACCCGGGAGGCTGCCGTCGCTGTGCACCTCCCTCTTCCTCCTCCCTGTTAGTCTGCTGTACGCAGTGCAATCCCACCCATTTGGCCTTCGATTTTCTTCCACTGGAAGATGCACCTGCTATCAAGGCCCCCGCCGCGCGTCGCGCGTCCAAATTGGACGACAAAGTCACCCTCACCCAAGTTGACAAGGATTTCCGGCTGGCGGTACAACAATTTCGTGATGACCAAACGTGCAAGATGCTCGGCCGCACGCACCTCGAGGAGGAGGGTCCCAGGTTTATAATGGGCGACAAGACTCTCGACCGAGTCGTGCTGTGCGCGCGTGCAAACAAGATCCGTTCGGTCGAGGAGCTCCATCGGGAGACGAAGTGGTACCGAGTGAAGGAGCTCGGTGAGGAGCTTCTAGTGCTCGTAAACCGGTGCGTCTATTATATCATACCTTGTTCTTATACGGGGTCGTCACATCTGCGTGCAGTTTCTATCCGCCTCCGCCTCCACTGCCACCTCAACCTTCAAGCACGAGCTCTGCACCCCAATCAGTGGGGAGCACACGACCAACGAGTGCTTCTAAGACCCAGCGACGGTGCAGTGCCTGTGGGAACGTGGGACATATCCGTGAGCCTCCATATTTCCGCGTCTTGGTGTGAGCGTTCTCTAACGATAATCTTGATAGGCTCGAACAAGAATTGCCCATCACACAAGAGCAAAGACCAACAGAGTGCACCGGTACAGACAGACACAGAGCTCAACACACCCGCACCGGCGTCACTTGTGCCCTCAACCGAGTTCACGTTTAGTACGACTGCGCGTGCAGCAGTAGATGGTTTCAACAGCATCTGGTTTTCTGAACCTGAGTACCGTCGTAACATCGGTAAGTATCGTTTACAGCAATGCTAGCCAATGAAAGTCTCGACACTGAGGTCGTCGGCATCCAGGTTCTGCTCTTCATCCAGCTCGGGTCTTTCCTCCAATTCTGCCTCCGCCTCCGCCCCCTCACGCTCACGCTCAGGATCCTCCACAAGCATAGATCCACCTTTGCTGATGTAATGCGGCATCATGTAAGCTGATCGTCGCCCTGCGACAAATTTGTTCGGGTGCAAATCACGCAAGCGTTCGAGGACACTCGCAAATGTCGTTGTCATGTCCGGGTCTCCGTGCGTAGTAGTGAGCCCAGGGAGCTTGAAGTTGGTTTCGACGTTCGAATGGCTGTTTCGGTAGATGAGCACGAGCACAGATTCCTCTTTGATGCGCTTGATTGTGAAGTTTGATCCCTCGCCGCCATAGACAACCTGGGACAGCTCCGATCTGCCATCCATGGTGTATGTAGGATATGAATGACGAACCTTTTCGTATAAATTCAGTAGTTCAACCATCCAGTCCACTGCGCGGTACGCTCCTGGCTTCCCAGTAGGGTTGACGAGCATACTATACTTGACAATCTCGCTATCGCAAAGGTCAATCTCAACACTGGAAGCCCACGCTCTGTTGGGCTGTACTCACCGCAGTCTGTCCGTATATATGAACTCCAGAGCATGCACGAAGCGTAAGGTGTAGTTTGCGTAATTTGTCTTCCCAACGGCACGGAAAATCTTGATCCAGGGTGAGAACAGAGTGAGAACGCGGCCAATGTCACCAGCATTCATCGCGTACGACAGCTCCTCGTACAAGAGCAAGGTGCTGAGAAGTTGCATGTTGTTTTCTCGAGCCTTGTCGCGCTTGCTGTCATCCTCGCCCGACATCTTCTCGAGACTGGTTGCCCCTGGTCCGCCCTCAATGTACTCTGTAACGATAGTTCTCGCAATCTTCTGGATATCTTCTGTAGTCGGTTTTGTAGCTGCCCAAGCATCCAGGGTCGTGATCCCAGTCCGCCTCTCCACTTCGACCTGCCATGCATTGAGGAGAAGAACGGTCGAGATGTCTTTGATGAGGTCGTGCTGCTGTCGGAACTTCGCATTGTTGGCCAGCATTGAGCTCTCCTTCGGACGGAGCATGTGTGCAATCTTCATAAAGCTTGTCTCATCCACACGTGCCTTCGCGTCGTTGGCGTAAATCCGCCAGATCCCATCCGATGCAGCCATCTTGAAGTGGAAGAGACCAGGAACGCAGACGACACCCTGGAACCGGTTGCAAGCGGTCAACTCTTCAGAGCGGCGTCGCAGGACTATGGAACAATCATATAAGCACTGAGATATGTAAGTAACACTGCGAGGGAATGTGTTGGGCTAGACGCGCGGAGCTCATTGCGCTGCTGTGCGTGACGCGCGAAGCCCACCTCACGCACTCCTATCCATGCAGCTAACTACTGCGCACGAAGCATGCAGCTCGTGCGGCTCACCACAGCACATAATGCGTGCAGCTTACCACAGCGCGCGATGCGTGTGGCTCACAACAGCGCATGATGTGTGCAGCCCACTGCAGTGTGCGACACGTGCAGTGAGCTGCACTCAACGCCTCCCCGATGCGACATTCCCTAGTGTCACGCTGCCAGATACAACCACTCACCAGCTATGACCTTTTGGAATGTGCCAAGATCGCCGTGCACAACTGTCACATATTCCGAGATGTCTACCAGATCCGCATTCTTGCTGCTGTCCCCGATACCAGCTTGCTTGTACATCATTTCAAGAGCTCGCAAGTTCTCAGAAACCTTCGACTGATTGAGCTCCATCGTGCGTAGCGGTGTTTGATCGAGCTTGACAAGCGGGATCTTCTCGACATCCTCCGGATCAGCCAGACCCTCCAGCCGATCACGAAGACATGCTGGTCCGTGGAGGAAGAGTATTTTCATGCAATGGTATGCACGGAATTGGCCGCGGCGGCTGAGCTGATTTGGTGCGCGGGTTCCCTCCGGGTACATAGTTGCTAGTCGGAGCAGAGTTTTGTGTGCATCGAATGGGCGAGGGTCTGAGGCATGTACATTGAGTTCGTTCCGGTCCCAGAGTAGATCCGAGCATCGCAAGTCCTCGAGAGTGGCGCCATGCTCAAGCCGAAGCAGCAAACCAGAGACCATGTGGAGCAGTCCGTCGCCTGGTCGCTCAGCAGTGGGTTTGGTTGAAGGAAGGATGAGTTCGAAATTATTGTATGCGTATGAGACAAGACGTGTTTGTCCAAGCTCCCGTATCCTCTCCTCAGCTTTGGCAGAAAGTGAACGTACTGCACGGTGGATGGATGTGAGAGAAATACAGATCCCGACGTGGGAGAGCGTCTTGATGACCTTCTCCGGTGTGTTGGCAGCGTGGAAGAACATTCCCATGACACTTTGGAACGAGTTGGCTCGTTGATCTTGGCCTTGAATGAGCATGGAAATAACGGTCGTGGCACGCTGTGATATGGAATGACCGCTGAGGATTGGAAACAACTATTCTACACAGGCTGCTACCTACTATGCGTACAACCTCACTTCGCTTGACACGATGAGGACGCCCATCACCCATTCGGGGCTCTTCATCTTCAATAACATCGTCGTCTCTGCCATCTTGGGGGTCGGAGGGCATGTAGCAGGCGAAAGGAGAAACCAAATTCCGAAATGATTAAACTACCCAGGGGCGCGCGCGGGCTCATTTAAAGGGCGCACCTGCGAGTAACTCTCGGATAAGCTCCCACAGCCGTGGCGCACGTTCCTCCAGATCGCGGGCATAATCTTCGAGCTGGAACTCGGCCAGCTGGTTCGGAGACGCGTTTGCGGCAGAGAAATGCCATCCACCTTCGCGGCGAGAAAGACTCCGGACGGACTTCTGGTGATCCAAGAGGACCCGTCTATGTGACCAGTCTCGAGTGCTTTCTTCTGTGGCAGGGTGATAGAAGAGGGATGCAATGATGACCTTCGTGTTGTTAACAAGGTCGTCAAAGACAGGGTTCCCAGACACATCCTGATAGTTTTGCATGAGAACATAGCTTAGAAGTTCGGATAGACCGACACGATGCAGCGCGAGATAGTTGAGGATATCGCGCAAGACCTGGGGCGGCGTGTTCATCGTAGGACGGAGGGCGTACAGGGAGCTGCAGCGATGCAGCGAGGACGCGTCGAGCATGAGCGCGACCCGCGGAAGCGCCCGCGGGGGCTATAACTTAATTCTTCAACGCTCCCAGGCATTTTCACGCTCGGAAACTCCCGAGCTTCCCAAATGGAGGAGCCGTGGGCGCTTCGGCGCCGACGCTCCGTTATTTACTAATGTTTGGTGCCAGCCGTCGGGGAGAGTTGAGTGTGCCCGGTGCTGAGTGTGTTCCCGTGACCTGGTGGCGTAGCCCCGCCTGTCCCGGTGTTCTATTTCTGTTCTATCCTTCAGTATAGCTGCGTTCTATATGGACTAGTATTGCTTTCGCAGGCCCGCAGGGCTTGCCGCGCCGCCAGGCGCAGGACACGCTCGGCGCCGGGACGCTCAACTCTCCCCGACGGCTGGGTAGGAGCCTGACGTCAATGCCCACAATTTCCCAGCACGCGTACCCCTCACCAGACTGTACGGACCTCGACTCTATGTCCTGCAGCTGGGAATAACATCCGGAGAAACTCGCGCACCTCCTGCTCCCCCTTCCCGTCTCCCCGCTCTTCCTGCATCTCTATCGGGCCCAACTTGAGGTCGTGCAGAGCGCGGTGCGGCTCGACAGACACAACATCGCGCGAGCCCCGCGAGAGCGCGACACGCGGGACGTGCAGCACGCGCAGCTCCGGAACACCGCGCGCGAGCCCCGCGAGACCGTCGAGCGTCGCCACCTCCTCGCCCTCGCCCTCGACTAGTGCGCCGTTCACGGAGATCCGGAGCTCGACGATCCGAGGCCACACCGTCGCGACCGCACGGAGGTCATCGTCGCTGTAGCCAAACCGCTCACCCTGCACGGTAAGGTGCAGCGCGCGCAGGTCCAGAATGGGCGCGAGGTGCGCCAGGACCGCCCCGAGGCGCACGGACAAGGCCATGCGTGTGTTCACCCGCGGTGGGGTCGGTGAGTAGAAGGGCGTGATCTGGCGTGCCAGTTCCGCCCAGGGGATCATGGTGAGCTTGAGCGTGGCGAGGTGCGAGTACGCAGCGGCGATGGCCCCCAGCGGGACGTCGATGCCGTTCTCGAAGAGGCGGGGGTCGAAGGTGTAGGAGAGCGTGCGGAGCGCGGGGAAGCGCACGAAGGCGAACATCTCGATCGCGCTACCATATGGGTCCGAGTGGATGGCGAGCGTGTGGAGGAACGGGAGGCAGAACGGACGTCGGGGCGGCGGCTCGGAATGGTAGTAGATGGTTGCGTGGTAGAGGTGGAACGAGAGGGATTCCAGTGCGGGATACGTGGCCATGCTCTCCAGGTCCTCGATGTGCGGTATAACGCCGTAGGTGCAGTGAACCGTCTTGAGACGCGGGAAGTGTGCGAGCAAGGGCAGCCACAAGCTGTTGTCAATCGTGAGGTGTTGCAGGTTGGGGCAAAAATCCACAAGGGAATCGGCGACGAGGTCGTTCCGCCGGTCTTTGATTACACCGGCGATTTGTGCAGAGCAGACGCGTGACATCGACAGCAACGCGAGCTGCCTGCTGTCCTCAATTGTCTTTTTTTTTTTTTTTTTTTTGGATCCTTGTTTATTGCCCTCGAGGGCGGAGCCCTATGGTAGGCATAACATACAGTGAGTTCGTACGTAGTGTATCCCAGAACAATGGAGAGCGTCGTCTTTGCATATGCTCCCTCGGGAAGGATCCCGAAGGTGCAGCGGACCGAAACTTGCCGGCAGGCGTCAGCCGGCGTGCCAGTGAACCTTGTGGGGCTCGGGGTGTGTGTATGAGTGGGGAGTGAGAAAGAGAGACCGAGTGCGTATAGTATGGGTACAGTAGTAGTATAGTAGCGGAAAGAAAGGGAATCCGGGAAACTTTGCAGTGGGGCCAGGCTTGGTTTCGCGTCTGCACCGGTCGTGGGGCGTCTTCACGCGGGTGTCTTCTCGCGCTGGGGTGGCTGGATGGGGGGCAAGTGATCAGCGGTGTCGCGTACGAGAAGTCGTCTTTTCACCTAATTAATAACTCCTCATGCCGGAGGGTCCGGCTCGTCCTCTGGCTCTGGGTAACGCAAGCTCCCGAAACGGAAGAACAGGCAGTGTGTCTCTTCCAGAAAGCCAAAGAGGGGCCGGAGACCCTTCGGCAAGGCGAGGAGGTGCGCGAGCGACCTGCGGTCCGGGGGGAGGGGCGCGAAATGGACTGCGCGCGCGAGCGAGAAGGTCTCGCACCGGAGGAGGAAGTGCGAGACCGTCTCAGCCTCCCTCCCGCACGAAGTGCAGGTCGCGGAGGTAACGGCGCCGATAGTGGCTAGGTGAGAGGATAGCGGCACGCAGCCACTCCGGAGCTGGAGCAGAACTGCCGCGTGACGGCGGGGGAGGTCCTCCACCAGTTTGAGGAACAACTTGGATGGGAGGGATGGGTCAATGACGGCGAGCTTGCGGCCCCTTTTCGACTCCGTCCACGTCTTTGCTATCGCGGACTGGAGGCTGTCTACGTAGACGGACTTCATCTTCGACGCGTTTGCAGGGAGGGGGCGGCGTCGGAGGGCGGGAGGGAGGCTGGTGAGTCGTGACGATTTTCCATGTGCGGCTTCCTTTGCTGCGATGTCTGCCAGTTCGTTACCCGTCACTTCTACGTGCCCCGGCACCCATCGGAGCGTGATCTTGCACTCTGGTCGCGCCTTGCGCAGGTGCCGTATCGCCTTGAGGACCTCGTCCGTGAGGTAACGACCCGGGCCGGACTTGTGTCCGGTGGTTGCTTCAATCGCGCTTTTAGCATCTAGTGCGATCGACGCCCTCTTTGCGGGTGTGTGCCGTTCCTGCCAAATGAGGTAGAGGCCCAGCAGGATGCCTACCGTCTCCGCCTCCGGGACGGTATGCTCCTCTGCCGGCCCTAGGTGGAAACGTAGGTATCGCGGGCGGCGACCCGGTCTGACCAGGACCGCCGCCGCACCCACTCCCCCGTCGACCTCCGATCCGTCTGAGTAGACCCGCAGGCCTGCGCGTGTGGCCCAGTGCTCCTCCTCCGTCAGAGCGGTCTTCTTGTCTGCTGCGATGCTGGTGCGGTGGAGTGGGCGCCATCTGGGTGGATGCGGGCTGGCGCGATGCGTTCCGGGGGTGCCTCTGGCAGCGCGTGGGCGTAGGCGTGTAGGATTTCGTGCATCGGGGATCTGTGGGTCTTAACAAACGTTTTCTTGGCGCGTGCGACGTGCGCGGCGAGAGGGTGCGACGCTGGGAGTGTGCGGAGGCGGATAGAGGCGCGCTGGCAAGCTTTGTCAATGAGGTGCTCCAGGGGTGGGATGTTGAGGTGAGCCTCGAGCACGTCCGTGGCTGTGGAGTGCATCGCGCCGGATATGAGAAGGAGGAATCGCCGGTGGATGGGTCGGAGGAGGTTAAGGAAGCCGACTGAGCCGTGGCGCCGCTTCTGGCCCGGGAGCGCGCGAATGGGTGTGAACCATACGTCCGCTGCGTAGAGCAGGGCTGGGATCACCGCCCCGAGGTACACTTGCCTCAGTAGCTCGGTGGTGACCCCCCGCCGTGCCTTCGCCAGTCGCCCAAAGACGGCCAGGAGTGCCAGGCCCCTGGATCGCGCTAGAGCCGCATGCTCTTTGAAGCGTAGGGTGCTGTCGACCAGGAGGCCCAGGAAGCGGTGGACCCGGACGGCCTGCACGACTGTGCCGTCCGGTAGCTCCAGGTCCGGTCGCGCTCTGTTTTCTTGAGGTTCCTCTTGAAGTTAATGCAAGCCGTTTTGCCCATCTCAAATTCCGAATTGTGAGTGTGTGACCATTGGAGGGCTCCGCCATCTCTCGTCAGCAGTGCGGCGATCTTCTCGTGGGTTCCCGTCTCCCCATTCTCCCCCTTGAACCGGCGCGCTTCCACGAGGAAACAGGCGTCGTCCATGAAGCCCGGGCCGCGCTCGCCGTTTGTCGTCACTGCGCAGTCAAGTAGATCAGAATTGTACAGGATGTAGAAGATTACGGAACCGGAGCAGCCTTGGTCGATGCCGTTGACGATGTTGAGTGACTCAGAGGTGAAGTCATTGAAGCTGAGTCGGGTAGTGCGGCCTTCCAGTTTGACACGTAGCCAGTCGACAATGGTTTCAGGGATGCCTCTGCGTCGCATGTTGTGGTACAGTCGTGAGGGCACCGCCGAGGGGAAGGCCGCTTTGATGTCGAGGAAGAGCCCAGTGACCACGTTCCCTCGCCGCCACGCATCTTTGGTGAATTTGGTGAGGAAGTGGAGTGAGTCGGTGGTTGAGCGGCCGGCTCTCCCCCCGAACTGCGATCCTGCTACCAAGCCTTGCCGTTCCGCTTCGAACGAGAGGATGTCAGCGACGCATTTGGTCAGGAGCTTAGAAATACAGTTGAGTAGTGCAATGGGCCGCCACGCCTTGGCCTTAGTATAGTCGGGCTTCCCCGGTTTCTTGAGGACGACGGTTGTAGACTCGCGCCACGCTTGCGGGTAATACTTGAGGTCGAAGGTAGACTGGAAGAGCGGGAGGAGGAATGGGATGAGTAGAAATGAGCAATTTTTGAATACTTCGTTGGGGACACCGTCCGGCCCTGGGGCCTTGAACGCCGTGGTCGCGTCGATGGCGCGTTGGAGCTGTTGGCGGGTGAGCTTCTTCCATTGGAACTTTGCTGGTGGGTATTCGTCTTGCTGGTCAGGGGCTGGGCCTTCTGGGAGGAAGAAGGTGCGGTGGAACTCCGCTGCCTTCTCCTCGTTGGTACGGAGCGACCATAGTGTTCCGTCCTCGTCTTCCACTGTCAGCGAGGGGATACGCGCTGCGGACCCATCCGAAGGGTCCTTGCGCAGCAGTCTGTTCGCCTGCCAGATGGTGGACGCGTCGAGGCCTTCCAGCCACGCAATCCAGTGCTCGTTCCTAGTCGCGCGGCATTTATCAGTGTACCGATTGCGGAAGTGACAATGCTCAGCGTGCACCGGGTGGTCCGGTGTGCCCCGTCGCTTGTGTGACCATCGCCCCAGTCTCTCCTTCTCGCGCCGCATGTTTGTGAGCTCCTTCGTCCACCATCGTTTTGTGAAAGGCGATGGTCGTCGTAGTGGTACGCAGCATTCAATGGTCGTGTAGATCGTAGTCATCAGTTTGGTAAGTGCTTTGTCGAACTCGTCCGTGCTCTTGATGACCCTGCTGGGTTCATCCAGTGCGAGCTGCTTGCCTAGCTCCTCCTCGAACTCCTGCCAGTCAACTTCGCGGAAGTCACGACGTGGAGCGAACTCCGCGCGCGCTACTGGGAGCTCGAGTGTGGTGATTATCGGGAAGTGGTCTGCACATAGTGGGCGGCGATGGGGTGCTGTGTTGCAGGATATTAGCGCGTCGTGAACAGGGTATCGGAGCAAAAGATGTTGTCCAGTCGCGTGAGCGTCTTTGAGCTGGATGCCTCGAGCGTCGGGATGCCTTGTGGGAGCGTCTGGATGAGGTGGAAGTCCCGCGTGAGCTCCAGCAGGGCCTCTGCCGCCTCCAGCGCCTTCTTCGTGAACAGCTGCGCATTGGCCTCGTCGTCCCAGTGTGGCTGGTGGCGGTTGAAGTCTCCTAGCCAGATGAACTCTTGATTACGCTGGTCGTTGGCGCGTTCGGCGTCTCGGAGGATCTTGCGTGCTGCGTGTTCTGTGAGGGTGAGAGCGTTACTATTAGCCTGATCAACGTAGAGATTGAAGATATGGACAACGCGGTCCCCCACATCGAGTGAGATCGCCGCCACATCGGGGCAGACGACCTCTATGGGGGACCAGGAATTAGTGGAAATAGACTTGTTAACATAGATACCTGCCCGACACCTCTTGAAGGCGTCCGGGTCCGGGAGAGTGGGGAAGGCTGGTCGCCAGAAGTGGTTTGCTGTAGATTGGTCGACGACGTTGTAGGCTTACTCCTGAAGCGCCACTATGTCGAATTTCTTGGGGTCGATGTCTTGGAAGAGGTCGATTTGGGCCATCCACGATTTGTTGATGTTTTGTTGTAGAATACAGAGTCGGCGGGTTGTCGGGTCAGTAGGTGTGTCAATCATTGAGGTCCGGTGGTGCATCAAGGAAAACCTCAACGAGCTAATTAGCTCTAGTCTCCCCTAGGCCAACCTTCTAACGAAGGTCTGCTTGCAAATGCGCCCACGATACCGCAGCTCTTCATTTTCTGGCGGAGTTTGAACATGTGCGATGGATCGCACACCTTATATAGCAACTATGTCTTTAGACAGCATAGATCGACAACGAGAGATCTCCGGCAGGCTCCGACGGTCCGATGCGTCGCTCGCGCGCGCTCCCTCCCTGAGTTCTACTCTATGGCTTCAAGACGGGACCACTGGAAGGTTGCAACGCCTGAAAGTGGATCCACCTTCAGCTCCTTTCATGCGGTGTTCGACCCCTCGCTGCCCTCTACACCAGTCACGCCTCGGCCGTCTCTGCTTGCGCCCTCACCCTCACCCTCGCCCTTCGGATCCTTCGCACTCTCGCCCTCACCTCTTGCGTCCACCCCTACCGCTCCCCTCGGACCGCAAGAAAGCGAGCACACGAAGGTCAGGTGCTTTCTCAGCACCATGCGGCAGAGCCCTCATCGCGGCCACCATGTGAGTATTTATATTGCTCTCTTCTCGCATTTCCGGACCTCAATAGTCCCCGGAACAGCTGCGAAACGGCCCCTCGGAGATGGTGCAGTTTCGCGACAAGCAGAAAAGCGAGCACGCAAGGAGAACGTACCACTCCCCCCTTATTATGCGCCTCCATCCTCGCCCTCCTTCGCGGTCTGCATGGTCCAGCCCGTCCAAGATCTGCCCGGCCTGCCCCACCACCACTACTGCACGACATGCGGGTACCTCCCTCACCCCTCCCCACTCATCAACGAGAAGCCGAAGCCCGTGCGGAAGGATTCAGAGCCTCACGAGAAGTTGGCCATCGTTCTGAATAGCATCCTTGACGATGTACACTGGAGTTTGGGCGGGTTTCTCCACGCTGTATTCTCGATGTTCGGGCGCAATGCACATCGTACCCAGCGTCACGCTCAGGTTGTGTCGAGGTTCCTGAAAGGGAAGGATAAGGATCCAAATGGTACGCCAGAAAGCATCCTCGACCTGTGGATGCGCCATTCGGATGGGCGATCGTCAAGTCCCCGATGGCCCCTCCCACCAAAATCTGAGACTGCGGCGGACCCGGTGCGGGTTGCACTTATGCGGTTCGCCGTACACCTCGTGGAGAAGACACTCGTTAGCGAGGCTGAACAGGCTATTAAGCCTCAAAACGGCTTGCACGCTTCACGGAAGCTGCGGAAGAGTGACAATCCTACGGACGCCTCCGAAGTTCAGTGGGCCGACATAGGTGCAACAACCCTCGCATCTGTATCAGCTATCACAAAGACCCAACAGCCGCTGCTCTGGGAGCTTCTGCTCTCCATTGCGGAGCGTGCACCTGGTGCCAAGAGCGTCACGGACGCAGATGACGCTCGTCGGAATCGTCCCGCAGAGCTGGTAAGTTCTTTCTATTTACAACTCAGCTGAGCTTCCACTCACGAGGCAACGGCAGGTGGTATGCAACGTGATCACGACCCTCGACTTCTCGCGCTCCAATCGTGCCAACCTCGCTCCTCTCTCCTTCGGTTTCCTCGAGTTTGCCTTCTCAACACCGTCAGACATCTACCCCTACCAGTCCCGTCTTGGCATCACCCCGACATACTCAACCATCCGACGTACTCTTGAGAAGATGTCACTGAAAGAAGCGACACGTGTACGGGAACTTGGAGCCGACCCAAACAACCCCATCTGCATTATCACGGACAACGTTCAACATTATCTGAAGCAGCGGGACGCCTGCGTCGGCCGCGCGAACGGGATCAACATCGGCATGGCGGCTACATACGTGGAGCTCTCTCACGTTCCCCCATCCGCTCTTGACTATGACGACAAGCAATCGCGCGTGGCTGCAAATCTCCGCGCATCAGTGACAGTCACTCAGCTTCTCAAATTTGTTGATCAGGAACATTTTGCGAGAGTGGGTGTGCTCACTCTCCTGCGCATTCTCATCAACCGTATCCCTGAGCTCAAAAAGTACAAGACCAACGTCTCAACAGGCTATCACACTCAGGCAAAGAAGATACCGCTCGATCCGGTCGCGTCACCACTGCACCCGCTTGGAACGAGCGCGAAGAACGAGACTGTCACGCGTGAGCTGAAGGACGCGCTGGAAGATTTCCTAGGTCAAGTTGGTCAAGAGAAGACGAGCCACCACCGCAAGCTGGTTCTATGCGTCGGCGATGGGCTCACCTACGACAAGATCGTGCAGCTGAAGAACTATCTTCGGTTCCACGACAACCCATTCGAGAGCTTCCAGCTCATCAAACCTGTTCTCGCTCCGTGGCACACTGCATGGACCGACCTCAGCCGTATCTTCAGCGCACACTGGGACAGCCTCGTATCACGTGATCCTTCCAAGCTCGGCTTCGGAGCTGCAAAGCTCCATCGGCGCCCCCCATCGAATCTCAAGAAACCTGACTTCAATCAGGCACTTGAGATTGTGGAAACAGTGCATGATGCACACATCCTCGACTGCTTCCGGTGAGTTTGTACATGCAACTAGGTGAATAGCAACCTTAATGGAGGATAAACAGGGTCTTTTATCGTACAGACGACATATATTCCTACTTCTCGAGTATGGGCACTGCACCGACTTTTGAGGCATTGATGCAGGATGCCCAACAAGTCTACCATATGTTTGGCACTCACCTGGCTGCAGATAGAGCCCTCGAGCCTCGAAGTGATGACATTACGGCCGTTTCCGAGAGGGTGGGAGACCTGATGACGTCATCGACATCGACAGCAGAACCGCACTCCGCATCAAGCTTGCACACCGTCTCTCCCTCTTCCCCTACACCCTCCTCCAGTATCTTGGCTCCTGAATTTGGGATAACGTCTCCCAATGTGCCCTTAGGTAAGACAAATCACCCCTTCCTTGCGCCAGCAACTAATAGAACTTGGTTTGAAGGTTCCACCATCCATCAGGCTAGCGCCAGATGTGGGCCAGACTGCCGCTGCATTCCTTTAGGTACACCATGGCCATCTCAGACCGTGGTTTCAGCAGAGGTCAGCAGCTCGTCCGGAGGGGTTCGTCCTGGAGTGCCGTCTCGGGCCGATACATCGGTGAAAACTCGCAAGAGCAAGAAGTCGCCCAGCAAACCCCCAGCCCCCCTCTCGGGAGACCGAGTCCTTGCAGACTCCATCAATTTCATGCGTGAATGCATTGTGCTTCGCGAGTTTCTGTACGCCATTGCGGAGGGTGATGTAGGTCGTGTGTACGAGGGCATGAAAGTACGTGTTTATCTTCTACTTAGGGATCATCCTTACGGGCAAGCCTCGGGCCATCCGAGACCCACCCGTACTTTCATCTTGTCGCGGGTGAGAGTACGGGTTGGGTCACGTGCTTGCATTAGCCGGGACACATTGAGCGCCGCAGTGAGCTGTGCCGCGGTGGCCGCGCGCGCGGGGCGCATCTACAGTCGGGCACGCTGCGCGGTGCGTGTTGGGTGCGCTGAGCTGCTGGGCATGCAGGATGTGTTGGGAAAAACGTGCCGCACGCTTCGGGTTGCGAGGACACACCGCACGCCGCATGACGCGACGCGCGCGCGCGGCGCGTCTACAGCCGGGCATGCCGCGCGGTGCACGTCAGGTGCGCCGAGCCGCCACGCATGTAGGATGTGTCGGGCTCAATGCGCCGCACACATAGGACATGCCGCGTGTTGCAGCGGCACACACGGGACGCTGCATGCTTCGGGTGCAATGAGCATAGCAAGCTCGACGAGCTGAGCACTTTGGGCGCCACAACGCGCGTCAAACGTGGCGATGTGCAGTTCGTAGTGCACATTGCACATACTACTTCGGCGACGTGTGACGTGGTGCTGATTGTGCCCTCGCAGATCATGTTGTTCACGTTTGCGGGCTCAAGTCACAGCAACTATACAACATACCTCCTCGAGTTCATTGTCTCACTCGAGCTAGAGTCCAGCCCCGAGCTACGCTACACTATCCTCGCCAGCTTGGTCGTCAATGTGAAAGGCAAACCAGGTGGTTTCTCCGCGTCTGATCTCATACAGGAGTACTTCAACCGTCTCCTTCAGGCGATTGCAGAGCGGAAAGGGCTGAGTATGACGGCAGCTTCCTCCGCGATGTGGTCTCTCGTAACCTCCACCACTTGTCTCGCCTACGCGACGACCTCAATGAGGGTGTCGGTCTTGCAGCACGCTCTGGCCGTCACACCAGCCCTCAACGTGACGCGGACGTCCGGATCCTTCTGGAGGAGTTCAAGCGACATGAACTCCACCTCCGCTGCCCAGGCCGCACACTTACCCCTGACAATACCGACAAGAACACCAAGCTGAGCGACTTCCAACGGGGTGTAATCAAGCTACAGAAGAGCAAGGTGAAGAAGTGGGTTGATGATACGACACGACGTCGAGGAACCCTTCCCATCCCACTGACACATCCCACGGTCCCGGAATCCGGCACCTCTCCAATTTCCTACCCCGAACATCTCGACGTCAACGACGTCTCGGATGACTCTGACGAGGAAGACAATCTGCCGGAGACAGCTGAGGAGATGATTCAGTACATATCAGTAGGTGGTCACAACCGTCACACCAGAGACGGCAGCACAGGTACGCACTCGGTACCCATGTGGAGATACGAGATGGGGAGCTGGTCTACGGAGACGTTGACGTTGGGGTCGATGCACGGGAGATGCTGGGATTGGCTGATGAAGATGAGGATGAGATTGAGACTGAAGCGGAAGCTGGTTTTGAGGTGGATGGTGATGGTTTGTCGGACAGCGAACTAGACAATGACGATGATCAGTAGTTTGTTATGCAGATGGAGTAGAACATATACCTGGGTGGATGAAATCTCATCTTCGATGTACCTGGCATGGCTGTCAGGCCCCAACCTCGAGCTGATGTGACCTCAGGAGAATCCGACTCGTTTACAGGCAAGATGAGATCGTGCTCATCCGACGTAGAGAACTCTGACTCGACAGAGTCATCACTACTAGAGCCTTCAGTTGCATCCACCTCCTGAGCTGGCTTTATGGCCTTCAATGCGGCACGTTCAAGTGTGGTCTGCTTGCGCTTTGCTGTGTGTCGGCCATGCGCTTCATGTGGATTTGGGTGAACTCTTCTCGCAGGCCTGAGATCACATTAAGCAGCTCTTGGCTGTGTTTTTCCAGGTACTCCTGTGTACCACCAACAGTCTGCCACAGTGATGTCTCGTCAGTGATCTCAAAGACGTTGCGATCATGGAGGATGCTCTCGATGACGTCATCAGGGCAGAGTATCTCTGCGGTGATGAAGTCTTCCAGGTGTTCATCAACACGGAGCCGGAATGATCGGCGAAGGGAGAAGAGCTTGACTCGAGCGTCGTCACGCATCTTCTTTGTCACCTTCACACGAGGTGTACTGTCCTTGGGTGCCTTGAGCGCTGTCCCTTGCTTCCGCTTTGTATCGGTATCATCTGCAGTGCCGTCTCTGTGTCAGCATTCCAATGATCACGAGGTTTGGTCACCTCACCTTCCAGAACTGGCTCGGTATGCTCATCAGGGAAGCACCCACTGCACCGACACGGTTGCACACGCTGCACCGGTGGACGATTTTGACATGTACGGCAAGTGCATGGGGTGTCTTGATCAGGGTTGCTGAATAGCTGGTCGATTGCATCGACCTTGCAAGAGGCCAGCACGAATTGTGCCACACCTCATCAACTGAAGCTACTGCCTCATCGCCGGCAGAGGGTGCCTTCTTCGCCTTCTTGCCACCCTTTGACTTGGAGAGCTGTGCGGCCCGGTTTTGAAGGTTGACGTCGCCCACAGATACACCGGGAAGAGCGGCTTGACATACATTGAGCGCGTTCCGTGGGAGGTAGATGACAAGGCATGACTTCATCTCACGTCCGTCGCGTGCTCTCCCCGCCTGCTGAATCAGCGTCCCCATGTCGACAGGCAGTCCCCGTTCGAACACAACAACGTGGTGTATTCATGCGACATCAATCCCAACAGAGAGCGTGTCGGTCGCCAGAACCACTGAAAACATGTTGTCGCTCCCGGAACGCAGGTGGTCGAGGGTAGTGTCGTTGTACGAAGGCCAGTTCAGTCCGTTGTGGGACCGGACCTCAACACGGGGAGCCAACTCGTCACCGGTCGCAGCATGGCACTTGAGCTGAAAGTCGAGGTAGGACATGATGTCGTGACATGTTTTGAGTGTGCGACAGAAGATGAGAATATTGCGGCGGGCTGAAAGAACCCATTCCAGTTCGGGGAAGGCCGTGGCATTGACAGTCGACTTCATGAGGCGGATGATAATGCGGAGATCGTGGCGGGCATTGGAGCGTCGGATGAGATGAAACCTGGGTCCTTCATACAGCCCGAGCGAGTCGTAGACAGCCCGGAGAGGTGGACCGGCACGGAGGGTGGCCGTAAGAGCGATAACAACCGGCTGGTTGAAACGCATGCGCGTCGGCCCAATCTTCTCGAACTCTGGTCGGAATGTCTTCCCCCACGTGTTGAGGAGATGTGCCTCGTCGACTCCGAGCGCAACGACGCGCATCTTGTAAGCCGAGTTGTTCACCAGACGCTCGAAGCCCTTCTTGTCGAGCTGCTCGGGTGCAACAAGTAGGACATCGCTGTCGGGGACGTCGTCCCAAAGGTTCCGAGGGCGCGCCGTAGTCAATGCATCCTTGTTGATGACTATCGGGCGGAGACCGCAAGCCGTGAACTTAGTGGCCTTGCCACGGACGTTCAGGGGTCTGCGTACACATTATTATCGATGTGATGGACTCACCATATCAACCTGCAGCGCAATTGTCGGGCACACGACGACCATAGCGGCCCGATGCTGGAAATGTCTTGAGGGAGGTGAAGGCAGCAACAGCGGCTGCTCCATCACAGCTTGCATCACGACGAGGTACATCGTGAGAAAGCCTGTCTTTCCGGACCCTGTAGGTGTAATCGCGAGGATGTCGAGGCCGTCGAGAGCTCTCGTCACGCCGTCGAGCTGGTAGTCGTGGGGATCGTATCCGAAACGCGCTGAGATGATTTGTCGACACAGTGCGCGGCCAGCCGTCGAGTTGAACGCGAAGACCGCTGACGGGGTAGCGCGCGAGTCGATGGGTGTACAGTTCATTAGGTGCGCATACTATAAGCAAGGTGTGTGCGGGTTTGAGGGCGAAGGAGCAAATGAGGGAACGCGCGCTTAGGCCGCGCGACGCGTCGACGCGTTTGTGTATAGATCCGACGCGTCGTCGGAGATCAATTTATGGCTGACTAATCGAACACGGGAGAGCTACGGTCTGACCCCGGCAAATCGATGCAGACTAAATTAGCTCTAGGTCATCTAAAATAGCGCTAATTAGCTGACTAGATGCGGATAGTTCATTAGTGCTAATTATTTTACCCCTGAACTAATTAGATCACTAGCCCCATTATCTATGGGGTAGATGGGTGAATAGAGCACCTAGCTGTGAAGTAGACAGCTGAATAGAGTGGCTAGTTGCGAGATAGACGGGAAAGTAGGTTCAAGTCACACAAACATGGAAGAGGGAAACATATTTATATTGATCATACTACAACGTACAAAGTACAGACTAGTACCAGCAACGACACCGACACTACTTATTAAGGGATACCGTACTGCCCAGTGCAGACGACATGGGCGACGCAAGGGCAAGGCAGGCGACATGGGTGACGCGGGTGAGTCGAGAGCGAACCAGGCGAGCGGCAAGGTGGGTGATGTGGGCGATTCGGGCGACGCAGATGAGAGGCGGGTGACGCAGCAGCGAACGGGGCGATGCGAGCGAGATGCCTGAACGGGGCGAGGTAAGTGATGGGGGCGCGATACAGGTGAGGCAGGAGATGCGAATCACCCGAACAAGGTGGCCGTGGCGCTGGCAGGATGGCGGCGTGGGCAACCCGAGATGGCCAGCACAGAATCCCACTAGGTGAACAAATGAGCACAGGAAATGAACGGAGAGGGGACGGGCCTTTGAGCTCAACGCGGTCCCAGAAGCCGGCGAGGAGGGGCTTCCCGTTGGCGCGCTCGGCGAGGCGCCGCACTCCTCCTTGCCCTTCATCTGCCACTCGTAGTACCTGTGCGCCTGACGTGGTCAGCGACGATTCTTGCGGGAACATTGGGCATGAAAACACACCCTCAGCAGGCGACGGCAGCAGTCCGTCGATGAGGGCCTTGCTGCGGGGGTGAATCGTCTTGAGCTTCCCACTCGTGTCGTGCCTGCTGAAGTGTGGGACAAGGGCGGTGGATGACGGGCGCATCCGTACGAGGGGTGACGCCGAACCTGCGTGAAGAGGCGGGTGAGAATGTGGCGTACATGGACGAGCAAAGGTACCGCAGGACGAACTGGTCCATGGCGACGTGGTTGGCGACGTTGCCGTTGTAGTCGTGCATCTCCTTGATGGGTTCCAGAGGTGCAGACGAGGCAGTTGGCGAACGCATGGCCATGGCCGCATGCGAGATCGTTATTCTCGCCGAAATCCCAAGAGAACAGGGTACTCACCGGACGACCTTGGCGACCTCGCGTCACGTTCCTACCCTTGCTCGTCCGAGCTGACGTCCCAGCTCATGAGCACGCCTCCCTCCCTCGTCCGCGTCTCCGTCAAGGTCCCCTCGCAAGGGAGGAGCCCCTTCGCGCGCGCGGCCGTGGCCACGCCCACGGACAGGCGGAACGCGGCTGCAAGCTGCTATGCCGCGAAAGGCCGACTCGTCAGAACGAGGAACACGGCATTGTACACAGTCTTGATGAGGCCGACTGTGAGCGTCGTCATGGGCGCAGGGAGCCGTTGGAGGATGCTTACCTACGGGCGGTGGCACCAGAGGCCTGAGGTGCCGACGGCGAGGCCGGCGAGAGTGGCACGGCTGGAGAGCGGGATGGAGGAGGAGGAGGAGAAGAGCAGAACGTGACAATAGCGACAAGAGCTGGAATCAGAGGAGATGAGGAGAGACGCGGGTGAAATGAGGACGATGTGCTGGCAGTCGGAGCCTTGGACGCGGAGGTGCCTTCGAAGTTCGGGGGCGTCATGCGTGGGAATGGACACGCGTCGCGTGGACTCTGGCGCTTGCCGCTGACAGCATGGCCATCTCGTCGTCTTCGTTCATCGTCGTCTCCTTTTTCGTCCTCTTTGACCTCTCCTTCTGCCTCACCGCCTCCCAGTTGCTCTGCATCAACCTCCGTTATGCCGACCACGCCAACCACCTGTGCCCCATGCGTACAAGCATGCATTCACCATCGCACTTGCCCACCGGCTCCCCACCTCCCTCCCCGGGGACGCCCTCAAGGGCGCTGGCCACAAAATAGTTCTTCATTCCGGTGAGCTCTTTGTTTCTTCCTGCACATCCTCTCTTCCCCTTCCGTCTACCCCCATCGCCCACGTCTGCATCGCGCTCGCATCGCTCACCCACTTCGCCCATCTCGTGCCCATCCCCCGCGTCACCCGTCTCGCCCGCCTCGCGCGCGTTGCCCACCTCGCCTGCATCATCCCGCGTCGCTTCCATATCCTGCGTTGCCCACCTCCCCGACTCGCCTGGGTCTCGCCCCTGCCTTGCCCGCATTTCCCGTCCCGCACCCACACCACCCACCTTGGGTGCGTTGCCCACGTCTCGCCCGGGTATCACCCACCTCACCTGCGCGACGACGCCCTCGAGCTCGCCCGGGAACGCGCTCCGGAGCATCTCCCCAGGTGTGCAAGTCGACCAGCGCCCACAGTGATCCAAGCGGCGTCATCGCGCGCGCGCAGGGCTGTTTGTGGGGTCGCGGTGAGTTCCCGCGGCCCCAAACTCCTTTGGTGCGTTCTCCCCTCCGCTCCCTGCGTCCTTGCCAACCTTGCCCTCTTCCTCCGCGTGGCCCTCGCCCCCCGCCATGGCCCTCCTCGCGCCGTCCACCCCCGCGTCGTCCACCCTCCACGTCGTCCACCCTCGTGCACGCGCCCTCGCGCCCACGTCGCCCACATCCGTCTCGTTCTCTGCGTCGTCCTCTCCGCCTTGTCCTCATCTGGGTTGCCCATCACCTCACCTACTCCCTCTTACCCTCGCGTCTTCTGCATTTCCCATGTCGCCCGCACCCACCTCGCCCGCCTCCCCCCGCGTCGCCCACGTCCCTCCGCCTGCTCCGCGTCGCCCGTACCCGTAGCCCCCCGCGTCGCTGGCGTCACCCGCCTCGGCCATGCCATCCGCGTCATCCGCGTCTTGCACAGGCTGGCCTCGCCCGCGTCGTCTGCGACTTGCCCCGGCCTTGACCCTCGGTTTTGCCCCACCTCGCCCGTCTCACCCACTGCGCCCGCGTCGCCCGCCGCGCCACGTCGCCACGTCGCCCTTGCCCACCATCTCCCACCTCATCCACTTCGCCCACATCTCGCCCGCGTCCACCACGTCCACTGCATCTCACCTGTCTCGTCCACGCCATCCAAGTCCTCTGCCCTCCGCGCCCTTGGCTTGCGCCCACGTCGGGCCCTCACCCGCTCGCCTCGCACCCACATCGCCGTCACTCACCCGCGTCGCCCACCAGGACCTCACCCACCCTTGTCCCCGCGTCACCTGTCTCACCCATGTCCCGGGTCCCCTTAGTACTTTTGTTAATGGATGCAATCAATATATTTGTCTAAACCTGTATCCTATGTGTGGATTGGCGCATCGAGCCACGAATGAGCCAGAGCCGGACCTGTGACTCCGGCTCTTCCAGAGGATCTGACTCGCGCGGCTCTGGATCAAGTCTCCGGAAGGGCTGTGATCTGTGGGTTCGGATCCGGCTCAAATGCGGATTGATCTGCAAACAGCCTTAGGTCACTAATTAGTTAGACTAGAATGGACATTAGTTTGGACTCTGTACAAATAGATTAGATTTATATCCACTAGCTGTGAGAGTAGAACAACTAGCCAGATAGTTGCCAGAGGTGAAGAGATAGCGGTCAAATAGTATGTCTAGTTCTTCATAGTCTGCTAGTGTGAATAGCTAAGTCGATAGTGCTAGTCCTAGTTGGCCTAGAGCTAATTAGCTCATTAAGGTTTTCCTGATGCATACCGTGAAGGGGTCGGTGCCGCCATGCACATTGCGATCACCACTCGGCCCGACATCGCCTTCACTGTGCAGCAGCTCTCCCGGTTCATGGCCAACCCTGGGCGCGAACACTGGGAGGCTTTGAAGCGCCTCGGACGTTACCTCATCGGCACCCGGGAGCTCGCGCTGGTGTACGGGCGCAATCGCGAGGGGCTGGCAGGCTTCACCGACGGGAACTGGGGCACGGGCGACGACACTCGGCACTCTGTGTGCGGGTACATTTTCACTCTGGACGGCGGCGCCGTATCGTGGTCTGCAAAGCGGCAGGCTGTTGTCGCGCTCTCAACCACCGAGGCAGAATACATCGGCCTGACGCACGCAGCCAAGGAGGCGGTCTGGCTGCGCGGGTTGCTCGTGGAGGCGTACGACCCGGTGTTCGCGGATTACCCTATGCGCTTGTACAGCGACAACATCGCCGCTCTCGACCTCGCCAAGAACAACGCTTACCACTCGCGCACGAAGCACATCGATTTGAGGTACCACTACATCCGCGAGTTGGTCGAGGCGAAGGACGTCGCACTTGGGTACCGGCGCACGGAAGACATGCCGGCGGACGTGTTCACGAAGGGTTTGGGACGCTCGCGCATGGACCATCTTGCCGAGCTCTACGGCTTGGTCCCTCTGCCGCGCTGAGGGGGCGTGTTGTGGTCGGCGCGCGGGCAGCGCACGCGCGCAGCGGGAACGGGTCAGCGCGTCCTCGGGGCGGCTGATCGGGCTGGGCCGGGGAGGGCCAGCTATGGACTTTGATGACCGACTTCGGACTAATGAGCTCGCGCGGCCTGGGCGCGCGAGCGTCGATCGTTCCCGTTTGGAGAGTCCCCGCTTCCAGATATACTGGCGGGGGCTCGTCCGGCTTCCTCACGCATCTTGCTACTACCCGCGCGCGTGAGGAAGCTGGTACGTCTCCCACACTACATTACTTATAACCATGCACTCACATATGTACTACGGCAGACTCTATCGTCTGCTAGGTGAATATACACGCATCTTGCTACTACCCGCGCGCGTGAGGAAGCTGACTCTATCGTCTGCTAGACGCTCTACCGTGCATAGCCGCTATATCTACAACACCGCCTTTACGGTAGCACACTGACACCAGAGTCCACGGAGACGATCCTCCCCGTCCGCGATCCCCCAGCCCCTCTTCACACAAGCATCGCGGACACGAAGGAGAAGGCGGAGGAGTCGGACGAGCGGTGGAGACGCAAGGCAGGAGTGACCATCTACACGGATGGCTCGGTCATTGACGGCCAAGTCGGAGCGGCCGCGGTTCTCATCCGCAAGCGGGGCGGCACACCAAAGGTCCTCCGATACCACCTGGGACCGGCGATGGAGCAAGGGATATTCAATGCGGAGACGTGCGACCCCATACTGGCCGCGCACATGCTCCGGGCGGAGAGGTCACTACCTGGTCGCCCCTCTGTCGCCCTCGACAACCAGGCAGCGATCAAGGCAACGCGCACGAGAAAGACCAAGTCGGGCCACTACCTCACCGACCACCTCCACGACGCCCTCAGGATTGTCGCAAAGAAGCACCCCTCCGCAAAACCGATCACTCTCCGGTGGGTTCCAGGTCACCTGGGCATCGATGGCAACGAGCTCGCCGACGAACACGCAAAACTCGCGGCAGGAGGTAACTCCAGTCGCATCGCAGCCCTCCCTCTCTGTCTCCGGAAGCGTCTCCCCGCGTGCGCATCCGCCCTCCGCACCGCCCACGCAGCCACACTCCAAACGAGGGCCTCGGAGCACTGGGACGCGTCACCCCGCAGCGCGCGGCTCAAACCCATCGACCCCACCCTGCCCTCGAAGAAATTCATGGAGCTCATCGCCCCGCTCACGCGCAAACAGTCCCGCCTCCTCATCCAGCTCCGCACCGGCCACGCCCCGCTTTTTGCCCATCTCCACCGCATCCATCGCGCCGAAACAGACATCTGCCCAGCTTGCGGCACCGGCGCGGAGACGGCTGTCCACTTCCTCCTGCACTGCACGGCGTACTCCCGGGAGCGCACACAACATATCCACCTCAAGCTCGGCCGCAAGGGCGGCAAGCTAAGCCACCTCCTCTCCCACCCAGATGCGCTCCCCCACCTCTTCGCGTACATCGACGCCACCGACCGTCTCGCCCTGTCCCTCGGGGCTCTCCGCAAGCTCACCTAAACCGCCGCGCAGGCTCCGCGCCCGCGCCCGCGCGCGGCCTCCCCAAAATTGCCCGACCGACCTCGGTCTAATACCCACCACCATCAACTGGCCGACGCCCCTACCCGCGTGATCGCCCCGAACCTCCATACCCGCCCGCGTCCCAGCCGCCGCCGTTCGGCGGCCCCGCGCCCCGCGCGACTCCACTCTGGTGCTCATCGTACCCGTTCCTAACCCCGTCATGCCCCATCGCTACTGTGCCTGCTACTATCTCACCCATATCCCCCCTCCCCTCTCCCGTCCCTGCGGTCGTTTCCTTCACCCCTCCGACCCACCCTCGTCTCTATGCCCGCAAGGTCACGACCCCCTTGCTCCAGGGCGCCTGCGTATGACGCGGCTCACCTTAGATTAGTTATAATGATTCGAACTGACGGGCTACCCTTCTTCCCGGCTCCTGCGGTAACGTCGCCCACCTTACGTTCCTCAGCTCTTTTCATTCTCCTAGTCTACTGACATGTGCTCACGTACCCTACTTTGGCTTACACCCTGGCCCGCCCGCCCCTCCCCGGAGGGTCGTCACGACATCCTCCCCGTATGCGCTAGCCCTCCCCGCTTTGTAATTACTGTACGTACCGCCTACCATAGGGCTCCGCCCTGACGGGCGATAAATGGGATACAAACAAACAAACAAACAAACAAGCTTAAAGGCTTTGAGACCCCAGATTGGCCTCATGCGTGAACTGGTCGCTATGAATCGACAGTATGTGCATCACAGGGAAGTCTTCTGTCCTCGTGGTGAGCGTGCGCCAACTAGTACTTACCATTACCCCGCCACTATCAGTGAAACTACCAAGGCAGTAGCACTGCTGCAAGTAGATTTCTTCGGACCCAGACCACGCTTCGCACCATGCGTTTTCGGGACCGTTGCAGCTGACTCGTCATGCTCCTTGGTATTTATGTAGGACTATCCGGCGCAACAAGTCAGTACTGCTTCCCTCCTCTCCCGCTATGACTGCTACTTAGACGATCGTCATCGACGCAGCGGGCCACCCGGTCGCGGGGGCCACCACATCAGTAATTGCGCAAATGTCTGGTTGCCTGAATTGTCTGGACGAAAATTTCCAGGCATTTCAGACATCTGTCAGGCATTCAGGCAACCAGGGCTCAATAACTACTACACTGTCTCGTGCGAATAGTAATCTATGTACATATCAACGCGCTCGATCTGAGACTCCCACAATGCCATGCCATCTACGAGCACCAGGTTGTCCTCGCTCCTGGACAGGATGCACGTCACGAGCACGCGCACGACTCGCGCTGTAGACGTCCCAGATGGCTGGCTCGACGAGCACCACCTGCGCAGAATGCGCGAGCAGTGGGACTGCAAGGTCGCGCGATCGCAACCCGGCGAACACCGACTGTAAGCGGGTTGTCCTCGCCCAGGAGCGGCATCTCCCTGCGCAAGACCACGTTCGCGCGCACACTGCATGGGCAGACCGAACCCGTGGGCGTGCGCTGCGCTCGCGCTCGCCGGCAACCGGTGCGTGAGCCTCGGGTGAATCGCAGCGCATGGAGTGGTACCTCGAGGGCGTGACGGGGACCGAGGTTGGTGCGGGGATCACAGAGGTCGGGCCGGACGAGGCTAGGGTGTCGGCATGAGAGGGCGTACAGGCGGGCGTGGCTGCTGCAACGTGGACGAGTGTCTTGAAGCCGCATGGGTCGACGGAGAGTGAGAACACCTTGGAAGTGTTCTCGTGCGCCTGTACGGGAAGGGGCCAGTCAGCATTAACAAGGACATCAGAGCGCTGGCCTTTACCGGAGATTATCGCTCGTCACGCGCTGGGGAGGGGAAGGGCTTCCTCGGGTGTCGCATCGAACTCGCAGTCAAAGTGGTAGTACTCAGCCAGCATCGTGGGCGGTATGTCATAGAATGAGCACGCACTCTCATGTCGACAAGGCGGCGCGGAACACGGGTGCCTAAACACGTGGTAGTGAGGACAATTCTTTCCGCGGATTGACGAAATAACTTACCAGGTTTTGCAGCGAGAAAGTCGACATCGACCGTGTCCAAGCTCGTCACAGACCTTGAAGATGATGAAGCCTTCAATCCCTTCATCATGCAGTGTACGGGCAGCGGTGACGCCTGCAAGGCTCAAGCCCACAGACGCGGTCGACAGAGAAGTTGTTCGGCAGTATGCGACACAATGGCAACGGCGGCACAAGAGAGAAGCACCGTCCCCTGCACGCCCGTTGGGACGTGCCCGCAGTAGGGACGGGGTCAGTGGCACGGTCGGGGCCTGGGGAGGCAGTACGCGAGGCGAGGAGCGCATGAGGGCAAAACGGGGACTCACCAAGACAAAGGAGCCACCACAGCCTGGCGGCGAGGAAGCGGCAGGCAAGGGACTCAGTGTTCGCGTGCTCCTCGAGGATGTTGCGCCAGGGGGGAAAGATGGGGAGGACGACGAGGACGGCACCGGCGAAGGTGGAGGAATGAGAGTCGAGAGTGACGCACTGGTATGAAGGCAAAGAGCGAACAGACGCGCGTACGCGCGCAAGTGTCGAGTCGCAGAGGTAGCCGGCGTCAAACGGCGCCGCATCTCTTCTCTCTTCCACCTTGACCTCCACGCTCTCCTACCCGCAACGGCTCTCATACGCAGCAGTCCCCATGGAATTTCCGTCGACCGCCTCAACAGTACCATCCACCAATGCCAGGTAAGCCCATAATCCATACATACCGGCGGCAAGTGACTGACAGGCTGACTCTTTCTCATCCTGTCTTAGCTCCAGCCAGCCGTCAGAGCCCACGCGGCAGGAACAAATAGATAGAGCTAGAGTAAAACAAGAGGTATGTGCTGGCTCTTCTCATGCACGCACACCCCCGCACCATCCCCCCCACGCTCAGCCCCCATGGTCTCCGGTCTGGGCCCGCCAATTGTAGCGCATATATGCGCCGAAATTGGCGGGGTTTCCCTTCATGTCACTGTCATGCGCAGCAGGTCGCCCTTGGGGGCGAACATCGTCGTCGTGAACGCCGTGTTGAACGCCGCCTGGAGCGTGTTGAGCCCGCGACGTTGGAGGACGAGTCCATCATATAAAATGTGAGTATGTATAAATTATGCGCATATATCCTACTTATACGATCCACCCCTGCTCGTCTCCCTCCTCTGCCACGCCTCCGGTTGCACGGGCCACCAACCACTGCGCGCCCGAGAACCTGTGTCCGCACGGCTCGCGCTTGGGCTCACCCACATCAAGTGTCTGCAGGTTCAATTCAAAATCCCCTGCCTCGCCGCTCTTGCCCTACGACGCCGGCCCTCGCAGGTGCGCAGCCGTCATCTCGACCTCGGGCTTGTATCCCTCTCCCTCCCGCGGCCGCAACTGGGACGGCCTCCAACGCCGTGCACACTCGCGCACCAGCCTGACACACACCCGGGCGTCTCTCAGCCTTCCGCGCAGACTGACGTGTACGTGCCCAGACACCGCGCTCCCTCCGACCCGAACACCCGAATGGCCTGCGCGCGTGCAGCCCCGATTCGGGATCCCGTTCGCGTACGCCGCCGCGACGCCGTAACGCGGGCACGCGCTGCGGGAGGGAGAAGGACAACAAGACGAGGGTGCGGGCAAGTACCGCGCGCTGGTAGCGTACGGCGAGCGCATCAACGATGACGACGGGCACGGGCACGCCGGCCACTGGCCCACACGGCTGCGAGCGCCGCGCCCGGCGAGCATGCCGACGACGATGAGGGATGCTGGCGCGCCGGCGCCGCGTGCGCCACGAGTGTATACACCCTGGTTATTGTCCTATCGTACTAGAAATTGCATTGTTTTGTTTTCTAAACGGATCGGTTTGCTGTGTGTCGTAATCAACCTGCAACAACGACCTGGGATTACAGTCTCCCGGTCGTGTGTCTGAACTCCTGGTTGCCTGGTTTTGGTGTCTGATCCGGTCTGGAATAGCGTCCCCCGAAACCCTGCCTGAAATTTTCCGTCTTGCCTGGTTCTGTCTGATTCGCTTTCTCAGGCAGAACCAGACAGAACCAGGCAATCGCGGAATTACTGATGCATTTTCCAGTCGTCAACCGCAGAAATTACGCGCGCTTTCAACGTGGATCTCCAGGCGAGTTCATGCGCCTTACGCTCTACTAGCAAGGGCCCGACTTATTCGTTCTGCAGAGTGGACGGAACGTCATCGAGATCAAAAATATCTCCAGTCAAATCGACGCCGAGTCCCCCCGCATTCACGGCCTCGGTCAACATGCGCGCGTGTTCAACATCCCCTGCGCGAGAGCCCTCACATGGGTCCCCGGGAACACGGTCAGCAGGAACGCCGAGGGCGTGAAGAAGCTCGCCTCCAAGAAGAAAGTGCTCGAGGCCGACCGCACGCTTTGAAACCAGGAGATTGACATGCTCAACGACGCTACCAGTAACATCAGGTGTGGGGAGGATAAGGAGGCGCACCTCGCCTTCATGGATGGTCTGGTCCAGCGAAGACGGGACGCCGTGAATGCCATTCTACAGCTCGCAGAACAGATCGATGTGATTGAGCGTGAGCACTGAGTTGTGGTTGCTCGAGAACACGTACAAGGGCGAGACCGCCGTCGTCATTACCGCTGTCGTCTTTGCGAGTCGCGAGTGCAAAATGGAGTTCCAGTTGACGTATCGTAGTATCCGATCCACCTCTATACCCTTCTCTCGCCCGCTCATGATATTTTGATCTTTTTAGTCGTCAGTGGCGTGTCCTGGAAGCCCTCTTACGACCTTCATGCAAAGACCTTGGAAGGCGAGACGTCCCCCGACGCCTCCCTGGTTTACTGCGCCAACATCAGACAAAGCACGGGCGAAGACTGCTCAGACACCGTCCTCACTCTGAGTACTGCTACCTCCCAGGCCGGGAAAAGCCTCTCAGTGCCTTCCATCGACCCTTACAGGCTCATCGCGATCCACTCCGAAACAGGCCCGTTCGTCGGCAGCGGGGGATTCATGTTTGGAGCTGCACTTGACCTGCCTCAGATGGGGGCTGCCCATGCTCTGGCTCGGACTATCGCCGCTGCCCCTGCTCAGTCTCAATCTCGCGCTCTCGCCGGCGCTGCTCGAAGAGCCGTAGCACCTCGTTCCTCTGCCCAAACTCTCCAACAACTCCACCCACAGCCCCCAGGACGACTTGGACGACGAAGCGCGGGCAGGCCACGGCTGACGCGGACGCGACAGCCGGCACGGTGCTCGACCGGAGCCCGCTCTCGCTCGCTTACCGCGTCGAAGGCAAGGCGCTGTTCCCGAGCGACGGGCTCGCGCACAGGGTCGTGATCGCGACGCTCGAATTCAAGGCCGCGCTCAACTACGTGTGCGTCCCGCGCGAGACAGCGGCGGTGTTCATCGAGGGCCGGGTCGAGAACACGAGCGAGTACGAGCTGCTCGCTGGGCCCGTGAGCGTCTTCATGGACGACGGGTTCGTCACCAAGACCTCTCTGGGGTGCGTTTCTCTCCCCTGTCCAGCGTTCAACTCACTGACGGACGGACGACGCGTGCAGCTCATCGGCGTCAGCCAGAGCTTCAGCTGCGTTCTCGGGTGGACACGCGCTCCACGTGTCGTACCGCGCCCGCGCACCGCGCTCGAGCCCCCGCACGCGTTCGCGGAGCGGTCGAAGACGACGACGCGCACGGTCACGACAACGATCGCCAACGGGCACGCGTTCGACGTGGACGGGCTCGTCGTCCGCGACGCGCTCCCGCTCGGACACGAGCCCGCGAAGATCCACGTCAGCCTCCGCGAGCCGGCGGGCCTCGCGCGCGCGCACGACGGGGAGGACGTCGCGGTCGAGGCCGCGGGCGACGCGAAGGACGCGAAGGTGCGGTGGGCGAAGGGGGAGGATGGGAAGAGCGCGGAGAAGGAGGGACTGTACGAGTGGGTGTGTGGGATCCCGGCGGGGAAGAAGGCGTTGCTGGAGGTGGTCTGCGACTTCAAGATGCCGGCGGCGTTGCGCTGGCGGGAGGCTTCGGCGCGTTGAGATCGCACTGTCGGTGCTCGCAAGAGGGGAGGTGAAGCCATGCGCACCGTGCTGTACTTGTACTTGCGTTTTTGAAGTTGAAACCGCCAATTCGATGTCACTTGAATATATTGGAGATTATTCGTACTTACTCATATCAACCGGCGTTCACGTTCAACGTTCAACGTTCAACGTTCAGGCGAGAGCTGCTGATGATAGACATACATGAACCGTATTGGAAGGCTTTCAAGTCGTCGAGGCAGCGCCCGCCGCGGCTATCTCGCGTGCGATTAGATTGGCCGCTGCAGCCGGCCCGCCCGCGGAGGTGATCACGATGTGCATCGTTGGGACTCAACGTGACTCCCAACGACGGGCTTCGAATGCATCGATTGCGGGCCCTGCCTCGCTCGCTGTGCGCCCGTGCTCCTCTCCTTCCTCGTCCGAATCCTCCACCGCCCGCCTCCGTGCTCGTCCGTTTCTGCTCGCACTCGCACTCGCACCCCCACCCCCACTCCTCTACTCACGCACAGACCCGCTCTATGGCGACCCCGGTCCACTCTACATCCCAGCCCGCGCAGCTGCCCGCGCTCGACGCGGCCCACAAGGACGCCCCAGCGAAGAAGGGCAAGGACAAGAAGAAGGCCGAGGCCGCGTCCACCCACCCGCTCAAGGTACGTGGCGCGGAACCCGCCCTCCGCTCGTCTTCCCGCTCACCCTCCATGCGTCCCTCGTCGTCCAGATGGACCCGCCGCCCGAGTTCTTCGCGCACCGCATCAAAATCTTTGACAAGCTCAAGGCGGAGTCTGACGAGTGGGTGAAGAGTGCGTGCGCCCTCGGCCTGTCCTCGAGCCTGCGAGCGTCGCTGACGAACTTGGGCGCGCAGACCAACCCCGCCAGGAGATTGCGATCACCATGCTCGACGGGTCGCAGCGCCAGGGCACGTCCTGGGACACGAGCCCCATGACGGTCGCGAAGCAGATCTCGCAGGGTCTCGCCGACCGCGCTGTCATCGCCAAAGTGAGCCTACCCTTCTTGTCGTGCGTCGGGGCGTCGGGAACAACAAAACTCGGTCGGACGAGAAAGGAGCACACGACGTGGCAGCGGCGGCCGGCGGCCGTCCGACGGGAAAAAGAGGGCTCATCTGCGTGTCTTTTCACCGGCAGACGGAGGAGGAAGGCCGCGACCGACCGAGGTTTTGACGCACAGGTCCCGAGATACGTGTCAGTGCTGAAAATGCGTGTTCTAGGTCGACGGAGAGCTGTGGGATTTGGAGCGTCCGCTGGAGAAGTCTTGCTCGCTGGAGATTCTGGACTTTGAGCACCCGGAAGGTACGTCCGTACCTGACTATATGCGCGTGCCGGGTCACGAGCACCTCTGGCTCCCTCAGGCAAGAAGGTCTTCTGGCACTCGTCCGCGCACGTCCTTGGCGAGGCTGCTGAGCAGCACTATGGCTGCCACCTCTGCCTCGGCCCTCCTACAGAAGACGGGTTCTTCTACGAGATGGGCATCGAGGACCGGCCAGTCATGAGCTCCGACTACCCCGCGCTCGAGAAGAACGCTGAGCTGGCGATCAAGGAGAAGCAGAAGTTCGAGCGGCTGGTGGTGCCCAAGGAGACCCTCCTTGAGCTCTTTGGGTACAACAAGTACAAAAAGTACCTCATCGAGTCCAAGATTCCCGATGGCACGTCGACGACCGTATATCGTTGCGGGCCTATGATCGATCTCTGCGTTGGCCCGCATATCCCCCATACCGGCAAAATCAAGTCGTTCATGGTCACAAAGGTTCGGGCATCCAGCATGTTGCGTCTTGTTCATAGCTCACTGCTCGACAGAACTCCGCCTCGTACTTCCTTGGAGACTCCAACAACGAATCTCTCCAGCGAGTATATGGCATCTCATTCCCCGACAAGAAACAAATGACGGAGTACAAAGCGTTCCTGGAGGAGGCTGCTCGTCGTGATCACCGAAAGATTGGAAAGGTGCGTGAACATCCTTTCCGATCGGGCGCTCGCCTCATCCCCAGCACAGGAGCAAGAGCTGTTCTTCTTCCACGACGCCAGCCCTGGAAGCTGTTTCTTCCTCCCGCACGGAACGCGTATCTATAACACGCTCCTGGAGCTGATGCGGTCAGAATACTTCAAACGCGGTTATCAAGAAGGTGAGCTCGCTTCAACTCTCCTGTTCACTCTTGTGACTCATGCGCATGCAGTCATCTCCCCAAATGTTCCATTCGAAGCTATGGGAGCAGTCAGGTCATTGGCAGAACTACAAAGACGACATGTTTACACTCAACGTCGAGAAGGAGATGTGGGGGCTGAAACCCATGAACTGCCCTGGCCACTGTCTCATCTTCGACTCGCGCGATCGCAGTTACAAGGAGCTGCCCATCCGTATGGCCGAGTTCGGTGTCCTGCACAGGAATGAGGCGTCGGGTGCCCTCACTGGCCTCACGCGCGTGCGGAGATTCGCCCAGGACGACACACACATCTTCTGCTTGCCTTCGCAAGTAAGATTATCGACCGTGAACACATCGGCGAATACTGACCGGTTCATAGATTGAAGAAGAGCTTGCGAATATGTTCGACTTCATGGAACACATCTACGGCATGTGTGGCTTCGATTTCCAGCTTGAACTTTCCACCCGTCCCGATAACTTCCTCGGCGAGCTGGAGACATGGAACGAGGCTGAGGCTGTCAGTACTCAATCTGTGTTCTTCCATTCCGCTCTAAACCCTAACCTTACCCACTCACAGCAACTTACTCGCGCTCTCGACAAGGCCCACCCAGGCAAATGGGAGCTGAACCCCGGCGACGGTGCGTTCTACGGACCCAAGATCGACATCAAGATCCGGGACGCCCTCAGGCGTTCGTTCCAGTGCGCGACGATCCAGCTCGACTTCCAGCTGCCCCAGCGGTTCAACCTCAAATACCGCTCCGCGGACGAGGCCGCGGACGCGGCGCCGTCGCGCCCGGTGATCATCCACCGCGCGATCCTCGGCTCCCTCGAGCGGTTCATCGCGATCGTTACCGAGCACTTTGCCGGCAAGTGGCCGTTCTGGCTGAGCCCGCGCCAGGTGCTCGTCGTCCCCGTCGCGGCACCATACAAGGAGTACGCGTCCGAGGTCGCGGACACGCTCACCAAGCTCGGCCTCTTTGTCGACGTCGACAACGGCGAGAACACACTCCCGAAGAAGGTTCGGAACGGCGAGATCGCGCAGTACAACTTCATCCTTGGTGCGTTTTGGTTTTTCTTTGTCCCTGTCAGGCACGAGGCGAAGTGCTGACTCTTTGCGGTTTATAGTCGTCGGCCAGGATGAGCTCGACACACGCTCGGTCAACGTGCGCAACCGCGACGATGTCGGCACGAAGGCGCGCACAGAGACCCTCCCGCTCGACGACATCGCGGCGAAGCTCAAGGTGCTGAAGGAGACGAGGAGCCTGGCGAACAAATTTGTGTAGACGCCGACGATATATATAGATGTTATGGCTAGGGAGGACTGTGCTGTGCTCGTGATGCTCTCGATCGCATGGTAATATGGGGAGAAACAGTAAATATAAGAAGTTCCACTATCCGTGTAAGTCTGAGCCGGTGTGCTGGTCTGATCCACCTTCTTCGCTGCGTTAAGATGCGCTTACGGCTTGCACGAAGAGGGTCCCATTAACGTTGAATGCGGAACCCAGGGTCCACTCGTAATGAAGCCCACTGTCGGAACAACCAGGACGGTCCCAGTCGGCGACTCTGCCGGCGGTCAAGCACGATCGACAGACACCGCCTGCAGGTTCGTAAGCTGGCACGCGGCAAGAGCCTGCCTCCTTCCTCCCGAAGCTCTCCGTCCTCGAGTGCCGCCTCTCCGAAGCCACGCTCACCCAAGCACCTGGACGCGCCGTTATGTGCATTTCAAGCCGGATAACTTGAAGCATGCCGAGCAAGTTCTGCGACCTTGCCACTTTCACCGCGCACTGGCGAGCCTCTCCTGCACTCTCGACATCTAGCTACGCCTATTGCGGACGACGCCTCTGCGCGGCCCCATGCGGCCTTCACGCTTCACAGCTTCAAAGCTTCACCTCTCTATCGGGGGGCGCCCAGTATGTCGTCACTTGTCGCGCTCCGCCCGCGCCTGCAGTGCACAGTCGGCGCCCATCAAGCAGCTGCGTATCTCGCGCACCACGTAGTCTGAGGCCTGTCTCGACTCTCCTCCCAGCGGACCTCCTGACGCGCACCACGCAAGCGGGCTGCAAGGTTGCCGCTCTCTGGGATGGTGCTTCTAATCTGGCCGCAGTTGTGTGGGCACCGACCTCAAGGTAAGTCTTGACGGAAAACGCGACGCGGCCAAGACAAGGAACCTCAAGGGGTCCCCCTCTACCTGACCTCCCTCCATACTCGTCGCGCAACCCTATCATATCCCTATCCTTATTCTCATCGCGCAAAAGCCCCGTGGGGTCCCCGTTCGTCAGGGCCTTACGGGATCTGGAGTTTCGACGACTCTTCGACCTTTGACAGCGGTGGAAACAACCTGCGGTGTTCACAAGCCGAACGACTACGCTTACGGTTGTGGAGCCGTCAGGACACAATTCGGCGCTGGTCACCGAGGACGGCGGCCGCCGCGCTCTCCGATCTTCTCGCCGCCGCTAAAGTTGGCGCAGCGTTCGCAATCGCCGCACCTCGGAAGATGTTGTGACGTGTTAGTACCGCGCGCGGCGCACATGCGCAGGGTCTCATGTCATGCGAAGGACTCCAGAGGCGCCGCTGTGGGGATCGAGAAGAGCTCTCCGTTCCGGGTTGAGTTGAAGGTGAGCTTTCCATCAGACTATCACCGATGGATCCTAAGTGCGCTCAACGAGCCCTCAGTCGCTTTGATCTGCCCAGACGACTCTCGACGGAGTGCGGCCCTAGTGGTTGACCCACGTTCCTGGACTGGACCATTCGCCACCTTTGCTTTGTTTTCCCGCCCACTCGTGCGCGGCCAAGAGCAAGCCAAAGTACTCTCCCCTAGGCAGACTTTCGGCATACGAAGGAGCCAAAGGCCGCCCGCAAGTCTCGGAGATCCTCCCGAAGCACCCATGGTTGACTTGCTCTCACGTATCAGGCAAGAAGCTGGGATCGCTCGACGCGTTCGCTGGCGTCATTAAACGGACATGCTTAGCAACCTTGAACGCACGCCCACCTCTTCGCGCCAATACGCCACCAGGGGCGCTGCGTTTGCGAATCGCCATCCCTGTGCACAATGGTTACACTCGCCATCCGGGCACCCTCGGAAAACGAGGTGGTGAGTGTCTGCCGGGCAATACCCGCAGGTGAACCGCTCCGGGGGTCCTAGTTTCGTCTCGCCAAGCCTCGCTCACACATCCACCCCCTCCTCCGCGCGCCCCTCATCCAAAGCTACCCCACTCGCCGATGCTCACACAGTTGCGCAGACCGCCGCGATGGCCCGCTATCCACTCAATCATCGCGCGCGACGCGCCCTGCGTGCGCTCATCCTGAAAGCGGCGGCTGAACGACGAGGCCGGCATTCGCGCAAGAGACGTCTTGGACCGCGAGCGGTTCCATTGTTTCATTCCAGCCTCAGGCGGGGACGGGCGGAAGGTGAAACCTCGCCGTTGGCGGCTGCGCTTCCACGCCACAACGCACGCTTCGGCGTGTGCACAGCTGCTGTCGGAGCGGTTTGTTCGACGCTTGAATGAATGTTTATTGACCGATTATGCCTCCTATAGGGTCTTCCGTTCGAACGTTACGTAGCGGCCAGCGGGGCGCGCGTGTGCTGTGCGTCCCGCTGTCGGAACGGCGTTGGAACGGCTTGCGCCGCTGAGACGCAGAGACACAGGAGGGCGGAGCCCAGCGGTGGCCGTGGGCCATGCAGCGGTGGGGAGGGGGTTAACGCAGCGCACCCGGTGGCGAGAGGAATGACGGCAGCAGCAGAAGCGCCGGGCGCTGCGGACGCCGGGGCGGATGGGCCGAAAGGGGCCGCGGGGAGAACGCGGAGCGGAAGGCGGAAAGTCTCGGGGCCAGGGCCAGGCTCTTGCTCCCGCCAGATTGCTCGGGCGCTCGCGCCATGTCATCGCAACCGGAGATGGTGCCCAGTCAGCGGCTGTGGTACTTAAGATCCGGCCAAGCCACCATCCGCCATTGGAGGACGTCTCTCGATTCTCCCTTCATCCTTTCAACCGCCTCTTCATTGTCACCGCAACCGTCACCGTCCACGCCAAACGCACCTTCGCCTACGCCCGCCTACATTCCTCGGCCAACGTCCTGTTTGAAAACCGCCAGCCTCCTTCAAAATGCAGTCCCTTCCCGTCAACCACTTCCTCAGCCTCCAGCGCCCTGATGTCTTCGTGCCCGCCGCGGCTGGCACGCCCGACATGTCCACCCTCGCGGCCCACGACTTCGACGTCGACACACGCACGGGCTTCATGCCCCCTCAGCCACCGATCGCCCGTCTGCCCACCGCATGGGAGCTCTGGGAGGCCACGCTCGACGACGCCATCAGCAGCAAGCTCGAGCTCGCTGACAAACCCGGTCTTTCGCAAGATGACGAAGAGCGTTCGGCGCGCTGGCGGACCTCGGTCCGTAAGGTACGGACACCCCCTTGATGGTCCTTCCAGGCGCAAATCTGACGCTTCGCTCGCAGCTACCCATCCTCTCTACCGAGGCGATCAAGACGTCAGAGATCCTTCTCCGTCGCGCGCACTGCGTGCTCGCCTGGATCATGCACTTCTACGTGCACACCACCCCGGTCTCGGAGATGAGCATCCACATCCCCGCCCCCGTCACGGTGCCGCTCCTCCAGGTCTGCGCCCAGCTCCAGCTCCCGCCTGTGCTCACGTACTCGGACGACGTGCTCTACAACTGGGCGTTCAAGACCGCGCCCGCGGCCGACGGCCACTTCGTGCCCAAGGACGAGCTCTACAACCTGCGCTGCAACACGCTCTTCACCGGCTCGCGCGACGAGGAGGAGTTCTACCTCTCCTCGGCCCGCATCGAGCTCCGCGGCGTCGAGGCGCTCTCGCTCATGCGCGTGATCATGGACGAGGCCTTCGTCAACGACGCGATCGCCCACCGCCGCATCACGTCGTACCTCACCGAGCTCGCAGGCGTCGTTCGCCACTGCCGGCAGCTGCTCGGCGCCGTCCGGGACGGGTGCGACCCCAGCGTGTTCTACAACGAGATCCGCCCCTGGTTCCGCGGCTGCGACTCGGACACCCGCGGGCGCAGGTGGGTCTTCGACGGCCTCGAGCTCGACCCCACCCTGAAGGAGCCCACCGAGCTCTCGGGCCCGAGCGCCGGCCAGAGCTCGATGATCCACGCGCTCGACATCTTCCTCGGCGTCGACCGCTACTCGCACTCGAACTTCAAGGCCGACCTCGCCGCCGTCGCCGCCGCGCGCCAGCCCGCGACCCCGCCCGCGCTCCCGCCGCTCCTCCGCAAGTCCTCCTCCGCCTCCTCCGACTCGTCCTCCTCCGACTCCTCCGCGCCCTCAACCCCGCTGACCGTCCCCGCGCGCCTCACGCCCCAGTTCCGGCGCGCGTCCGACTCCGACTCCGAGCGGTCCACGCCCGCCCTCGCGGTCAAGAAGTCGGTCGGGGTCCTCGCGCCCCTCCCCGCGCCCGCGCCCGCGCCGGGCCCGACGCCGTTCCTGACGCGGATGCAGAAGTACATGCCGCGCCACCACCGCGCGTTCCTCCGGCACCTGCACGCGAACCCGCGCCCGCTGCGGCACCTCGTCGAGGCCGCGGACGACGACGCGCTCCGCGCGGCGTACGACGAGGCGGTGACCGCGCTCAAGGAGTTCCGCGACGAGCACGTGCGGATCGTCGCGCTCTACATCATCATCCCCGCGCGCCAGGCGCAGGGCGCGGCGGCGCCGGCGGAGGCGGGCGTGCCCAAGGGCACCGGCGGCACGGACGCGTACCAGTTCGTGAAGGGCGTCCGCGACCAGACCGCGGGCGCGATCCTGGGCCCGAAGACGGCGTGAGTGTAAACGTTAAATTTTAAAGTCTTAGAGAGAGAGGATTTAGAGCGCAGAATGTTAGAGAGTCGTTCATTATGGTGGCTTTTACCGCTTTTTGTATTCGCTAATCTTTGTGGGTCGTGTACCGATACGGACGTGGACGCACTGTGTTGTATTCTTATCATACCTGCGTGTTGTACTACCTTGTGCAATACATCTTTTATTGTGTTGCTACACACTTGAATTGTCACCTTCTGAACGAACTGCACAAGAATCCTTTGGTCATTGTAGTTTGAGCCGTTGTGGTCGCTCACAAAACAAGGACCGCAGCTGTATTGAATACTTAGCGTGGCCCAGACTCGTGACGTCGTTCGAGCGTCTTTGCGAGGCGCGCTTTCGGAGCTCATCCACACCTCTCCACCACCCACCATCTCCTCCCGTACCCCCTCTGCGCTCCCTCACACAATGGCCACCCGACAAGCCCGCAGACCCGGCGCAGTCCCCACACCTGACGGATCCCGCACGATCATCGTCCACGACAACCAGCCACGAGAAGAGGACGAGGGAGACGTGGAGCCTGCGCCCGTCGGCGCTCTGCGGCTCCGGGGCGCGACGCGGCACAGGCAGAGAGTCGTGTGGAGGGAGGATGTAGTGGACAACGAGGGCGCGGGGAAGAAGAAGTCAAAGAGTGCGTACTCACCCTTCATGCCATGCGAAGTCATGTCTGATACGCCCCTCGCTCTCCCCCTCCATCCTCGTATATGCGCATCGAACTGCACCCACGACGGCTCCTCGCACAGTCTGCTGCATATACCACAAACCCCGCGAGTTCGACGAGTCCTCCTCGGACGAGTCGAGCGACTCGGACTCGGACTCGGACGCCGACGACGGCCGCGCCCGCCGCCGCTGCAACGACCACGACCACGGCGACCACGACCACGACCACAGCCATGGCGAACACGGCTCCGCCGCACGCGACCCGTCCGGCAGCGGCGTCGTGCACGAGCTCGAGGACAGCGACTCGGAGCCGAACGCGTACGAGCGCGCGCCGTACAAGACACCGAAGAAGACCCCACACCCGCACGCGCACCCCGCCCAGCAGTGAGTCGGGGACTACGCCTCGTGTGAGTCGATGTCGTTCTGCCGTTTGACTCGGAGCCGCCGACGCTGAGCCTGACGCGTTCTCGGACTCCAGCCTAGATGCTTCCACCACACCGCCTCGAGGCCCCGGCGTGCGCCACACCACCAACGCAGGCAGCCTCGGGTTGTACTCCATAGCCCCCCTTGTAGCCGCAGATCCTAGTCCGCAATCTCCATCCGTTTTCGTCTTCCTCAGTCTCCTCCTGCCCGGTCCCCGACTGCTCGGAACGCTGGGAGCGCGAGTGCCGTTCCGGATGCCGTTGAGGCATAGCTCGGCGTCGGCGGGGAGAAGACGCTGCACAGTTACGGCACTGACCACACGAACGTCATGCGCATCGTCAGTGCTCTCTCGGTGGGCTGAGTTTGACCACTGCTGCCTCGCTGACGATTCAGCTGCGGCACGTTTGTTTGAGACCCAGACTCGTCTAAATGCTAACTACCCACGCAGGCTGTGTAACGATTCGCACCGATTCTCCAGTACGCAACGTCCCACCTATCCCCGCCTTCAACGTTCAATCCTCGCCCAGCCGCCCCTTGAGAGGCGCGAGCCCGAACGTGCGCCAGAACTCGACGCTGTCCATCGCCCGCCCGAGCATCTCCGGCGGCCGCGGCAGCGCGCGCACCCCGGCCTCGTCCATGAGCTCCTGCACCCACCGCTGCTGCTCCTCCGAGCCCCAGCCCGCCGCCCAGTCCCACCAGTCGTAGACGTGCGTGTCCGTGAGGAGCCACCGCTGGCCCGCGGCGCGCTCCGGGTGCGCGGCCACGGCGAGCACCGCGCGCGCGACGTCGAGCCCGTGCACCATGTGGATGCTGCCCTGCGCGGCGGAAACAAGGGGGGCTCGGGTCAGCGAGCGAGCGTGACGAGCGGACTTTCGTCGTCCCAGGTCGGGGCGCGCGCGGGGCGGGTGGGCTCCGCGCGCACCCTCCAGATCTGGACCTTCGTCACTCGGAGCCCCCTCTCGAAACGCACTTAAGGTGCCGCGCGCGACTGTACTGTGCCGTGTGTGATGTGCCCTGGGGAAGAGATGCGCGCACCTTGGCCCGCAGCGCGTCCTTGCTCGCCGCGACGCGCGCGACCCAGCTGCGCGGCTGGCGCGCGCCGCCCCAGAGCCCGCTCAGGTCGAGCACCGTCGTCCGCGCGGTCCCGGGCGAGAGCGCGAGGAGCTCGTCTTCCGCGGCGGCGCGCGCGTTCGTCGGGTCCACGGGCGAGTGGCGGTCCGTCCACGCGAAGGCGTCGGGCTGCATCGTCGGGCTCCCCTGCGAACGTGGGTTGGGAAGGCGTCAGATGTTGGTCACGATTGATATTCAGCATGTGTCGGCGAGAATCGTGCCGCTGCTGCGAATCCGATGTGCAGTGCGTCCGCTCAACGTCCCCAGCGCCGCGCCGCGCGTCGATGACAGAGACGTGTGCGGTACAGTGTACGCGCAGGGCTGCTGCGACGAGCGACGGTGCGCGAGACGCTGCGGACGTCGCTCGCCGTCTACAGCCCTGAAACCACACGCGCACCCCCTCGCCCTTCAAAAGCCTACTTATCCGACCCGCTCTCGAAGGAGACGCGGAAAGAACCTAGAGCGGCCCCTCCCCTCCGCACCCGCGTAACACCCCGCCGAACGAAGCACCCAAACACCCAAAAACTCAAGCGAGCACTCACGTCCCATATCCCCGTCGAGCCCAGCGCGACGAACAGCGTCTCCGGCCCCGCGTCCCCGTGCGTCGCGCGGTAGAGCCGCACGAGCCGCGCCGCCGCGCCCGGCGTGCGCAGCGGGAACGCGACGAGCACCGCGCGCGCGGCGGGCAGCGCGCGGAACGGCGCGGGCGCGTCCGAGGCGGGGTCGAAGTCGAACGGGAGCGTGCCGTCGCGGCCGGTGCGCGTCGTCGCCGCGTGGGAGACGCCGCGGGAGGCGCAGAGCGGGGCGAGGAAGGTGGAGGTCCAGCCGGCGCCGAGGATGAGGAGGTCGACTTTGCCTGCCATCGTGGTGGGGGCTGGGAGAGAGAAGGGGGGAGGGGGAGGGACGTGCACGAGATGGTGGTTGGGAAGCTGGGGCGGGACCCACGGCCCCACGGGCAGCGCTGCGTCATCCGCCGTCACGCAACCGGTTCTCAGCATAGAATATGAGTAGGGCAGACGAGTTCTCAGGAACGTTCAGGCTGCTGCCGACATCGGACAACCGTGGAAGGGGCGGGGTATACAACTAATCAGGTAGATTTGTGTAGGCCTCGCTCGGACGGCTTCGGAAGGGAAAGGATGTGCATTGCGATAGACTCGACATATAAATACAGCGTACGAAAAGCAAAGGTCCATGAAGGGAGAAAACATACGCAGCATCGTCATGAAACCTCCTCCATGTCATCGTCATCGTCATCGTCGTCGTCGTCGTCGTCGTCGTCGTCGTCGTCTTCGTCCTCCTCGCCCTCCATCTTGATGTCCTCCATCTTGACGCTGCTCGGGCCCGCAGGCACGTCCTCCGCCTTGATCTGCAAGCACAAGCGCACGCCGTCGGACGCGCTCGAGAAGCACGGCACGGAAGCGCACTCACCCCCTCGCCCTTGAAGTTCGCCATGAGCTCCCAGTTGCCGTTGTGCTCGCCGCTGCGGTGCAGGAAGGCGACCTCGGAGAGGACCTCCTTGAGGTACGCCTCGGGTTGCTGCGTGCGCTCGCGGAGCACGCGGATCGGCCACCGCTCGCGCTCCTGGAAGGCGCGGAAGAGCTCGTCGAGGAGTTGGTCGCGCGGCATACGCGCCATGCGCTCGAACTGGCCCTTGGCGGTCTTGCCTTTCGTTTTCTGCGCGGCATACAGTCAGCCAAGAACAGGTAAGGGGTTGCAGCGAACGAGTAAACGCATCGCAGTCACGGGGAATGTGGCAAGCGGATTTCAAAAGGGAATGAGGGCGGGGAGTGGGCCGTTGCCTCGGCTGAGGTTGACGACATGACGAAGGATGTCAATCGGTACAAAAGGCAAGAAACCACCATGATCCTCTCGTGCAGACTGACATCCTCACAGAAACCGCATAGAAAATACTAATGCCGCCGTGGAACAACAGAGCGAAAGGGAGACGTACGAAGATGTTGAAGCCCGCATGCGACGTCGCACCACTCGCCAGCCGGTTGATGTCTCCCCGCCCGCCCGAGACCGCATCCTCGATCCGTTGCGTCGTCCGCGCGGGCGTGTTCGCGAGCGTCGTCCTGGCCTTGAGCCGCTGCCGGTACTGGTCCGTGAAGCGCGGCCGGAGGTTGCACTTGTGCTTGACGCGTCCGGTGAGGATCGTCGTCCGTGCACGCGAGGTCGTGCCCGGCTCCTTCTCGCGCTCGGCGACGACGATCTCGTTCTCCACGTTCTCGTTCTGCATGTCCATCTCGTACTCCTCCGGGCCGTTCCCGGGCGCGTTCGGGGGAGGACGAGCATGATGCGCGGCTTGTGGCCGCTGGACGTGTCTACGTTTTGGTAGACACGGATCGTAGCCAGGTGCACGCCTTCTTCATCGACGGCGGACCAACGTTCCATCAAGTGTTTGGGTATCTCGGAGGCTTTCAGTATGGAGTAAAAGGGTTGGGGGACGGTTTAGAGAAGCTATTCTACGCAGCGATGGAGGGGCTTATTGTATGGGGATACGGAATGCGACTGAGCCTCAGATAATAACAGACGGCTCACCTTCACCAGCCACACTCTCCCGTTCCCTGCATCCATCATGAGAGGTTCGTCTGGGTCTGGTTGGTTGTCGTCATCGTTGCCTCCGTGAACGGAGTCGAACTGCTTCGAGTCCTCTTCCTCGACTATTGTTGAATCGTCCATTTTGACAGTGGCGCAGAGACAAGATGATGCGGCTGGCCTGTGGGAGTACTAGCAGAGCCTGACGGAGTGTACGGGGAGAGAGGAGGTGGTGGAAGACGGGAACAAGGCGTGACCGCGTCTCGGAGTCGCCACTCGGGCTTGTGGCTTTAGGCGCCCTTGACTCAACGCGGGCCGTTGCCTCCGATTGCCGAAGCTGTTGTTCGAGTCGCGACAAGCCCTTGACCACGACAAGCTCACTTCTCCTTGTATCGACTGGCTCGTCCTGACTCTGAACTGCCCCACTGCTTGCCATCTGTTCGTCGTGTCTGTCTCGCCATTACATGTGGGCTGCCACCAAGGCGTCGTTCAATCTGCAGAGTACAAGAAAGAGGAGCGCGGACAGCCCTGGCATTGGTTTCGGAGGAGGACCATTTGGAGCCCTGGCACTCGCACTGACTGGGTGGGAGCACCTGTCACCTCGGGCATAGACATGTGTTCTGGCCAGGTAAATCCGTGGGAATGTGAAGTAAAATGTGTCATTCTGCTACCATGTCCAATCGCCGTTATATCCGTGTGACAGTTATACTATCTCGGGGATGCCGCATGCATTTCCCGTGCGGAGAAAGGCAACCTTCCCCTTTGCTGCCCATCCAGGGGACATGCCAGGGAAATGCTACCTTTCCCTTGCATGTCAAATTCAGGTGTGGTGGTTGCCAAGGTTAACAAGGGGCACACAGCAACGGTGCGCACCAAAAACAGAAATATGCACGTCCTACTGCCTTACAGCGTTCGACATACGCACGTGAGCTGCGCAATGCCGAGAAGAAATGCCATTCACATGCAAGGGAAAGGTAGCATTTCCCTGGCATGTCCCCTGGATGGGCAGCAAAGGGGAAGGTTGCCTTTCTCCGCACGGGAAATGCATGCGGCATCCCCGAGATAGTATAACTGTCACACGGATATAACGGCGATTGGACATGGTAGCAGAATGACACATTTTACTTCACATTCCCACGGATTTACCTGGCCAGAACATATGCCTATGCCCGAGGTGTGTACCTCCCGATATCGCAATCAAATGATCTTTGATCGCCCCCCTGGGGTGATTCCCGTTCCGGTAA